AGTGATTATTGCTTATTGCTTCTTACTTGCTTGCTTACATCAATTGCACGTTGATAAATGTAGTAGTGATTGTTACACTGACACCTACACTTTTGGTACTGCAACAATTATTTACTACCTTGTACTGTCACAGATTATACAATACACAGTACCATCAATACCAATTGTGACATTGACACTTTGGAAAATCAACGCAAGCTAGAAATATTAACTGCCAATAACATTAAGTGCCCATAGAGCCACCAAGTATCAATTTTATATTGAAAAATATTAAAAGAATTTATTTTCTGAGAATCTTGAAACACAATTAAAATCATATCAGATTATTCCAGTATTATTGTAAGACCATAACTTTACCTTAACTGACTCTCTTCTCTGTTGATATTCTTATCTATACTATCATACTTAATTATAGCTAGGACTAACTCTTTGTTAACACCTATCCGAGTTAACTACTAATTAACTATCTAACCATCTATTCTGCTGCTATGTTCGTGCCATACGGACTTATAACATTCAATTAACCGAATATAACATATTAACTCTCTATATACAACTTCTGGGACTATACTTTATCTATGTTCGTGCAAGGCGGACATACATAGTTAGTAGTCTGTCAAGAGCTAGGACTATCTCTATCTCTTTCTAACCACTGAGATAACTTCTACTCAGTTCGTGGCACATGGACGCTAACCCTCTAATCAGTTAACCAAAAGTTGCACTCTTATCTTTTGCTTATCCTCAACACTGATAATTTCTGTCAAACAATAATACTGGAATACAACGTTAACTGGGTCTAAGACTGTGATGATACAATTGATCCTTGAATTGATCATTATTGATAGCGAATGATCACTGATCATTCGGATTGTGAATTCCAACTTTGTCTGAGTTTATAGACCCAAACAAAATTTATTCAAAAAAAGAGCAGTAGTGGCAAAACTAGAGTTTGGTCCAAAATACTTTTTATTTTTAAAACTTTGATTTTGAGCTCTGGAACTAAACCCAGAGCTCGAGTTTTCATCCAGGCAACCTCTTTAAGACGTTACCCTTTGCTTAAAAATCTCACTTGAGCAAAAATACGTCACAATTTTGTTCCAAGTCCGTTAAAGTGAAACACTCTTAACCATGTTGCAGGAGTCTGCAATCATGTAGCAACAGTATTTCAAATTGATTTTTTTTTAAGAATCCAAAACTTGTTCTTTGTCTTTCTCTTCAGCTAGGAGCAATTTACGAAGAATCTGTTGTCTGTAAAGACTTTTTGTGCACTCAATTACACCCTGATCCATGGGCTGGAGCAGACTTGTCACGTTAGGAGGTAAAAAGAGACACTTAAATCTCCCCTTTTCTCTCACGAGAAGCTCCAGTGAAGGATGTTTCGGCGAATTGTCCATGATAAGTAAAACCTTACCCTCTTTTCCTGTTTCCTGTTTAAATTTTTTCACTTGAGGAAGAAAGGTTTTATCGTACCACTCCAAAAAAATAGTGCTCTCCATCCAAGCATTCTTCTGATTAGTGTAGGTCACTGGTAAGTTGGCTACGTTCTTAAAAGCCTGTGGCTTCTTTGCTTTGCCGATCAATAATAAAGGAAGACGATGGGTACCGGTAGAGTTAGCGCAGACCATTATAGTAACGTGATCTTTACTGACTTTGTGTCCGGGAGCACTTTGTTGTCTTTTAGATGCTAGGATTTTTCTTGGCAACGCTTTCCAATTCAAACCAGTCTCGTCAGCATTATACACAAGATCAGGGTCGTACATTTATGTTTCTTTTTTGAATGTCTCTACAAATTTATTAGCAGCTTCACTTTCAGCAGAATGTTTTTCACCGGTAATATCTAATTACCGAATTCCGTGCCAATTCTTGAAATGACGTATCCATCCCGTGCTTGCCTTAAAATCAGCTACACCCATTTTTTCATTGAACATTCGCGCCTTTTCACATAAAATAGGTCCTGAAATCGGTTGTCCAATAGATCTTTGTTGCAAAAACCAAGTAAAAAGTGCATTTTCAAGCTGTTCATCTTTAGCCTTTTTCATCACTTTTCGCGACGAACATCCATCATACTTTGCAACGTAGTCACAAAACTTAAAATCTTTTCACTGTTATTTTTAATGTCAGTAATTGTAGCCGCCCCAAACAAATCTCTCCGCCAATACCTTTCCCGCCACTCCTTTCTGTAGTTGGTTTATTATTTCCACTTTGTCCTTTAGGGATAGGACAACACGTTTATTTTAGTTTTTCACTCATTTTACTTAGTTATTTAACACACGTAACCATTAAATACAGTAATGAAGATCACAAGTTTGACAATCTCACAACTCTATAAAAACCAGCGATCCGCACAATAAGAGAGGGAGGAGCTAACTGACCTAGATCCCGCCTAAAACTGATAGTTCACGTGTCATTGGGTTAGGGGGAGATGGCTGCAGGTGCATGCGCAGTACATTCTGCGCATCTAAACACTGTCTCGCTGTCAATTCACTACACGCCCATGCGGGGTGGCAGTGTCACTGTGTCTACGCGGCAGTCGTTAGAATTTTTGCACTTAATTTTTAATATTAAGCTTGGAGCCGATTCGGAGAATGATTTAATGATTCGGTTAGTTGTCGTTCGGATAGTCGGCATTTTACTGTAAGCAGCATCAAAAAGCTGTGATACACAAAGTAGGATTGTTTACAGTATTGTTTATGTTTTTAATTTAATACATAATTTGTGATGTTGTTTGAATATTTGATAATTTACTTTTTTATATTGTTTAGGTGCAGGGGTAGAACAGAATGGCTATGGTAGATGTGTAATACTATACTGTATATACTATACTATATCTGTAATACAGGGTTATTACAAATGATGTTCATGATTTCAAACATACAGAAAATATAGTTGTATTTGTTATACAAAGAAATAAAATGGTTACAACTTTTGAAAAACTCAAAAAGTTTCGACACAGACACACAGAACTGTAAATGCTCGATACGGGAACCCCTTGTGGTACGACAGATGTCAATAATGTACTTAAGCTCTTGCTAGACTTTGAAAAATGTGTCTTGATCTATTGTTTCAATAGCATTGATAATCCGTTGCTGGATCTCAAGTATGCTATCTGATAATGGTGGTGTGTACGCCTTATCTTTGATGTATTCCCACAAGAAGAAAATACAGGGGGTGATGTCCGGAGATCTTGTAGGCCAGTTCAGGAGTGTGTCATTGTTCGGACCACCGAGCTCGTTCCATATCTCAGGCAGCACATTGTTAAGTTAAGCCATACTACAAGTAGCATTCAAATGCAGCCATTTCTCTTAAATTTCAAGTGTCACTTGCCAATATAGTGGTTACAAGGATGATCATCGTTAAACCTGGTTCTAAAGTGTCGTTGCACACTAATAACAGATTGGTCAATGTAATATTCCAACTGGCAATAAGCTTTCCTGCCTTCAAATTCAACCATTACACAACACTTACAACAATTGACTTGACAAACAGCTGATATGCACCCAAACCAATGTATATGAAACTTTATGAGTTTTTCTTTCCAATGGTACCAACTAAAATAGTCTTGAAACAAATTAACCCAGTAATATTTATAATCAAAATCAGGAACATCATTTGTAATAACCCTGTACTATAGCATAAGTTACCGTAAATATAAAGAACCAAATTTTTTCAAGCCTTTAACCCCTCCCACTGCAAACGCAAAGCTTGAGTATAACTGCAATAAGCATTTTATACTTAACGCCAACCCCGTACGAAGAACGGGTACTCTGCTAGTATTATTATCAATAACAAATTTATAAATGTTAGAAAGGAAAAGCCAATTAGCTGATTATGATTATTATATACAAGGATAGGGATTAGACTTCTTTCTTCTCCCTTCTGAAGAAGTCCCTAACAGGGACGAAATATTAAGTTTTACTATAGAGTAAGCAACACAAGTAGACTTCTCATACAAATTTTGAAGCTTGTTTTTTGTGTCTAGTTCATGTACCTCAACACTGATCGCTAGTGTATACTAAATTTTGTTTATATTATTTTAGGGTCATTTTCATGATTTATACTTTTACTGTTTGGTTATATAACTGGAAGACCAGTTATTGTTAATAATTATATTGTTTTATTTTTTTAAATAAGGTTTTAAATTATTGAAATAACAAGAAACAAATTATAAACATAACACAACCTCTACAGATGAAGGAAGTAGTAAAGGCTGGCAGTGCGGAGTGTACGAATTGTTTGTGGCAGTTACATTATAGTTGTGGACATGGTATCTCCGGACCAGGAAAAGGAGACCTGGTATTGGGTATCTAGTTGTTGTTTTCGTTGAGCCCAGCCAAGTGACATTAATTAGGGTCGGTCGGTCGGGCAACTCCACAATAGCAGAGGCAGGTAGGTCTCCTTTTCCTGGTCCGGAGATACCCTGTCCACAACTATAATGTATCTGTAATACTAAAACTAAAATGTTATGGGAAGAGAGGGAAACAGGTGCACAACTTTGCCTCTTAAATAAAGACGTTTTTAATTTCATTTCATTACAGTGCGATGTACAGAACTAACAATAAAATTGGCTTCAGCTGTTTTATAAGGATGACAAATCTACTAAGGGAGTATGTTTTATCTATGGTTTTACTCTTTTGTGTTATGTGTTTTGAGTGTATTACCAAAGCTAATCTGGACTCTATCTACCAGGTAATCTAGCTGATCCCTATCCTTATACATAATAATCCAAAATTATAAATGTGTTTCCAAGCCATGTGTTATAGAATACAGTGAATAATGCATAGTGCATACCCAGCGGCAACCGCCTTGGTATCTTGGCATCTAGTTGGTTTCTAGCATAAAACCTGTTGTTGATTTTCTTTCCTTCTCAACTGAGTCACGCATGAGGGTGGCCGTCACCACCATCATACATCTCCAAACAATCAAAAGTCAAAACCAAACGAGAGAAAGAATGTACATTTACTTCCTTTCAATCAGAAATAAAAAAAATGAATATAGATTACCGTAATGGTTGTGTACATGGACCCGTCCACAAAGTACTCAAACATCAACGTGACCTGAGTAAACGTCTGTTCGTTCACATTGTACAAGGTAGAGGAGAAGAAACACGCCCTGGTGTACCAGTCCTGCCAACTGTTGGCCCACAGTTCTGCCAAAGTCCTCTCTGCCAGCTTCATTGTCGGGCCGATAGAAGTGTAGTAGCCACTGACGTCATACAATTGGCTATATTTACCTGCAGTATTATTAAATTGTTTAGAAAAAGAGGGAAATAAATGTTACACAATGTTTACGCTTCAGTTCTTATGAAATATATATTGATTGATGGACTATACTGTGGTGTAGAGTTTATTTAATATTTAAGATGACTGAAAAAGCATTTTGTGCAAGTACAGAACAACTGTTTTAGAGTAATAAAAAGTGAGAAGAAGTAGTTGTATTCAACAAATACAAACATTTTGTATCAAGAAGAATATTATACAAAATTTAATTCTCAGTCGTTACATGAAAGATTACAGATCCGTTACAGCAAGGACATGGGTGTTTGCTTATACATTTGAGCAGTTAATTTCAGTATACTCAATCAAGTGCTACACCAGCTCATTCCCTTGCTTTTCTGGTAACGTTCTACGCAGAGGCCCGAGGTCTATTTGGATAGACAAATACAAGGTTAAAAGAAGCCACCAACCTCTTCATCAAATTAAGAAGTACAATTCAAACATTTCTAAATATGTTTGGCTACATTTAAAGGCTTTTTATTTGTGCTCGCAAGTTTAAAAACCCAAGGAATTATTTCGGTTACCGTAAAACCGCTGGTTTGTCCACCAAAACGTTGTTCCTCTCGCCCTATACTCCCAGGGTGAGTCCTCCTTGGTAGTGTCAAGATATGTCGCAGGTTCCCAGCCTTCTCCATACACGTTTGTGTCTTTGTTTGGTAAACTCCACTTCAACAGACACTTCTTCATCCGCGTGAAGTAAGGATTATGGCACTCGTCTGAAACACAAAAATAACTTTTTTTTTACAATAGGGCGCAAGTGTGAATTAGTCACTGTCTCAAAAATCAATGTGAACAAATATGTTAGGGATGAAGATGATTTTTCTTTAAGCCAGGATTAGAGCTAGAAACTTGAAACCTCGCACAGCACTGCTCAATAGTATACTGTATTTTTTGTGGTGTAGGTTGGTAGTAAATTTCCCCGTAAAATCCCCGTCTGACAATCTCAAAAATGTACTTTTTGTCCCGTCTTTTCCCCTCCATTTGGCAATACAATTCCAATGGGACCGGCTACGTTCCAAGCAGTGCTGCTATCTGTGGGTGTTTAGCGAACTACGTCGACTATTGATGTAAAACAGGACATCCTCGCACGTTATTTGCTATACGTCAGACCGAAATTGGAAAGCCAATCACACGCGGCAATCGGGTTTGTTCGACGCTGAGGGCCGCGCCGCACTGGGGATACGCCCGCCAATTTGACGTGCCGCCGCGAATGTGTTAACCATATACTTGATCATAATACAAAACACTAATGGCTAGTTAGTCAAAGGTTTTTAAGGGCAAAATGCAACAAGTAAAAACCAAAGTACATAAGGAAAGGATATACTTACGAGGTACCACTCTGACTTGTCTAACTAGAGGTTTTCCAATCATCTTGTGGTGACAATCAATGGCCCAGTACTTCAGTATCCCTTCTGGCTCTTCTTTCACTGAATAAAAATTTCTTTAATTGGCAAGAAATTATTTTGTAAACATATGTTGGAGTTTAATCACTTGCTTGTTGAGCTAATGCTCAGACTATGGTTAGTCTGTAGTTTTAAATTCATTAAATACCTACAGTTCTGTATGGTGGTTTAAGTTCTTTATTCTAACAAGGACTGTCTGTAATTTAACACGTTCAGTGCTGACTACATCAATTGATGTAGTCACGCGACGAGCGCTCCAACCGGCCTACTACATCAATTGATGTAGTTGTGCAATCCCCACTACAATAGTTCAGTATGAGCTCAGCCATTGCCGGGGAACGTTAAAACCGTTGCTAGCCTGTAGCTTAGAATGCGAGCTTTATTTTGGTCTAGGTTGGTACTAAAATTTCACGTAAAATCCTGTCTGACAATGATTTTGTCCCGGCTTCGGGGATTTTCTCTTTTCAAGCCATATTACAAAGCCACTGACTGACTACTGATCCAGGCAGTGCTGCTACCTTTGGGTGTTTTAGGGAACTACGTCCAATCTCGGGGTAATGTGTAGTACAATCACCGCTGCTCTTTTGTTATTCGTCAGATTGAAATATTTGAATGCCGCCATTGGCGACCGCCTGTTGGAATGCCTGCCACACTGAACGTGTTAAGGTCTTCAATAAGCTCCTTGTTGTGGTCAAGCAAGCTACCACAATCTGACAAAATTGTGCAAAACATGTTCGTCATCACTTCAGAAGATATCACTTCAAGATTATCAGAAGATAATGCTATGAGGGAAAATCAATGCCAAATAAGAATCACAATCTGTGATTAGACTTCTGTGATCTAAGGCGTCAACGTCAACAGCAATTGAAGTTCATTGCCAGTTAGTTGACAAATGTGAATGGAGCTACGTGTTTGAACATAGGGTATGGAGGTGTTTAAGCATGTTCAAGATGTCAAGGATATTTTACAACTTGTAGGCCAGCTGTTTAGTTCATCAGTCTTTTGGTTCACACCGCGACTGAACAAGAGATTGCCGAACTATTACGAGATGTCTCTATAAAGACTAACAAGGACAATGGTAAACACTTAAACATGCACTTACCCTTCCCACAGAAACATAATCACAGAACGAACTTGGCAGAAGTGTTAATTGATTCTCCTTCACACCATTTTCAACTACTATGATGACTGACGAGGCAAATCATTGCAAAGGGGTGAGAACTGGCTAATGTAGTAGTAGATGTAGTAAAGAACATACCACTAAGGTCACATTTCAACTAGCTTGCTTGGCCCCAACTGTAATTAATGGATCAATAGATTTGAACTTATTGACAGCCCTTGTCAATATATCACAATATATCAATATACACACAATATAATGGCAAGCAGCTTGAGAATGCTAAGTAGAACAATTATTATGTTCCCTAGATCTGCTGTAGGTAGACCTTTGTTAATTTACTATTAGTATTAACTGGCTACATTAACATAACTGTCAAAAATCCATCCATTCCATGTATCACAGCTTTTTGTTTCTGCTTGGTAAAATTAGCTGTTGTCATAAATTTAAAAAATAATAGTGGTGCACCCTGTTGGTAAACCTATCACTTCTTAATGCTATTGAACATCACAGAATCAACTTGTTTAGTTGAAACAGCTGTCAAGATTCTTAATTTCCATTTAAATATAAGTACTCATAAGGTTAAAATAGGGGAACTCCAGAGCCACTGGGTCGGAGCCGATGTTATATAAACATAAACCTATTCCATGAAATTCTACACGTATGTACCAAGTTTCATCGCAATCGGTCCAACGGTGTCCAAGCTCATATTGTTCAAATATATATATATATATACACAAACTTCCTCTTTTATAAATATAGATATAATATTAATTTTGAAGTTTAGTACGTAAAACAAGATAATATAAGGTTTTATTGTAGGGCCTATATAAAAACTGTTAAAATAAAATACTGATCTTCCTCTACACCATTAAACTCAAACCAAATGGAAAGATCGCCATCTTCGTAGACGATGAATGAAGAGATAAATCCTGTATAGTATTTGATGTTAATTCTCTATTTGAGGCTATTTTAAATCATATATATCAATTTATTACAAATTAAAAGGTTTTAAAAGGACTATTGCACAACCAAGCTGAACCCACTAAGGAAAGATGTGATAAAATTGTTATAAGCTCATAAAAACAATGGCTTGTTGTTGTCTCCAGATAGTTCCGATGATTGTCGAGGGAGCGCAGCACCTCCCAAGCGAAGAGAATCGAAAACAAAATTACAATGTTAAATATTATGAACAGAAACATGGAACCATTAAGGAGTGGCCAGCCAAGGTGAACTGGATTTGAACTGCAGCTGACGTGGAGGGCCACTACGCGTGGCTGGACCGGGCTGCCAGGCTACTTTGCGCTGACAATGTTGCGTCATAAAACAAAATGGAGAGGGCCACTAAGTGTGGCCTTCCCGATCCATAGGGAAGAAGAAGAAAACAATAAATATGTCTGCAAAGGGTTAAACTGCAGGACGATATGGCATTTTGGGGTAAGTTATAAAGTAATTGGGGTAGGGAGGATATCTCTGTAGGAACACAAACAAACTTTGATTTTAGGTAAAGTAAATAATTACTTTGCTATGCAATTGGTTGTTTACAAACAAATTGCCCGCAACAGAAGTGATGTACTCAAGTGTAACACGCCTCTGCCCTCCCCTCCCTCCATACAAAACTTATTTTGTGCATGTCCCTTAAACATTTCCCCCATTTTTGTCCCTTAAACTCACAAAATCTTATTTAAATGCTTTTGAGAATAATGACTCCGTATCTTTTATCAAAGCAATACATACTTGTAGTCAAACGATCATCATTATACCAGTGTAGGTTGAACAAAACTTCAAAAAGAGTAACTTCAAAATAGTTGTCAACCCTGCAACAGATAGTCAAATCTGAAATTCCAGTAAAATTAACATCCAATATAGGTTTACAGTACTAACAAATATTTCAGATCTTACGGTTATTTCAAACTTGTTGTAGTACCTACTAAACTAAAATTTGAAAATATTTGAAACATGTTTAATAGATCTAATATGTCAGCAGCTGCAAAATTTTTAGTGCCAGTTCTAATCTATACTGTTATAAAATTGAGGTGGTGTCTGTTTGTCTGTGCGGCTGCCATGACTAAAAAATACTAAACTGATAAAGCCAAAATTAAACACACCGATCGTCCACATAATATCTAGGAATGTCATAGGCCTATTCACTTCCCTTAGTTCCTCTGGGGCCCTTAGATGTCCAAAGTTTTGAGCTGAGGTTTTCAAAAGTAAATATTATTTGGTCTCCATGGGAGCATTAGAAAATTCACAACCTTTGTTTACCTTTGTGTTGACTTTTCAATGTAAACAATCAGAACTGTCGAATGCTTATTTGACAATTTCAGACAGCTGATCCAAACAAATAAAATAAAATATTTTACACAATTATTTCTAAAACTATGCCATTGATTATGGAATCAAAGAAAGATTCTATAACCGTAAGTTATGACAATTAAGTTATTGATACATTTTAATGTTTAGAGTAAGGCAGTTTAATATAGGTCATACTTTTTTGTATAAATTTGGTGGCGTTTTAATAAATTCAAACTATTTATCAAGTGTTTGGATTAGGCGGTACAGTTGAACCTCTATAAGACAAATTTCAAGGGGTACGGGAAAAATTCGTACTATAGAGGTATTCTTAATAAAGAGGGTCGTTTTATCGAGGTTTAATGCTGATGTTATTCTTCTTATAGAGGTTTCTCCTCGCTCCAAGGTTTTTCCAAACAATGACTGAGGAAGGAGGAGGGATGGGTGGGGGTTTCATGTTGAGACAAGCTTCTGTTTGTTTTGAAAACTACGTACTATGGAGGTTAAGATTATGATAAATTTGTCTTATAGAGGTCACATTCGTCTTGTAGAGGTTTTGTGCTAAGAATATTCGTTGTATAGAGGTTAATCAGTCCTAGCCCAGGGTTGTTGACAGGGATACCTGGGACAAGGGTGAACCTGAATACATGAAAAGGGGGATCACTTGGTATACGGATGGCTCGAAAAAGCCAACGGGCACGGGGGCTGGAATATATGGAGTCAGACCCAAGGCGCAGTTCTGCGTAAGTTTGGGAAAAATGGACACTGTATTCCAGGCAGAAGTTGTTGCCCTGTCTGAGTGTGCGAGAGTGTGTTTGAAGCGCGGTCTCACAGGCCACACTGTATACATGAACTCAGAGCAGCACTAATGGCAATTGACAGTTTTGACTTTACCTCCAAGGCTGTATGGGACTGTCATCAAGCCATGAAAGCCCTGGGAAAAACCAACAGGATCATCCTTAGTTGGGTTCCAGGGTACAAAGGTATTGCTGGCAATGAGGGAGCTGACAAGTGGGCAAACAAAGGTAGCTGAAAGCCCGCTCATGGGTCCAGTGCCGACGTGTGGCATTGCTTACAGCACAGCACGGAGAGCTGTTCGCCAGTGGATGGGCATAGAACATCGAAGGAACTGGGAAAGAACAGAAGGAAATGTACAGTCAAAGAGAATGCTGGAGGAACCTACAGGTGCGATAGCAGCAGAAGCCCTTGGGCTGAATAGGAAGGTGGTTGGCTTTATTAGGGGCCATTGGGTATTCCGTGGACATTTACACAAGATGGGAATTAAAGTTGAAAGCCTCTTATGTAGGAAATGTGGAGAGGAGGAGGAGACAGCATTCGACGTGATATTTAAATGGGTCCAGCCCTACAAGGTCTGCGCATGAGATCCCTGGGCCTATCGACTGGAGATCAAAGGGAAGAACGGATCACCATAGTCAAAAGGATCTCACGGTTAACAAAGGACCTGGGATTTGACAAAGAATGAGGACCTGTGAATGAGGGTGCACAATAAGCTGTTCTAGCTGCGCTGCAATCCCATGGTTAAAGCCTGGCCCTCTATTTAAAAAAAAAGTCCTAGCCCATGTCACAAACAAATTCGTCTTATGGAGGTTTTTAACTTAATTACTACGTTGTATAGAGGTGTTTTTAGTATTGACCTATATGAAAGTGTCAAGGGGATTAAACAAAAAATTGGTCTTATCGAGGAATTCATTTTATTGAGGTTCGTACAAACGAGGTTCAACTGTATAGTACATCTTCCCGTTGCGAAGCAAGGGTATGGAAGCTAGTATATATATATAATACACAAAGCAAAATTTTGTGAACAGAACACCTCCCTCTTTCCTCATTTTTGAACAGATTTTGATGATCAAAAAATTGCCCTGATCTTTATTGTGCAAAGTGGTTTTCTTTTTTTGAAACTTTTATTAGTTTGGGCAGGATCTTCCACCAAAGTCGGGTTTTCTCCCGTAACATGGGAGAATAAATTGTTTTTAAATTGCTTCTGTTTTGTTTATGTTTGATTGACAGTTTTAATAAAGCAGCTTATCATGAGATTTGTTAACGTTTTAGCTCAAATCAAAGCTGATATAATATTTGATATTGAGGGTTTGAAACAAAAACAATCACGTTTTATTTTATAGTGAATGGAGTAAGTAGACGGTTTCTTGTGTGTATTTTGGAAGTTTGTGAGTTTTTATGTACTTTTTTATAACATATTGTAATATATTCACATTACCTGTCTCTTTTAAACAATTATCTAAATCATATATGTAAAATGTTTATGTTTACATTTTGTATTTTTCTGTGATTATTAAATTCAGTTTTGTTTTAACATTTTAAAGAATCATTTATTAGTTTTCAAAGTGAAATAGGAAGGTTACGTTGCCAGTTCTACAAGTAATTAGTTATTAATAATATAATAATTAGTGACCTCAATACTTTAACAGTACTGTACAAATACAAGCAAGGAATATTGTAAGTGTATTTTTTAAGCAATATTTTTATTTTTGACAATATTTTAGGTTTGTTTCTGTTCTAGGCTCTCTATATATATGTAGATAGCATGACACTACAAACTTTAATGAACATATAATGTCTCATAAACTACGAGTGTTCAACTACTTTTAATGACACAGTTACCAATTGACATGAAGACATTTTTTTGAACGGTTATTCTTCTAAAGACATACTCACGCGTCTGTATTGTTGATTTTTTCAATGTCTACAGAATCAAACTCTTTTCTGTGTGTTTTGGAGAACATGTTTATCAAATGGTTGACTCCATGGTAGTGGGAAGTCCACAGACGGTAGATTATAGAGCTCACAACAACCGCACTAATCACAACGCTCATAAAGTCAATAAAACTCCACCACTTTTGCCTTATATCGTGCTTTTCCAGCAATTCCTAAATGATTTTCAAAATATGTTAGCAAATGATTATAACCATCATGAACAGTATATTGGAGTAATGCAACATCATGATAAATAAAACAGCTCTACAGGGTTTTCAAAAAAGGTGGGGACATAAATTACGTAGGAATTTTTTCGGTCAAAATAAAGAGAAAATAAAGAATTTTTTTTTCCAAAATCGCTTCGTTAACTAGATATCCACATTTTTTTTTTTTTACATAAACATATTTATCTTATAATTCTTTCAAACGATCGGCGATCTTTATGAAACTTGGTATGTATGTTAAAGTAAAAAAGACTCAAAAAAAAATCCATTTTGAATAAACTTAAAATTTCAAAATGGGAGCCAATTATTTTTTTTTACTCAAATTACTAAAAATGGCTGATATTATGAAAAAATGCCAAAAACACTTTTATATGTCATTTTTAATTCCCTAATGAATGATACCAAGTTCAAAAGGATCAAATAAGAAATAGCTTAAATATTACGATTTAGTTGTAAAATGGGGTACAATAAGGCTAAGCTAGTCAGGTTTGACCCATTTTACAACTAAACATCATAATATTTCAGCTATTTCTTATTTGATCATTTTGAACTTGGAATCTTTTGATAGGGAATCAAAAATGTCTTCAAACAAAAGTCTTCTTGACATTTTTCATAAAATCTGACATATTTTAGAAAATTAAGTTTAAAACATTAAAATGGCCGCCATTTTTTAATTTTTAATTGAATTAAGATTATTTTTTTTCTAAGATGTGTCAATTCTACCTTAACATACATAAAAAGTTTCATAAAGATAGGTTGAAAAAATTAGAAGATAAATATGTTTATGTAAAAAAAAATACAAAATGGCGGATATTTGGTTTAATGAAGCGATTTTGGAAAAATATTATTATTCTTGTTATCTCTTTACTTTGACCAAAGGAACCATTACGTAAATTATGTCCCCACCTTTTTTGAACATCCTGTATGAACATCAGTATGATGTGTAAACCCTTTTCAAACTACTAAATGATTAAGAGGCGTGAATACCACAAACAAACAGAACTCAAATATTATGTATAATGTTAAAAGCCAAACAGTTTTCGTGTTTTTGATCAAAACATTTGAATAATCTAAATGTAGCTCAAGTTCATTTTTTGTTACAACACTGATAAAAAAATGTAGGCACAAAAATTATGAAAATACCATGGTAAAATATGGTTGGAGACTCAGCAAACTAACCAACACAAGTAGACTTCTCATCCCATTGTAAATTTTGAAGGTCGTTTTATGTGTCTAGTTCATGTTGGTAGCAATGATCGCTAGTGTCAATGAAATTTATTTTTGATTACTTTAGGGTTTAGTTTAATGATTTTTGCCTTATTGTCTGGCTAAATAACTAGGGGACGAGTTATTGTTCATGGTTGTTTTAAATGACTGAAATAACAAGAAACAAAACAAAACATAACCTCTCCAGTGCTCCAGACGGAACAAACAATAAAATTCTCTTCAGCTGATCCAGGAATGGGAAATCTACTATGATAGTATGTTTTATCTATGCTGTTGGGTTTTGAATGGACTTATAATTAATCTAAATTGATCAAAATGAATATAATACAATTACCTGTCTGGCCAATGATGATAGAGGCAAGTACATCGGATGATTTCTTTTAATTAAGAGTTTAGCATAGTTCAAGCTAACATCATTTTTCCTAGAACTCAGCACATCTTTTACATCTATTCCATGAAGATCCACTTTGGTCGATAACTGTAAAAAGAAATTTTTGGATGAACCAATGAGAACCGTGCGGTGTTGCCAAATCTAATAATACCAGCTGATTTGAAAATATTGCTTAGTATATTTTTATTAAAGTTGTCAACGGGCGATGTGGCAACGTCGCACTAGCCTTGTCTTGTGATTGGCTGCCACCAACTGCAAACTTACGTGGTCCCGACTATAAATGTTTATCAACAAACAACCCCAAATGATAAAGGATAAACCTAGGTAGGGTTTTAAAAATGTATAAATAATCTTAACATCAATTTCTAATGTCTATAGCAGTCATATTATTGAATGAGTAATGATTTATAACATTCTAAGTTATTCTTTGCTCTTAACATATATTAAGAAAATAATTGATCCAATACTGTGTTTATTCAATATTCAATATTGTGGGTGTATCGAAACGTCCCAATACTCACCTGGAAGGCTACAGACAACAGAACAGCAATGACGATAATCTTGCCGGGACCCAGGACAAAGATGTCTTGCCCTAGGCTCATAACTGAGGACGTCAGCCACTTCTGGCTCTGGACGTGGCCGAGCTTGAGTCCGTACAGCATGACCAGGTATGAGGATCCGAGGATTACTACGGTGCACACCAACCTGGACACCGGTAAACGTTATTTAGCAGGTATTTTATTTCAAAAACTTTCAATCCTTTAATGTAACAGACGTTTCAGATGCAACACAAGTGCAGATGTTTATTTTGAGCAAGAGAAATATTGTTTGTAAGCTTTTAAAACATAATATATCATTTGCATTATAACTGAAGCAAGTTGGTAAACGTGTTGTGCTATTTGGTTGTAAATAGAGGGTCAAGAATCAATAAGTTAGATCTATAGAATGATAATACAGTAATTCAAGGAGTTTTTGTAATGAAACATACTTTTAACTGCAGTCATTAGTGTTCTTCAGTGATTGTTTTTAAAATGTATGAGATGGGGTTTTACTAATGAAATTAACTTAAAGTGTATGACTGTATGAGCTGTCAACTATCTAATGACACTTTCTGGTCACAGTGTGAACCCTCCTAACATATTTCTTGGTTGTTAGTGTCACATGTATTGATACACACCAAATACATCATTTCAGCTTTACTTCAGAGAAAGTGAACAGCATTTTTTTTTTTCAACTTAAACATATTTCCTTTCAAACTAATCGATTACTGTATATTTTTTGATTTCTCAACCATAATAACTTAGGTACAGTAACCTTCAACACTTAAGTTCAAAATACTACCAGTATTCATCAATATTTACCAAGCTATAATGTACCAATGCATCCTCTTCTGTATTGTCTCCCTGCTTTCCTGCATATAAACAGGTGTCAATGGAGAACCCTTCAGATACTTTGTAACATAATGTACGTAGTTGTCGTAGAATGACTTGCCTGTAAAAGAATTACATACTATTTAGTTCATCTATTTATAATTACAGTTATAGTTGGCTCATTTACCAAGATACCCTACTCAATGACTATCTGCTTGTATACCAACCAATGGATTAAGAAATTTAGATACATTGAATCTACCTTGATTACAGTTTGCTTGTGAGAACCGAGAGCTCATAGACTGCGTTTCTTCAAACTGATCTTTTCGGTAATGAAGAGTGGTGCGACGTCTTTTGTGAGAAATCTTATAACTTCTCCTGCAATTCATATTATACAAGTTAAAAATGTTTTTTTCATACAAAAGGATGGAATTTTGGTTAACATTAACATCACAATTCAATGATTTTCTAAATTCACAATTTTAGGTATTTACATATTTACAAATTCACATATTTAGGTCAATAAAATATGTCTCCTATAGCATAGTAAAATTACTAAAGTGTTCTTGAATGTAGATATTTTAAAAGTAATAAACAGTAGATAATTAATAAACAGTGAACGTCCACAAAACATAATAAATGATTTAGTAACATTAATTTTTAACACTTTTTTTTACTTAACTACTATAATAGCTTTTATTTTAAAAGTAAAAACATTACAAACTTACCTAAAAGCAACAAGCACACAGATAGTCAGTACTGATGAAATTATAGTAGTTTGAACACTGACAATAAGTTCCTTCGTTCCAACGTCGTATTGGTAATCATCAGTCGGGTTATCTGAAAAATTATAAAACACACATATATAATTTTGGTTTATCTTAAAAAAAAACCTATTATACCACTGTTGTGCTGTAGTAAAAAAATGTCCACAAGTTCTTGTCAGGTCACGGCTATTTTACAAGTCTGGTTCACCTGACTGCATTTACTAGCTGCGTTCCCAACGATGCAGAAGCCTGCGTGTTCCTGACGACATGCAGCCTGAGTGTTCCTGACGATGCAGAAGCCTGGGGATTCCCAATGACACGGAAGCCTGAGTGTTCCTGACAACATGCAGCCTGAGTGTTCCTGACGATGCGGAAGCCTGGGGATTCCCGACGACGCGGAAGCCTGGGCGTTCCCAACGACACGGAACACATATTCTTCCTGTGTCCACCTTGGGACATTCTCCGGCTGGAGGCGGATTTATGATACTAAAGCTAAATACTGCTATCAATGATGGTGGTACTGGTAACATCACAAAATATAATTAAACCAAGTAAAAAACTAGAAGCAAAAAGACATCTCACCTGGATCATCTGGCTTGTAAAACATGATGCTGCTTAACATTGCCACAATGATGAAACACATCAATATGCTGACTCTCTGAACCCTAGTTACTTCACTGCGTGGATGCCTGTCACAACGGAACATGCCAAGTCCACACTTCATCCATTAAGATAATTATGTATTTTTGTATATTACCATAGATTAAACATACTCCCTTAGTAGATTCCCCGCCGGCATGTTATATATAAGGTGAGGACGGCTAAAACGGGGCGAACTGTAGTGCGCTCTATCCGGGATTTCTAGTACTAGCGCTCTAGGTGGCATCAGTGCAATGGCGCAACCTCGTGGCAATGTGAGGAACAACGACAGCATTCATCTGCGATAGAGAATGGCCCAAGCCAAAGCCCAACACACGGCCGGCGCCGCTGTTACAGCGTATCCGCCAGCATCAGCAAAGCACTAGCAACTAATCCCTTGTTCCGTTTAACAATCATACGCGAATATAGTCTTACTTTTATTTTATACGAAGTACAAAAGAAGCGCATAGTCATGGAGTAAAAGGTGTATAGTGTACTATAAAATAACCGATCATTCATTCATTAGTCATTACCAGTGAATCATTTTAAAATAAACAATAAAAAATAAACCCTTATTTCCTAATTGAAATCCCATAATTCATACTTTTCCCAAATTAGATGTTTTTCTTTTAATTTTGTCGGGTAGAGATGAAATCCTCATGGACACTCAAAAAGCCGTATTTGAGAGTAGTGTACGACTATTTAATTAATTTTGAAGCTTTTTATGAACTGGAAATACAATTAATTGTGAAAGTAATTGTGAAACATTAGGATAGTATTTATAAACTATTTAAATTTAAGGATCAAAAGGAAAACATTGTGAAATGTAATTAACTCATCAATGTATTTAATTTGACGTTTTGTATTTAATCACTTAACTCTAATGTTTACATAATAACATTGTCTATGTTTAATAACATTAATCATCATACAGCATTTTGGGTTACTTAATCTACTTACACCCAAACAACCTAATCACAGCAATATTTATATCATGCATAACATAACCATATGTAAATAACATAACCAACAATTAAAAAAGAATTGTTTACATTTGAACAGTTTTCATTACAATCAAAGTTAAAAATGTAAGTATAATTTTTCATACATTAAATGTCGTCAATAACATTGATGACATTTATTAAGTTTTTGTAGCATGCATTGTATAATAATTTGAGCATAAAAACATGGACGCTTTTCTTTAAAACGGCATCAAAACAAACTTTTTTTAATGTAAAACAGTTTTGTAATCTTATATTAAATAACTTCTTGATCAGCATTGTAAGTGTTATTAAATTTACGGAAAGTAAATAAAAGAAACGTCTTATAACACTTAAAACATATATTTACGCTTATACTGTTACTCACAAGACGGTAAATATACAAAAAAGATGGTATGTGGTGATCGATTTCGATTGGACACTCCAATCATCATCAGACCCAATAGGCGAATGACAAGAATCTTGAATGGCGTCCCTACTTATACCCTATTGGCTACCGGAAGCACCGGCCAATACATTTTTATAAGTACAACTGGAATCAAAATGTATTTGTTCATTAATCAACTTATTTCTATCTTTACATTTTTTTTTTTTTTTGTATATTTATAAGGATAAACACTGGTGTTACAAATACTGAAATACAGTTAGCCGAGGCTCTGAGGCTCTGCACATACAAATCACGCTGTATGGAGTCAAGCTGGGTGTGAGTGTCGTGTGTATGTGCCAAGGTGGTATTCCTTGCTCCTGGTGCTGGCGCCCGGGGCGTGTGAACGCGTGTGTGAGAGCTATAATGCGGTAAGAGTGTGTTCGTGTGTGTGGCTGTACGGCGAGAGCTCTAGCCCTCCTAGCCTGACCGTACTGAACTACGTGGGCCAGCAACTTCGCCGTACAAGCAGCTCGAACATACCGAGCCCTATCCCGCGGAGAATATACTAAGGGGGTATGTTTAATCTATGATATTACTTGAATATTGTTTTACATCATGGTTACATATGTTGGTATTTAAACTGCCTTGAACTTCAAATACGATTTGACACGTCCTAAAGTAAAATGCTTACATAATGTAAATATTTGATAAGCTAAACCTTCTGATCTTTGTCTCTAAACACAACACAAAACACACTCAACATTTTTTTTAAATTCAAACTAGTTGTTTGTACGTTTATTTATTCAAACTTAGGTTTATACGTATACTTAAATTTATAAAATTTTAGTTTTTAAACTTACTGGTTTATGAGTGTTCAACTCATGTTGAGTTGTCATGATATTTACTAATTGTTTTAGTGTAGAAAAAATTGTAAATAAATACTTGTAAAAAAATTAATTTATTAGTTTCAATGAGTTAAAACTAAACCAATTTGCTGTTGTGGTACATTACCTACTTCAACTGAACCCTTTTACATACGTTTAGTTTTTGGATAAAAACTCCACCAAAAAATAAAAAAGAATGTAAATGATTTGCTTAAAACTCTAACACTGTAAGTGGAGTATAATGTCTGGGTCTTTTTTAACAGTATTTTCTCATTTAATTTAATGAGTGTCAGACTTTGGACCCATACTAAAACCATGTGACCATCAAGATCTAGGGAACTTTCAAAAAATCTGAAGCCAATAAAAGATTGACAGTGGTTAAGGCTGATAGTTGGGAAAGCCAAAATGCATATAGTATGTAGGTAGAGTATAAAGTTTCATCATTCTGAATTTTGATCCCCTATAAAAATACAACCGAATGAAATCCATACAGTGCAAGTTAGTTGCGTACCTTACAAAGATGCTCAGAAAGGTGTGGGAGTCGCGGAAGCCGAGGATCGTGTTGTCCAGAAACACCCGTTTGAGGCTCCGCATGTCCTGATCACTTGCGATCATCAGTCTAGCCTCGGGATGGTCTCCCACCTGCAGCGCCAGCCATTGGTCCACAATGAATAATGACTCGGCGCCGTTTGTCAAGTCGTATACAATGATTTTCTCACAATACCTGAGATATAAAATGTGAGATTAAACCTTACAAATTCTCAGTGATGTAATGATATTTTTCAGTCATTCTTTTTTATTTTCAAGTATTTAGTTAAGCATATTTTTAAACAGTTTTTTCTTGATTTTATGGATACCAAAACATTTGTATGGATACATTTTTGGTATACACATAGGGATGGGTAACAAAACAAGTAACAAAATTCCTGAACTGAGGTTCAAAACTTACAAAGAATCTACCCATCCCATCTCTCCTCCAAGCTGTTGAATATTTAAGACGGGTCTCTCTGGCCCAGCTCTAATATAGACCTAGCTGAACTATTGGGTTGCAAAATTCAGACCTGTTTAAGATCTTGAATTGTACTGTAATCTTGAATCTTGAAAGTGGATTAGTACCCAACTAATCCACTTTCAAGATGCAAGATTACAGTTTGGACTCAGGTCCCATAACAGGGTATAAACTATTCATGTACATACCATTCAGGTCTTGATCCGTAATTGTCATGCCATATATGAATCTCATAAATGTCTCCCAGGGATTTAGACGTAAAAATTACAAACCAATCATCTGAATTTCTCTTCAAAACTTTGCGACGAGGATGAGATAAAATATGGGACTGAAACGTAAAGGATTGTAAAATAGTACATAATCTATAAGTATAAAAGAGGATGTTTGTATATATTTGTTTGGCAGTGATAAACTCAGACACCGCTGAACCGATTGCCACGAAACTTGGTACATACGTGTAGAATTTCATGGAATAGGTTTATACTATACACCATCAATTTCGTGATCCGTCCAATCGGCTCCACCCTAGTGGCTCTGGAGTTTCCCATGTTAACCTTATGAGAAATGGAATTAATGAATCTTAACAGCTGTTTCAATTAAACAAGTTGGTACTGTTCTATGATGTTCAATAGCATTAAAGTTACAAGGATTACCAACATGGTGCAGCACTATTATTTCTTTTACATTTATGACAACAGCTAATTTGCAACCAAAAGGTGAGTGAGCGTAGCGAACGAACTTCAACCTGGAGGCGAGTTAGCGTAGCGAACGAGCTAACCTGAAGGCAAGTGAGCGTAATGAACGAGCTAACCTGAAGGCAAGTGAGCGCAGCGAACGAGCTAACCTGAAGGCAAGTGAGCGCAGCGAACGAGCTCCAACCTAAAGGTGAGTGAGCGTAGCGAACGAGCTCCAACCTAAAGGTGAGTGAGCGTAGCGAACGAACTTCAACCAGGACGTGATTGAGCCGAATAGAAAGACCAAAAATATTGTCTACCCACTAGCATTAATATAAGAGCAATAATAAAGAATCGGTTATCCTTTGTACTATATGTGTTTCATTAGTTGTCGTACGTATTTTAATTTAGTTATAAGCACTTCATATACAATAAGACAATTAAACGTTACGGTACTTAAATTATAAATAGTCAAAGGCAAGACAACGTCTGCCGGTTTCAGCTAGTGTATGTATACAATGTATGTATACAAGAGAAATCCCATAATGCTACCCTATGCAGCTTAAAAAATAGTAAATGAAAAAAGTTAAATCTTGTAAAAATACATGCTCATTTACCCCTGCAGACTAAGCGAATTTCCAATTGCCTGATTTGATTTTCAATTAAATCTATTCAAATAACATTAGGTTTAACGAGCACCTAGGTTTGCTGCCTACAGGGTAATAAAGTGTGTTTTTTAGTAAAATATTAATAGCTTAACTTAGTACAAAATAAATAGATTGGCCAAGTTTGATCCAAATATATGCATAAACAAGCAAACTACAACAGTTTACTTATCCTCCATAAGAATAACATGGGAATTTTTAATTTACAATTTTCTCCGTAACCAATAACCATACAAAAAAACTTCAATATACTGAATTATTTATTTTTTTAAGCTCTTCAAAATGGTTTAGAGGAAATTTGGGAAATTTTATATTTTGAGGGTCAAAAATGAGAAAAACCAATTTTTACCCCATAAAACCCCGTTCCCATGGTCCGATCATGCTGGTTTGCGAACTCGTTCAAATAAACGTAGGTTTACAAGTTTGTACCAAATTTCATCGAAATTGGATAATTTTTGCTCGAGTTATCGTGCTAACGGACACATATCTAATATATAAAATTCTCGTGTCACAGTGTTTGTCTGCAAACTCCTCCGGAACGACTTCACCGATCGTTATGAAATTTGGTGTGTAAATTCTGTAGGTATGCAAATCGGACGTAAACTATTTCCCGTTTCGAAATTCTTAAAAGGGCTCCGCCCCAGTGGCTCTGGAGTTTCCCATGTTAACCTTATGAGAAATGGAATTAATGAATCTTAACAGCTGTTTCAATTAAACAAGTTGGTTCTGTTCTATGATGTTCAATAGCATTAAAGTTACAAGGATTACCAACAGGGTGCAGCACTATTATTTCTTTTACATTTATGACAACAGCTAATTTGCAACCAAAAGGTGAGTGAGCGTAGCGAACGAACTTCAACCTGGAGGCGAGTGAGCGCAGCGAACGAGCTCCAACCTAAAGGTGAGTGAGCGTAGCGAACGAGCTCCAACCCAAAGGTGAGTGAGCGTAGCGAACGAACTTCAACCAGGACGTGATTGAGCGATGCGAACGAGATCATCTTGAAAATTAAACGTAACGGTACTTTCTTTCCATCGGTCTGGCTTAGGGGAAACCTATAACTTAGGCGATACGAAGTTCGCCGGGTCAGCTAGTATATATATATATAAATACTAGCTGTACCCGCGGGCTTTGCCCCGTTTAACTTCACAAGTGAGCTCGTTCGCATGGCTCAATCACGTCCTGGTTGAAGTTCGTTCGCTACGCTCACTCACCTTTAGGTTGGAGCTCGTTCGCTACGCTAACTCGCTTCCAGGTTGAAGTTTGTTCGCTACGCTCACTCACCTTTTGGTTGCAAATTGGCTATAGTCATAAATTTAAAAAAATAATAGTGCTGCACCCTGTTGGTAATCCTTGTAACTTTATTGCTATTGAATATCATAGAACAGAACCAACTTGTTTAATTGAAACAGCTGTTAAGAAATTCATTTTAAAAATGAAAAATCATAAGGTTAACACGGAAACTCCAGAACCACTGGGGCGGAGCCCGAAAGCCCGATCAGAATAAAAAATACTTAGTTTTCCTATTTAATACCCAAAGAATCAGTGTAATTTCAGCCTCCTAGGTAAATGGGAAGTGGGAGAATTAGTGATGAGTGAGTGAGTCAGTCAGTCAGTGAGGGCCTTTTATATACTATATAAAATATACTATATATTTATATACTATATATACACCTTATAGCCTTTTATATATTTAGATATAAATATATATACAGAATATATGAATTTGAGCGGATGGTGTTTTTGGATTCTAGGGACATCAAAATGAAAAAGTAAATCAGTCCCGGGACTAAGTCTTACCATGAGACCTACGGTAATAGCTTATTCCCTATAGGGAAATTCGCTAATATTCCCTATAGGGAAATTCACTAAAAACTTATGTAAAAATTGACAATATTTCTCTTATAAAAAATTACTCTCACATTTAGAAAAGAAATTCTGTAATAATACTTACAAGTCCCAAGCAGAAAGGTTTTATAATATTATTCAAGCAAATATTTTTAAAGTTTAAATTAAAATGTATAATATAATAATAAATATTTTATAATACGAACCCGGCTTTCTCCGTACGTTCCTGTGAGTTGGATGCCAACATGTGCTGTTGTGCCAGCATTGAACCTAGCGCTGGTATGAACTGCCACCAAGTAAGGGTACGTGTCTTCAGGAAAGTTATCATCCAGCACTATAACTCTTCCCTAAAACAGTCAATCAAGCTGGGCTTAAAATTGGCCTGTTTAAAATTATAATTTTCTCAGTTTTTTTTTCAATCATACAAAAAAAAAAATTAAAAATGGAAATGAATTGTACCAGATATACAGGGTTATTACAAATGATGATCCTGATTTTGATTATAATTATTACTGGGTTAATTTGTTTTAAGACTATTTTTAACCGACTTCCCCACTACCAACAAAAGGAGGAGGTTCTCAATTTGTCTGTGGCGATGTTTTTTTTTTCTATGTATGTTCACCAATTTCTCTGTGATTCTTTTACCGAACAGCGTGGTTCCGCCACCAAAATAACCAGGAGAGTTTCTATTTGGTACCGTATATAGCATTATGTTTAAGAAAAATATTTGTTTGGTGAAAAATGCTGAAAACCTCAAATATTCAACATTTATTTTGTTCATATTTTTGCAGAGAAGGCAAATAATAATAACATTCCTACAGCTGTTAGTTAAAACCATTTAAATGAAGCTACAGACAGTTTCTTCATGAAACAGTTGCTTCATATTGATTAATAAACTATTTCTTGCCATGGAGCCTAAATAAGTTACATTAAAAAAATGCATTTTGTTTTGGTTAGGTACTATAAAAAAGGTATTTAAACGTTTGACCTGATTTGTGTATGATTCTGTTTTGAGTATTGAATGTTCTGACTTATAAAAACATAGTGAATAGCTGTATGATATTGACAATTTAAGGTGTATTGTGAAAACCAAAGCATTCGTAAAAGAGGTCCAAATATAAATTAGATGCAATTATTCCTTAAACGACATAAGAGGTGTGAGATTGCATAATTGTTAATCGTCTTAAAAGTGTTAAATATTTTAATTTCTAAACATGAATTTGAAGATGTGGAATGTTTATTAATATTCTTCACTGTCAATAATATTATGCCTGCTTCGGAAATGGGAAGCTGATTAGCAATTTCAACTACATCTTGAGCAAACAAAACCACCTACCCCTTACACCACTTTTAGCTGAACCAATCTTTCATATACATATTTTTCAAAGGTAATATACGTGATAACAACCGATTTTCTACTTTTAAGAGATTTTTTTAATGCTGGTGACTGAGGAATAACTTTCTTATTGTTCCAAAAGGCTTGAGACCTTACTGTATTTAGTTTTATAATGTAGAAAGTACACCAATTGCCGGAAACAATGATGTCTGGCATTTCAATGTCTCTAGGAAAGACATTAAGTTTTTCATTAGGCCTAATGTAATGGACAACTCTTTGTTTTTTTTAATGGAATATCCAAAAATGTTAATTTTTATACCCATTGATTATTTAACCTGAACAGGTGACTCAAGCAGTTTAAAAATAATGATTGTTCTGTGGCACTTTCGATTGTTTCAAACAGTTTTGCTTATCAAGAAACTTCAAGTAATTAATATATAACAAATTATACAGTCACTAAAAATCATGAAATAATTTATTTTTGAAAAAAAATTATAACCGACTTCAAATGCTCTAAAAAGAATGAAATAATTTCAATAAAGTAAACTTTTGTATTAGTTCAAGGCTCTAACTGCAAATATGAATAAAATAAAAGATATTGAGAGTGTATTTTGAAAATCAATAAATTGTAGCTGGATAACATAAATATATAAAAAAACATACTGAACTGTTTTGTTTATATATATCAAAGGAAGTATTTGCTTGTATTTTATGTTTACTTCAGAATGATTGCATAATGAAAATAACACACACAAATGTTCTATATGAATAGGAAAATAATTTATTTTGATATTATGATAGGGAAAAGAAGCTAGTTTAAAATTAAAACGTTACTTTTCCAAGTTAGAAACATGTAAATATATAATAATCTTTTTAAAGATATTCGTTAATAATACCACTATAAGATTATAATCACCTTTAGTTATAGATAGTCACCTGCAATGTGGACATCCTCTTTAAATTTTGTATCAAAAATCATCGTAGAGCCGCGCTGACTTAAAATACGTGAGCTTGACTAATACAAAAGTTTACTTTATTGAAATTATTTCATTCTTTTTAGAGCATTTGAAGTCAGTTGTATTTTTATACAAAAATAAATTATAGTTGACCATTGGAAAGAAAAACTCATTATATTTCATTTACATTGAATTTGGTGCATATCAGCTGTTTGTCAAATTAATTGTGTAATGGCTGAGTTTGAAAACAAAAGCTTTTTGAAAGGAAAGCTTTTTGTGTGTTGGGTTACCACATTAACCAATCTGTAATCTACTAGTGTGCATCGACACTTAAGTACCAGGTTTAATGAAGTAATGTGGAGAGACATGTCAGAATATGGGGCTCAGAGAACCCAGATGCTTACATTGGGCTCAAACGTGAAAGTTACTGTGTTTTGTGCTAGACTTACAACAAAGTATACCGACCATTTTTCTTCATTGAAAAAACAAAAAATGGGATAATTTTCTTGGAAAAGGTGGAAAAATGGCTCTTCCCAATTAGAAGAAAATTCTGCAAATTTCATTCTGCAATTGGACAGCGGACCTCCACATTGCCCATTTAAATGTTAGGATGTGCTGCCTGAGAGATGGATCGGGCGCGGTGATCCAAATGATGACATACTCTAAGGTCTCCAGACATCCCCTTGTGATACATCAAAGATAAGGTGTACGTACACGCCACCATTACCAGATAGTATACCTGAGATCCCGCAACGGATTACTAATGCTTTAGGCACAATGGATCAAGACACTCAAAGTATGGCAAGAGCTTGACTATAGAAATGACATCTGTCGTATCGCAAGTGGTTCCCATATCGAACATTTAAAGTTCTGTGTAAAAAAAACTTAGTGAAAACTTTTTGAATTTTTCATGAGTTGTAACCATTCTTTTTCTTTATATTACATATCTTTACTAGGGGTGGTAAACACTTTCATTGAACAGCGTCCCAATAAATCATGACCATACTACTTATTGTTACCAGTAAATATGTAAATGTTATTCCCAAATACCTCACCTTATATTGGTCCTCATTGTCCTTGCACCGTCCCCACAGCACGAGTAGTAAATAGATGAGTAAAAGAACAATAACAAACAGCACGACCAGTGGGTTGTCCAAGACAGTCAGAAACAGCTTAGCGTCATTGAAGGGATCTATACTCTGAGGAGGGACGGGGAACGCTGCAGCGATTATCGACAAGTGGTTACACACACAAACCGTCCTTACAGCTGTAGACCTGGGACTGACCTACGTCAGATCACATATTATGCATAGCTACAAAGTATGCAAGCTCACTAAGCTGTATAAAATATGATAATGGTAAAAAAGCCCTGGACAGGTAAATATTCATAAAAATAATCGAGATGGAGCTACTTAAAATAAATTTACTGGGCATAGAAATGGTTTTAACACATTATTCAGTGATACCCCACTAAGGGGAACAGCCTGCTATGAGTCAGAGGAAAATCCTAACAGTAATCATAGATTGATATGCACATCTAATTTAAGTTCTGTATTAGTAGAAAAAGGTAGAATACAAAGCCACAAACCCAGACTCAGACGTGCAATCAACTCGAAAATGGCAACCGTTTAAAGATTTCTTGAGATTGCAATTCAGTCGTACGCTACCTTCTCAGGGGTTCATCGGACTAATTTAGTCACTTTCTAATGTGTTAAAAAGTATTCCATGCCAACATTGTTCTAAGCGTTGTAGCTCTATCTTTACTTATAATTTTTTTAACTAATTGTGAAGCAAAACTCTAGGGGGGGGGAGGGATAAACTAGTATTCACCAAAGTCAGGCTATGCCTACCCCAGAACCGGCCACACTCAAATTTCTTCCCGTGGAGTGCTCAGGAGCCGAGAAAAATCCAGGGGTCGATACGATGTTGTCACAGCTTTGACTGATCAATTTATTTAAATTTAATCGAAGGCTCAGAGCTCTAGAAGCGTTGTAAGAATATATTGTAAGAATATATTACTTACGTCAATCAGCTCATTGAGTCGTGAGTTTCACCTGAATGAATTTAAATACTCTAGAAGCGCTCAGGAAATCCTGCAGACGCTCAGTTGGAGCTATATCATCCTCACCCTCGTTAAAGTGTTTTGGTAAATTTTGCCTAACTTTTGGATTGACTCTGTAGGACCGACGAGTATTCTATCTTAGCCAATTTGATAAAACTACTCGTATTGAACTTTAAAACTAAACTGTTTGGCTAAAACGTTGTAAATAATATAATATCGAATATATTTAAGGTAAAACACTATTCCTACAGAGTCGTCGGGGCCTAATTAATCTAACTAAACGGAGGATTGATTATGAGATGATTTAAGATAAATATGATACTAATATTCGTAGCTGCTGATTGTTCATATCAGCCTGCTCCCAAGACTTGATTCTTTCACCCGCCAAAGACGGGATTTAAAACTCAGACAACAAGTCTCGAGGTATTAAACGACGAATAAACTAAAATAAACGTACGTAATAATTCGTTAAGCGAACGGAACAAATGTAATTTTGTAGCCAATTGATTTAAAACAAACCGAAAAAATAGCCACCGCTAGTCACTGGCAGGAAGGAACTGGCGGGTCAAGACTCAAGTTAAGATATTTAATTTAGATAATTCCAATCGGGATTTTAAGAAAACAAAAATGTATAATAGGCTAAGTATGCGTAAGATAAAACAGAAATAACATAAAACGTAAAAAGGGGCCTAACTAGTGTGATAGCTAACCTTCTTAGTGTCGTATTCGTAATTCGTGCAAGCTAGTCGGCGGTCAAACCGCGAATAATCTTCTCTCGGATCAAATCCTGATTTCCCTGGCCGCGGCTTAAGCGCTCCAGTGGTGATTTCGGGAACTAGCCAACAGCTGATCTGGAATTCAGTCTAGTTATCGTCTGTCGCCGTTGGTAAACAAACACCAGTTCGAGGTTATGTCGTCGTCCTCGGTAAAAGATATCTGTAAAGTCGGCTGGTCTAATGTTATTTGGTGAAATGGAGTACTAATATGAATCAATAAGTAGTTGTGGGTGTGTGTCCCATGTAATTCACTGTGATTGAAAATAGGCCTACGTTCTTTGGCCCATAGCCCAAGCTATGTCCAACACATAGGCCTAGGAGTAGGCTATTGTGGATAAAAATTGGGTAAGTTCTGGTGTTTATTTATTCACAGTACGTTTTTACCCCTCCCCCCCTTAAAAATTGGTACCTTACATAGTTATTTATTTATTCATTATTATATATTCATCCTGGGACTTTTTTATCCACTCTATATTAAACCAGTTGTTTCCATAAAGCCGCGTTTACACCAAAGTTGACAACCAGGTTTTCGACTAGTTTCGGAAACTTGTTGCTTTTTCTACAAAATGCAGCGACTTTTTCTGTCGTCAACTAGTGGAGCAACAAGTTTTCCACTAAATTTTGATTTACCGCGGAGAGTCGGTAAGATCAAAGAAAGATGACAACAAAAAGTTGAAGACTAGTTGCTACGTGCTTTGCGCAAACAACTTGTTGAAAACTAGTGGAGAACTATTCCCCCTCCCATATTGTACACGTATTGTATATGTGTATTATTGAATTATTTTAATTATTGAGCGGAGCGAGCGAAGCGAGCGAAGCTCTTATACGTCGACTCTTATGCATTTCGTAATACGCAAACTCCTCCTAGACGGATGAATCAATCGTTTTCAAATTTTGCATGGTGATAGAGACCATATCGGTGAGTGCCAACATCTATATGGCGTTAAAAAAGTCTCTCAGGAATCCGCCCCACTGGGTCTCAAAGTTTCAATGTAATCCTTATGGAAGCAGTATTTGACACATAAACAAAAACATATGATCAGCTGTTGACTTTTGAAAGCAGTAGAAAAGAAATAGCTGATAGCATTAATCCACAGATATTAGAACAGAAACGGTATGGATCATAAATATAATCAAATGACGACACTAGCTTGAGGTCCGTGACGTAGGAAGTGGTGAAGGAAGTAGTAAAGGAGAGCAGTCTGGAGTGTGGAAACTGTTTATGACGATTAGATTTAGGTATCTGCATTCCTAAAATTTTATAGGAAGGGAGGAAAACTGGTCCGCGACGTAGGAAGTGGTAAAGGAAGTAGTCAAGGCGAGCTGTCCAGAGTGTGGGGACTGTTTATAACAATTAGATAAAGGTAATATTAAAGGCATTCCTAAAATTCTATTGGAAGGGAGGAAAAGGGGTCCGCGACGTAGGAATTGGTGAAGGAAATAGTCAAGGCGAGCTGTAGGGAGTGTGGACTGTTAAGACGATTATATTAAGGTATCTGCAATCCTAAAATGCTATTAGAAGGTAAGGAAACAGGTTCGCGACGTAGGAAGTGGTGAAGGAAGTAGTAAAGGCGAGCTGTTCGGGATATGGAATCTGTTTATGACCCTTAGATAAAGGTATTTGCAATCCTAAAATGCTATGGGAAGGGTGGAAAACAGGTCCGCGACGTAGGAAGTGATGAATGAAGTAGTCAAGGCGAGCTGTCCAGGGTGTGAAAACTGTTTATGACGATTAGATTAAGGTAGGCCTACCTGCAATCCTAAAATGCTATGGGAAGGGTGAAAACAGGTCCGCGACGTAGGAAGTGATGAATGAAGTAGTCAAGGCGAGCTGTCCGGAGTGTGTAAACTGTTTAAGGCGATTAGATTAAGGTATTTGCAATCCTAAAATGCTATGGGAAGGATGGAAAACAGGTCCGCGACGTAGAAAGTGATAAATGAAGTAGTCAAGGCGAGCTGTCCGGAGTGTGGAAACTGTTTATGACGATTAGGTTAAGGTATCAACAAACTTAAAATGCTATGAGAAGGGAGAAAACAGGTCCGTGACGTAGGAAGTGGTGAAGGAAGTAGTAAAGGCGAGTTGTCTGGATTGTTGGATCTGTGTATGACCAATAGCTTAAGGTATCTACAAACCTAAAATGCTATGGGAAGGGAGGAAAACAGGTCCGTGACGTATGAAGTGGTGAAGGAAGTAGTCAAGGTAAGCTGTCCGGAGTGTGGAAACTGTTTATGACGATTAGATAAAGGTAATATTAAAGGCATTCCTAAAATTCTATGGAAATGGAGGGAAAGGGGTCCGAGACGTAGGAATTGGTGAAGGAAGTAGTAAAGGCGAGCTGTTCGGGGTATGGAATCTGTTTATGACCATTAGATTAAGGTATTTCAAACCTAAAATGCTATGGGAAGGGAGGAAAAGGGGTCTGCGACATAGGAAGTGGTGAAGGAAGTAGTCAAGGCAAGCTGTCCGGAGTGTGGAAACTGTTTATGACGATTAGATTAAGGTATCTACAAACCTAAAATGCTATGGGAAGGGAGGAAAACAGGTCCGTGACGAAGGAAGTGGTGAATGAAGTAGTAAAGGCGAGTTGTCTGGAGTGTTGGATCTGTTTATGACCAATAGATTAAGGTATCTACAAACCTAAAATGCTATGGGAAGGGAGGAAAACAGGTCCGCGACGTATGAAGTGGCGGGGGAAGTAGTCAAGGCGAGCTGTCCGGAGTGTGGAAACTGTTTATGACGATTAGATAAATGTATCAACAAACCTAAAATGTTATGGGAAGGGAGGTAAACAGGTCTGTGACGTAGGAAGTGACGAAGGAAGTAGTAAAGGCGAGTTTTTCGGAGTGTGGCAACTGTTAATGGTTATTAGTTTAAGGTATCTGTAATCCTAAAATGTTATGGAAAGGGAGGGAAACGGGTCGTGACGTAGGAAGTGGTGAAGGAAGTAGTAAAGGCGAGTTGTCCGGAGTTTGGGAACTGTTTATGACGATTAGATTAAGGTATCTGCAATCCTAAAATGCTATGGAAAGTGAGGGAAACAGGTCCGTGACGTAGGAGGTGGTGAAGGAAGCAGTAAATGTGAGCTGTCCGGAGTGAGGGAACTGTTTATGCCGATTAGATTAAGGTATATGCAATCCTAAAATGCTATGGAAAGGGAGGGAATCAGGTCGGTGACGTAGGAAGTTGCGAAGGAAGTAGTAAAGGAAAGGTTGTTCAGAGAGTGGGATATGTTTATAACCAATAGATTAAGGTATTTGCAATCCAATAATGCTAAGGGTAGGGAGGGAAACAGGTCCGAGACGTAGGAAGTGGTGAAGGAAGTAGTCAAGGCGAGCTTTTCTGATTGTGGGAACTGTTTATGACGATTAGATTAAGGTATCTACAATCTTAAAATTCTATGGGAATAGAGAGAAACAGGCCCGTGATGTAAGAAGAGGTGGAGGAAGTAGTAAGGTGAGCAGTGTGGAGTGTGGGAACTGGGAACCCTTTGTAGCAGTTAGATTAACTTATCTGCAATGCTGAAATGCTATGAGAAGGGATGGAAGCATGCCCACGACATAGAAAATGGTGAAAGAAGTAGTAAAGGCTAGCGGTGTGAAGTGTGGGCAATTTTTGTGGCAATTATATTAACGTATCTAAAATACTAAAATGCTATGGAAAGTGATGAAAACAGGTCCACGATGTAGGAAGTAGCTTAGGAAGTAGTAAAGTATGAGCATAATGTGAGAACCGTCTGTGGCAGTTAGATTAATGTATCTTCAATCCTAAAATGCTAAGAGAAGAGAAGGAAACAGGCCCTACGACGTAGGAAGTGGTGAAGGAAGTTTTAAAGACTGGCAGTGGAGAGTGGGGGAACCGTTTGGGCAGTTAGATAAATGTATCTAATACCATTATATAGTCAATATACCAATATATAGTCAATTATAATACTTAAATGCTACGAGAAGGGAAGGAAACAGGTCTATGGCGTAGGAAATGGTGAAGGAAGTAGTAAGGCTTGCAGTGCAGAGTGTGGGAACTGCCTTTGGCAATTACATTAATGTATCTGCAATCCTAAAATGCTATGGGAAGAGAGGGAAACAGGTCCACGACGTAGGGGGTGATGAAGGAAGTAGTAAAGGTGAGCAGTGTTGAGTGTGGGAATGGATTAATGTATCTGCAATGCTAAAATGCTATGGGAAGAGACTGTAGACTGTAGGTTAAAATGATTACTAAGCACAAATCGATACATATTTTGATACATGCAATCGTTTACAATAGAAATTTACAACTGAGTTGTCAACAACTGATTTTTACTCCATAGAGGCTAAAAACGATCTTTACTCCCTAAAGAGTAAAAATGCTACTTTAGACCCGCAACGCATGCATTAAAAACGACTGTTTTTACTGCGGTATGACAAAAACAATATAGTATGAACCCCTGATGACTCCGCTCAATTTTGTGGATGCCTCTGCAAACGCCACCTAGTTATAATAGGTAGGGTAAATGTTAGCTATATTTCTATTTAAAGATCTTTATTAGGCCTAACAACATCTGGATGTGTACAGAGCTACAGACCACGCCTGTGGTCTGATTTTGATTAAAATTTTTATGTGGGTACTAATCCATAATATCTCTAGGTATTTTTGATTTTTTTTTTAATTTTGATTTTTAATGGTGATTTTTCTGTAAAAGACGGAAAATTTGATTTTTTCGGAAATGGCCGAAATGACTTTTAATTATAAGATTTAGTATGTTGTAGCCACCCTTTAATTTCTGAACAAAATAGTATAACTCCCATTCCTGTAAAATTACGGTTCAAAAGTTATTGTAACTTAAGTCATTTTCCCATAAAACCCCATGAAAAAACAAAATAAACCCACCGCAGCAAACCTGCAGACTAAGCGAATTTCTATTTACCTGATTGAATTTACACTAAAATGTCTCCGTAAAAATATCACATTCATGTCCTATTTAGTGCAGCCCCCTCCACTATTGATGCAGCCTGATTGCTGTAAAAGTTACGATTCCAAAGTTAATGCAACTTTTGTAATTTTACCTAATAAATATCATAGCTACATAGTTACTAAATACCTATTAAATATCATTATTACTCGAATCACTTATCCATGATAATGGTTGTTGACAAGCTAATGGGAGATATCTGGGAGAATTCTGCACATCATATATGTGTCAGATTGCTGATTCAATAATGTAGGTAACTAAAGTGCACATTATTTTCTTTTTAGGAATGATTGTGTCTTCTTCTTCCGACGACATCCTTGAACCATATCCTTGACACTACTGTGTAACTGTACTGATCATTTCGCGCCTATTCTTTGACAACAAGTTTTCCACTAGTTTATCTAAATTAGTGAGGAGCAACATTTAGTTGTCAACTTTTAGTTGTAAACATTTGGTTGTAAACTTTTGGTTGTCAAATTTTGGTGGTCAACTTTTGGTTGTCAACATTGGTGTAAACACGGCTTTATCTTGGAATTGGAAAATTCAAAACTAACAATGAGTTTATGTACACCTAGTATTGATCTTCAATGTTATTTAAATAATATTAATTTACTTAGTTAGCTATTAGTGAAACAAATTTACCAACCTTTATATTTTTAATTGGAAAATGTGATTTATTTTTTGTACCCTTTGAAGGAAAAATCAATAAATAAATTATGAATTATGATTGTTAATAAAACAATTGAATGCAGAAACTCACTCCACATCCTATGGTGCTCCACTGGCTCTCAATCCACAGCTGACACAAGGTTAATGTCACCTCAAATGTATAGTGTACACTCTGATTGATTGGCACCTGGAAATTATAATATCTATGACACTGTTAGTGCATTTGCAAATCTTTTGAAATCATCTAGGTCTAGGAGATTAAAACCTTTTGAATTCAACTTTCGGGTTGTTTAGTTGATTTACTATGACACCAATACAACCGGCAGCTCTAATTAGGACAAGGGTGAGTGAAGAATAAGATACATTGAAGGAGATGGAGATAATGAGATTGTTACTGACTGAAATCAGCTAATTATTTTGACACGCTCATCTATTAAAACCCCAATGTATGAGGAAACATTACTTTAATAGGTAATTAACTTAATGACTGTAATGTATGTAATACTTGTAGGAAGCAAATATATAATAGTTTGCCTCTGTTAGAAATCAGTGTTAGGTAGAAATGTTAATAAAAGAATGAATAAAGTTTGATTAAAAAAAAAAAATCATCAATGTGTAATTATAAAATAATTTTTGAAGATTTTGAACTTACTCCTGACCCAGGCAATATTCCCATGTATAAAAACATGCTGGCATCCACTAATCGGTGCTTTAAAGGGTACACGGGATTGGACGAGTTCAACACATGTGATCCCCTTTCATTTGTCATCATCGCATAGTCGGGGCGGTAGTTTTCTGTCACAAGCACCTAAAACATTTTCATTGTAGGAAAAGAAAAGATGAGTTTCCTAGCCGCCATAATTTAGTATTTCTATTTCACCAATAACAAATAAGATGGGAATGGATCCATAAGAACATAAACAGAGCAAATAACAATGGTTTTGATCTCTCCATAAAGACTATTTTTTTATAACTAATATTGTTATAATATTGTTGTGTTTGTGTCTGGAATTTTTCCTAGGAAATTAAAACAAGCTAAAATAATACCTTTACATAAGAAAAATAACTTGACAAATGTATCTAACTACCGACCAATATCTGTGCTCCCTGCTATCTCTAAGATATATGAAAAAGCAGTATACATTCAATTGTCCAAATTTTTAGAACAATTTAATCGTTTAGATGATAATCAGCATGGATTTCGGAATGGTAGATCGGTTGGGAGTGCTGCAGTATCCTATACTCTAATACGAGCAAAGTTTGCTTGTATGTATGTATGTATGTATGTATGTATGTATGCTTGCACCAAGATCTCGAAAACGGCTCCGACGATTTTCTTCAAATGTTGTATATAGTTTATTTCTGGCCTAAAAACGAGTTTACTGCCGTTAGAACTGCCAACAAAAATCTAATTACGTAGAAAAATGAAACTGAAAATCACATTTTTTTAACACTAGTCTTATGGGTTGCTAGGTAACCATGTTGGCTGAATTAAATAACAAGGAAGAGGTAAACAAAAGACTTGTAATAATTTGTCTATCCACAGTATACTAGCAAAACAAAATACAGTACAAAAGGAAAAACATCAGTTGTTACTATTGAGCAAAGATTATACTGAAGATTACTCGATTCTATAGTCAAGGGTAGCAGTGTGGAGTGTGGGATCTGTTTATGACGATTAGATTACGGTATCTGCAATTCTTAAAAGCTATGGAAAGGGAGGAAAACAGGTCCATGACATAGGAAGTGGTGAAGGAAGTAGTAAAGGCGAGCAGTCTGGAGTGTGGGAACTGTTTATGACGATTAAATTAAGGTATCTGCAATCCTAAAATGTAATAGGAAGGGAGGAAAACAGGCCCATGGCGTAGGAAATGGGGAAGGAAGTTGTACGGATAGCAGTGTAGAGTGTGGGAATCGTCTGTGGCATTTATTTACGACATAGGGAGTGGTGAAGGAAATAGTAAGGGTGAGCAGTCCGGAGTGAGGGAATTGTTAATAACGATTAGATCAAGTTATCTAACAATCCTAAAATTCTATGGGAAGGGAGGGAATCAGGTCCGCAACGTAGGAAGTAGTGAAGGAAGTAGTAAAGGCGATCAGTCTGGAGTGTGAAAACTGTTTATGACGATTAGATTAAGGAATCTACAATCCTAAAATGCTATGGGAATGGAGGGAAACAGGTCCGCGACGTAGGAAGTGGTGAAAGAAGTAGTAATGGCGAGCAGTCTGGAGTGTGGAAACTGTTTATGACGATTAGAAATGAATCTACAATCCTAAAATGCTATGGGAATGGAGGGAAACAGGTCCGCGACGTAGGAAGTGGTGAAAGAAGTAGTAAAGGCGAGCAGTCTGGAGTGTGGAAACTGTTTATGACGATTAGATTAAGGCATCTGCAATCCTAAAATCCTATGGGAAGGGATGGAAACAGGTTCACGACGTAGGAAGTGGTGAAGGAAGTAGTAAAGGTGAGCAGTCCGGAGTGTGGAAACTGTTTATGACGATTAGATTAAGGCATCTGCAATCCTAAAATCTTATGGGAAGGGATGGAAACAGGTTTACGACGTAGGAAGTGGTGAAGGAAGTAGTAAAGGTGAGCAGTCCGGAGTGTGGGAACTGTTAATAACGATTAGATCAAGTTATCTACAATCCTAAAATGCTATGGGAACGGAGGAAATCAGGTCCGCGACGTAGGAAGTGGTTAAGGAAGTAGTAAAGGCGAGCAGTCTGGAGTGTGGAAACTGTTTATGCCGATTAGATTAAGGAATCTACAATCCTAAAATCCTATGGGAAGGGATGGAAAGAGGTCTGCGACATAGGAAGTGGTGAAGGAAGTAGTAAAGGTGAGCAGTCCGGAGTGCGGGAAATGTTTATGAAGATTAGATTAAGGTATCTACAATCCAAAAATGCTATGGGAATGGAGGTAAACAGGTCTGCAACGTAGGAAGAGGTGAATGAAGTAGTAGAGGCAAGCAGCCCGGAGTGTTGGAACTGTTAATGACGATTAGATTAGGGTATCTGCAATCCTAAAATGCCGTTGGAGGGGAGAGAAACAGGTCCGCGACGTAGGAAGTGGTGAAGGAAGTAGTAAAGGTGAGCAGTCTGGAGTCTGGGAACTGTTTATGGGAATTACATTAAGGTATCTACAATCCTAAAATGGTACGAGAAGGGAGGAAAACAGGTCCATGACATAGGGAGTGGTGAAGTAAGTAGTGAAGGTGAGCAGTGTGGAGATTGGGAGTGGATTAATGTCTGTGCAATACTTTTCAGAGTAAACTAATAGTTTTCCCCGAGCAAAGCTTGGTCCCCAGGTACTCTTTTATTGAAACTGTAATTGAGTCGGTTGATAAGGGAAAATGTACAACTGGTATTTTTATGGACCTATCTATGGCATTCGACAGTGTTAGGCATTTTACTCTACTTGAAAAACTTCAAAGACTAGGAGTAGCAAAACGAAATCTTAATTGGTTTAGGTCATATCTCGCTGAAAGATCTCAATACGTAGAAATAACTCACTTGACAAATTACAATATAATTATTAAATCATGCTCAACTTATAAGCCAATAGTTTTCAGAGTGCCACAAGGCTCAGTATTAGGGCCCCTGCTTTTTTGTGCTATCTATGTGGAATGAAAGATTCTTTAATATATAATAAAAATTCAACACTATGTCTGTATGCTGATGACTCGAATTTGGTAATATCATCCAACTCAATAGAGCAAACATAGATGTTTGCTTATGTAGAATTGGAAAGTACCTATTGGAAATTTTCTTAATAACCATAACTTGATGATGAATTTACAAAAAACTAAATTTATAAATTTTAAGACAAAACAAAATAGACAGAAGGAGCCAACAACAATAAGCTATAACTTACAAAATATTGATGAAGAAATTAGTACCAATTTTTTTGGGTTTAACACTAGATCAGCACTTGAATTGGGATAAACATGTCAACAAAATTTTAAGTAAAATTAATTCCGGAATTCATGCTTTATCAAGTATGTCTTTGTACTGTGATTTAAAAACTTTAAAAAATATATATTTTGCACATGTGCATTCACATATCTCGTTTGGCATAGCACTCTACGGCTCAACAAAAATATGTAATCTAGATAGCATTTTAAAGGAGCAAAAAAGAGCGGTTAGAATCATGCTTAAGCTGCAGCGTGATGAGTCAGCTAAAGAGCATTTTAAGGACTTATAAATCTTTACTGTTTACGGGCAGTATATATATGAATCAATAACAATTGCAAAATACCCCCGCCGCAGCAAACCTGCAGACTAAGCGAATTTCCATTTGACAGATTGGATTTATTTATTCCTGATTTAAATAGAATTAGTTTAACAAGTACTTAGGTTTGCTGCAACAGGGAGGGTAAAAAGGTGTTTTTTGTAAAATGTTAATAGTTAGTAAGAAATAAAAACATTTTCCAAATTTGATCAAAATATGTTCATAAACAAGCAAACTACAACAGTTTACTTATTCTCCATAAGAATAACATGGGAATTTTAAATTTAAAATTTTTTGGAATTTTCTCTGTAACCATTAGGCGCATAACAACGCTTCAATATACTAAATTATTTGGATTTTTAAGCTCTACAAAATGGTTTGGAAATAAATTGCTAAATTTTATGTTTTTTGGGTCAAAAATGGGAAAAACCTATTTTTACCCCATAAAACCCCCCGTAAACACCCGTTCCCATGGTCCGATCATGCTGGATCGCGAACTCGTTCGAATAAACGTAGGTTTACACGTTTGTACCAAATTTCATCAAAATCGGATCATTTTTGCTCGAGTTATCGTGCTGACGGACACATATATATATATATATATATATATAAATATATATATATATATATATGAATTTGAACGGATGGTGTTTTTGGCCTCTAGGGACCTCAAAACGAAAAAAAAAATCGGTCCCGCGTCCAGGTCTTACCATGAGTACTACGGTAATAGCTTATTCCCTATATGGGAAATTCGCTAAAAACAAGAAGTTAGTATATTCGGAACCAAAAGAAAAATCCCATTCCTATAATTTAAGAAATAAGAACGAAAATGTACAACCACACAGGACTAAATTTTTTGAAAAGAAACCATCTTATACAGGTAATAGATTTTCTAAATTTATTCCAAAAAATATTAAAAAAGAAACAAATCCAAACAAATTTAGAAAAATATTGAAAGAGTTTTTAATAAATTTAGCAATTTATTCTTTTGACGATTTTTTTCACCTCCCTCAGTCACTATGATAGTTGAAATTATCTTACTAGATTTGTAAAATGTATTTGTTGTTTTTATAACCATTCCTCATGTTTTGCTGTTTTTTATCCTGTTGAACTATTTTGACACTATTTATTGTAATTATTTTGACACTATTTATTGTACAATGTACATAAAAACGAATAAAGATATTTGAATTGAATTGAATTGACAAAAATAATATGATTTAGAACAAGGGAAAAACAATCTGATTTCCCTCATTCTCAATCAGTTCTCAATCTGTCCACTACGCACTGTGGTTGTTTCAGCATTTGTTTTATAGCTTAAGTCAGCGGTTTTTACTGTTTTAAAATCTAAATGCAAACAGAAATAGACATGTAAAGCTTGTTTACTGCACAATAAACACATAACCTTAATAACTTTTACGTTGTTGTAAATGTTTGCTATAAACCGTTTTTTTTTTATTTTTCCTATATTTAAAAATTTAACTGAGAAATATAATAGTTTTAAGTTTTAATCTTACTGAGATCTGTTATTCTGTATGTCTGTAACATATAACATCTGTGTTGTGATGAAAAGTGTCATTCATAACTTATTCTAAAAATTATTTTCTTGCACTTGCTCCATCATTCCCGTCCAATGTCTTACATGCTTGGCTTTACCTCGCACATGAAATTTGGTATTCTAGTGTTCAGCTTTGCCTCACACACATTAATTGAACACCCACTGGAAAATGCCAGTTTCTGTACTTGTGATAAAATACACTATTTTACTATTAAAAAACCACACTTATTTTACCCAAACTGTCAAATTCATTTACACATTACAAATAAGTATCCATGATAATTCTAGAAAAGTACTCACTCTTAATGATTCATTAGTCGCAGGGAAGAGAAAACGGATCCTAATCAATCCTTTGGGGGGAGTGTCAATTCTGTGGATTGAAACACCGTTATCCAGGAGTTCCAGGTCTAAACTAGGGTCCAGCTGCATAGCACTTCCACTTACAGTGGTATGGGTCAAATTCTTCTCCATATCTACGGCCACGTAAATGGGAACGGAAAGTTGCGACACCTTATCCAAATATTTACTCTTTTTCTTCTTAGCTACACTGACGGAAACCAATTTGGACTTAACATCAGATTGAGACCAGGAGAATATATTCCTGTCGACTGTTGCCGCCTGGAAAAACAAAAATTGTTATGATTCTACACCTAATCTTTAATTATTTGAGTTGTAATAAATAGAAGTATTTTTGAAAATATGTTGTTACTTTTACCTTTTACTAGTATAATAGGAGGGGTCAAATTGTAGTGAGGAAGTTTTTGTCAATTGTATTGCATGAGGCTGGAATTGTTGCTTGATCAGGGGTTCAGTTTTGTGAGGGACCGTAGTGTGATGTACCAGTTTTGGAGGTGATGGTACGTGGGAGGAGGTGGAGATGAAATCCTTTGGCCTTGGTTCCAGGTAAGACAACCTTATGTGTTATATGTTTTCAAAATTGGAGTTTCTGTTGCTACTAAATTATCAACACTGTTTCAGACTACTCTACATTTTGGTTGTTATTAATCTTTGTGTGTTTTGGTTTAACTGTATAGTTAGTTAATTGGGTTTAAGATCCAAGTTGTATTGTAAGCGAGTGCTAAGATACTGGCAAAAGCAACTGGCTGTGGGTAAGCCTTCAAGTAGGCCTGAGGTTTACTCATTGTTACACAAGTAATGCGTGTTTAAAAGTTTAATATTTACAGTGCCACTTTTTATATGGAAAACTGTTGTCTTTAAACTCAAAGCAAGATAGGATCCACTATGAAAATACAAAATATACTAAGATTTCATAGCACGAGCAACCAAGACAACTTAAGAAACTAAAGTAGTAGACCTCTAGTTCTATGATGATCAACCTTTTTTTTATCCAAATATATTTGTGAATACTCAATTGCTTTAAGAAAAATTGGATACTGACACTGTATACTCTGTTTTATGAACGTCCATGTCACTGGCCCGGCCATGACGGAATTAGTACATAAGAATTATGCTAATATTTAGTACCTATTTCGTACTATTTAGTACCAACAAACAAAAAATTAGTACCCCACTCGGTACCGGATAACTAATTAATTTAGGATTCCGGGCCAGTGACATGCTGGCCCGGCCATTTTCGAATTTGATCCTAATATGTATACCATCATTTAGTACCTATTTCGTACTATTTTGTACCTCCATTAATATAATTTGTACCTCAAAGAAAACCAAGCTACGGGCCCGTTAACTGTACAGGTCAATGACCCCTCAGCCCGGCCATATCGGAACCTATGGTTATAAGCTATACTACTATTTAGTACTTATTTCGTACTATTTTGTACCTCCATTAATATAATTTGTACCTCAAAGAAAACCAAGCTACGGGCCCGTTAACTGTACAGGTCAATGACCCCTCAGCCCGGCCATATCGGAACCTGTAGTTATAAGCTATGCTACTATTTAGTACCTTGTTCGTACTTTTTTGTACCTTTCGAGGTAAAAAAATTACCTCAAAGATAAACAAACTACTTATGTTACATATTGTATGTGTAATCATGCTATTGTTAGTGGTTAATTACCCCTCAGCCCGGCCATGTCACAGTTTCTAGTTATAAGGTATGCTATTATTTAGTACTCAATAATTAACAAGTGATGCAGTTATTTGGTGGTTATCTCCAACTATTTTGTTCTTCATATTAAACAATATGTACTACTCATACAACCCAAGTAATCAATGTGTCGAGGTTTAGGCTATTTTGGTGCGAGGGTACTGTGGTGATTTTTTTATTTCATTCAACATTAAGTTCACAACTTTGTTAATTTTTTCTTTCTTTTTTCTTAATTAATTTATGTTGTAAAACTTAACGAGCTGTTGGCCCGTCCTACGTACGGGAATTTAGTAGTCAAGTAAAACTGAAGTAATATCAATATTTCTAGAATGTAGAATGTTAGCGTCGGCTGCTAGACTTTTTACAATTTTAAACTTATCTTCTAAAAAACTGAAACCCTAAACTAAAATTATAGCTTCAACATTCCCTAGTTTTCAAAATTATTTGTCTTTCAGTTTTTTTAGTAGTTTTTTTAGAAGTACAAATTATATTAATGGAGGTACAAAATAGTACGAAATAACTACTAAATAGTAGTATAGCTTATAACCATAGGCTCCGATATGGCCGGGCTGAGGGGCCATGGATCTGTACAGTTAACGGGCCCGTAGCTTGGTTTTCTTTGAGGTACAAATTATTTTAATGGGGGTACAAAATAGTACGAAATAGGTACTAAATAGTAGTATAGCTTATAACCATAGGTTACGATATGGCCGGGCTGAGGGGTCGTTGAACTGTACAGGTAACGGGCCCGTAGCTTGGTTTTCTTTGAGGTACAAATTATATTAATGGAGGTACAAAATAGTACGAAATAAGTACTAAATAGTAGTATATTTTATAACCATAGGTTACGATATGGCCGGGCTGAGAGGTCATTGACCTGTACAGTTAACGGGCCCGTAGCTTGGTTTTCTTTGAGGTACAAATTATATTAATGGAGGTACAAAATAGTACGAAATAGGTACTAAATGATGGTATACATATTAGGATCAAATTCGAAAATGGCCGGGCCAGCATGTCACTGGCCCGGAATCCTAAATTAATTAGTTATCCGGTACCGAGTGGGGTACTAATTTTTTGTTTGTTGGTACTAAATAGTACGAAATAGGTACTAAATATTAGCATAATTCTTATGTACTAATTCCGTCATGGCCGGGCCAGTGACATGGACGTGTTTTATGAACAATTTTGCTGAGTTGGTGCAGTAATTTTAATATTTTAAACTTAATCAAAAAATGACTACTGACTTTTGATATAGGTATTATCATTCAACGTTTAAATGATTTTCTCTACTATAACTGAATAAACCATTTAGTTATATTTTTATGAACCAGTTTAAACCAAACATAGTTATGAAGTATAACTGATTACTGAATAACTAAAAAAAATAAACACATAACATAAAAGAGTAGAATCTTAGAACTGTGTTAGTGCTTATCTACTTGTGATTCATCTGAAGAAACTAGGGTACATATAAAAAGTACCAAACCTTACCTGGAAATACAATTTCATACCGGATGCGCTTCTCTTATCTAAGGACCGTATAAGAGTATTGGAAACACCAATCGGTACAACATTATTCCTCCATAGCATTCTTGGAACACGGTAATCATCGTCGTTTCCCTGCGAAAAACAGGTAAATAATAGTTTGACATATCGTCTATCAATTAAATATAAATGTATGAAAAAAATCACTGTATTTTGGTTTTATAAGAGCAGAGAAACCGGGAAAACTTATATAGTGTTACAAAAGCTATGTAAAATGTAGATTAGGTTTTTGGTATTACAGTAAAATTAAAAACCTTATCAACGTGGTAGTTTGTTATTAAATTTCATCTCATAGGAGCACCCTGCTGTAGACTAGTGCTTTGTCTCCCTGTTTGGTTTTTTCCATCACACCATACAGAGAGTAGTTATTTTTGATAACAGCTGATATTAAGGAACGTGGCTTTTTCACTCGTCTATAGCTCTGAAGAAACAAAAGCTATTAAAATAATTGTTCATCTACTGGATAGGGGCACTCATTCTAAAAAAAAAAAAAAAAGTATTTAAAAACCGGTTGTGTTTGAGCCAAGAAAAACTAGTTCTCCTCCTTCTCCTTCTCCTTGAATGTTGACGGCCTACAGCCCAAACCACTGGCTCAATTTTAATGTTTTTTATGTTGTTTGAAAGCCCTTAGCGTGTAGATGTGCCTTTTGAGGGTCTCAAGTTGGTGCGTTGACCCATAAACCCTTGACAAGCCCTCAAAGTATGATTTTATTTAAATAACATGGGATTAAAATCAAAACAAAAGAAGGACCAGCTGCGATTAAATCTCAATTAATTTAAATGTTAGAGAAATTCATAGGAACAGCTGATAATTATTTTAAAACTTGTATAAGTTTTTTTTTCAGGTATACCGAATGATTTGAACTACTTACTATATCAAATTACTTAGAGCAGTGATATTCCCCGATACTTTCCATTGAAAAATAACACTGGTACAGCAGCTCGTCATTTTTAACAGTTTGACACTACTTATCAAAACATACGAAACCTAGGAACTTGAAACGTAGTACTAGTACTAAGGTTTGTTTTATGTTTTCATACACTAAAACAAATAAAACAATCGGGAAAAACACTCTATGTATATTAAACAAGCAATTAAAAAGTGATATGTAAGCAGAAAGACTGTGCTTTGTTCTTGCTGGACTTATTGGAGGCCAACAAGGGCATTATAGAAGCCATCTCATACAGCACGGTGAAAACTACAACTTGCCAGCACTGTCATTACACATTCACAGGGCAAGAGGAGACAGACAATATAATCACAATCCCCGTGGTGGCTGGTAAGGTAACACTAGAAAATCTGTTAAGCCTTACGATAAACGACCACTGGGAGCCCTTGTTAGATTATGTGTGCAGTAATGCTGAATGCGGCCAACGAGAATTGAGCCTGGGCAAGGTACAAGTTACTAAGTTATCACGAGGCCATTACACTTGCACCATGAAGACAGCTTCAGGTTGGACAACAGCCAATGATGAACACATAGCAAAGCAAAGATGGTCCATTGGTTCAAAGAATTTGTACATGTAATGCTGTTATTAACAGAACAGTAGAAGCAGCAGTAATCAATTGTAGTTAAATTCCATCAGCTCAGTTTGTTTTAACAGTATTACTTTGTTACAAATAACATTTATTTTAATTTTTTTCAGAGAAAAGAGGATTTTTATTTTTAACTGTTAATTTTCTACAAAAATAAATAAAATCTTACAAAAAACCACTAAGTGGCAGGCCCGGTCTGGCCAGGGCGGCTGGTCGGCGATCCCCGAGGGCCTCCGGCTCAAGGGGGCCTCCAAAAGCCAAAAAATCAATTCAAAAAAAATTTAGCTATAATAAAAAAATATTTTGTTTAACTGTTTCACAGCGACGTAGTCTTGCAAACACAGTTTTTAATAAACAATACTCTTTTTTTAATTGAATTACAGTTAGGGGTAGCCCCTAAGTACAGTGATAGTCACTCGGTACTAGAGGATAGTCACCGATCTCACTGCAACGCACCGTTCGAATCAGCTCAGTGCCCAGCGCTCCGCGGTAGTGACGAGACATTGCCGTGCCGGCGCGTCTGCGATATGTCTGGTCGTCTGGTGTCTGGACTCAAGCAGACAGCTTAGCGCTTGTACTAGTATAGTGATGGGACAACCTACTGGAAAAAACTATCGACTAGTCAATTTGTCAATCGGTTGTTTTTAAAACCAGTGGTTTTTTCAGTCGAATGAAAAACCGAGAGAATTCCACTACAACAACAACTGGTGGCGTTCAATCGCTGCAGTGGTTTCAGTCATTGCAAAGAAAATTATCGAATAACATTTTACTTTAAACATTAGAGTTTTCCCGCTTGATTCCTATTGTTTGTTGTCATTTGCATTAATATTTTGTTACTTTGGTATAAAACGTAATAGAATGACAACATTTACAATTAACTAAAAATTTTTAGTTATTACATGACTGCAAGATTTAAATTATTCAGTAGGCCTAATGTCTCTAACTCAGTATAACAAATATTCCTATTTATTTGTTACCTGGTTTTTAAAACAGATTTTACTACATGCATTAAAATCTAAATCATCAGTATATAAAACACAGTGTCTTGGCAATTTTATATTTTTTAAACAACAAAAATAAATGCAATTACATTTTATGTATCATCTCTAAAAACTGTTCCCCATTTCTATCCGTCAGTTTATCTACAACTGATTTTATTCAACCAGTCAGCCTCATCTCAACACCAAAAGGTCGATATGGTGTTACGACTAGTTTAATCACCGACGACTGTTTCCAGTCATTCCTACGTAGTGGGTTATGACGTATTGTTTGAAAGATTACTAACACGTGAATCGTTCAGTTTATAGAATGAAACGTGTGCACCCAAGTGGCGCAAGTAAAATAAAAATGGATAGGAAGTATTTCAAAATAAAAACAAATTAAATTCAAACTGTTTGAACTTATGGTTAGCAGGTTAGCTGGTTTCAGTTCCGATTCTGCTAACAATTAGAAGTCGCAAACAGGCAGGCGGAAATCATCAGAAGTTTTTTGTAAGCCTTACAACGTTCAAATTAACATACTTTTGATTATTTCTGTTTGTCTTTGTTGCTGAAGTAAACTCCAAGAACTAGGTTTTGGTCTTATTTTAAAATTGAAGACTTAAGAGGCCTTTAAATTTTATGGCAGCTGTAGAAATGAATAGAAATACGAGCAAATTTTATATCAAATTTAAATTGATTGATACCTTGGAATTAAATTTATAAATACAAAGATTTTAATTTATGGAAATTTAGCAATTATTAATTTAATCAAAATTATCAAAAATTTTTAATCATTTAAAACCACATTAGGCCCCTTTTATGAACCTGCGGCATGCAGCAAACATATATGCTAACTAATTGTTGCCGTTAGAGCACCCCATGGTCCTTGTTTTATTTCTGGCTGGGGGCCTCAAATCAACATCTAGCCGAGGGCCTCCAATGGAGCCAGACCGGGCCTGCTAAGTGGTAACACTTTCCCCGCCAAGTCAGCAATCCAAAATAGATAATAAATCATTGCCTTTTTCCGCCAAGAAAAAGAATGTAATGTTAACATAACATCCTTAATACGAAATTACATCTTTGCAATGGCAAAAGTTTACTGTTAATTTATTTTCTGTAGTAAAATTGCATCATTTTGTTGGTTTCTACTTTTATATTTTATTCTTAAAATCACCAAGTTTGGCAACTTGGCGGCCAAAACCACTTCTAGCTTGTTTTAAATTTTTTTACCTAATTATACTATTATGTAATTTGTAATTTATTGTCAATTGAAAATTACCGTGGCCTATGTTGTGTTTTGAGTGATCATCCGCAAAGATCATTAAGAGGTGTGACGTAATTTTCCTGGCGGACGACAAGTGGGAAATTACGCCACCGGTAATAAAACGAAGATCCCAGGATTCGCCCTAGTCTGGTCGCGGGGAGTTTCCCAGGAGTCGATAGTGATTCGGATAGCCTAAATTTGATAGCCCTGGTTGTCAGAGCTCGAGACGAACGTTACGGGTTACTAAACACCCAACTAGAAATCACCACTCTAGCCTAGGGCTTGTGGGGAAATTAATAATTTTGACTTGACTCTGTGGGCAAATATCTAAATGACACACTACTAGCTAACTTAACAAATCAACAAGTAAGCTAAGTAGTCACTCCGCTTACCTACGGAGTTACGTCGTCAACCTGAAACAAACAAGGTTAGTACAAGATAGGCCTAACCTAGCCTAACTCCCACAGAGTCTGAATTTACTAAATGATAAGAAAACAAGTTAGCCTAAGTGGTCCAGGTGAGGAACGAACAAAAAAACGAAACTAAAAAGGTGAAACTGCTCCTTGAGCCAAAAACGAAAAACTAAAACTTTAACTTCCTCACGTGTTCAACTTAGACCAACTTCGACAGAACTTGTCCAGCAGAAACCTGTCTGCTGGAACAGACTTTGGTACGTTTGGGGAACTTTAAAAAAAGGGTTTTAAGAATTAAAAAAGAAAGTCCCCAGACGGATTATGAAACGTAATTGAAAATATATTTCACCAACTGCAGTACTTTACTCAAATTGTTGGTTAAGGCGTATGACTAGGTCTGCGAATCAGGCCTAGCCTATGAACTTCGACAAAGTTCTGCCGAAAGAAAAACCTAAGTTGTCTAAGTTTTATTATACAACTTACCAATCGACGTAATAATACTGTAAAAAACGATTTTTCGCGCACTCGATGCACCACAGAACTTATTATGACTTTTACGACGAAGTAGTAGCACGAAAACTCTTCAAATCAAATCGAAGACGAAAGGACGAATAATTAGCGAATGCCTCAACAAAAACCGGGAATACCAATGACAATCTTCACAAATCTTCTTCTTCCTTCACCTTCATCTCCGAATCGAGACGAAAGTTAAAACGTTTCCTGATTGGTCAACGAGTTACAGAAACCGAAAAAAAAAACTGGCAGCGAAGGCAGGCGCATGGCAGCTTTAACAGGCTTACAGCCGCGTACCGCTCAAAGGTGACCCCGCTGCTCATCTTCTCTCCCGTAGCCCGGCCTCAGACGCAGTCGAACAGCCAAACAACCAAACTGACACCAACGTCGTCTGCGGTCTTGGAATTGGAGGTTAGGTACGACGTCAGTTTAGTGTCGCGACTAGGCTTACTCAACAGCTTATGTTTAGCTGTTTAATGTTCGTGGTCTAGATCGTTATATTTTTACCCCCTACACATTTGACCCGTTACAGAGGGAAATCAATTTACTGTATTATGGTGATGTTTGATGTTTGGGATTGGTTAAGAAATTTCTGCTCCAGGGCGCCCTAAACCTGACTACTGTTTACTGTAATTGTAAACTAAGGATCACTGCATAATCTTACCATAGCCCAAACTTGAAAAGACTTGTCTGAAGACCCCACCATGGCAGGAGGTAAGCCTGGAGCTTGAATGTAAGACAGAATGTCTTTGGCCCAATCAAGGATGTCTTCAGTTTCTATTGCCGCTTCTCTTAACTGAAAATTGTGAGTTGCCAACAAGCTATAAATTATTTTACTTGAAATTAAATGAGAAATATTGTGTAACAGCACTTATTTTAAGCAAAACCTTGTTGTTTCACAAAAACAACTTGGAAGATACACAGGCCTGGGTTTTCATCATCATTTGAACACAAACCAATGTCCCATTGTTAAAAAGGGTAAGAGGTGTACAGAAAACTTTTTCACAAAAATATCCAAATACCCCCGCCGCAGCAAACCTGTCCTCTAACGAATTTCCATTTGCCTAAAATGATTTTCAATTAAGCTATTTAAATAACATTAGGTCAAAACGATCCCATCTAGTTTCAACAACTACATCTTTTTTGTGCTGCAAATTGAGCAAATCATCAGGTGATGATGTCAGCTATGATACCTATTTACAAATTCCATGCGACTTGACTTACCCTTCACTGGCATCGTATAGTGTGTGTTGTATATTTATCATAGAACATTAGTAATATTAGTATGTAATCGATCATGTGATTATGGTAGTAGGTATGTGGACTTGAGAGCGAGCAACGGAGGTTTCCGGTCTGAAATGTGATCATAGAAATGTACATTCAATGTATGTTGTTAAGATTAATAAAATGATGTGTTACCGTACCTAAAATTGTGTTTGATTAATACAGTATACATATTTGATAGAACAGTAGTTACTCTCTGGTCGATCAGTTTTCTAATTGTGTTCTTTCGTGTCATGTTTCATGCCTTTATGCAGGTTAATGTTATGATAATTCTTTAGTCTGCAACTCTTAAAAAATGCTAACGTATATTTAATTATTTAAGCCAGCTGTTCTGAAGTAAATACAGTTTTAACTGACTTGATGCTTGATCCTCGTGTGTAGGCGGGCCTACAGTTAGTTAATGTTCAAATCTTACTAATATTATAAGTCTGAAAGTTTGTGAGTTTACGTGTGTTTGTGTGTGTGTGTGTGTGTGTTGCTCAATCACGCATAATTTACTGGACGGATTGGGCTGAAATTTGGCATGATGATAGCTCACATTCTCGATTACATATAGGCATATTCTTATCTCAAAAATCCTTTCGGGCTCAGCCCCAGTGGCTCTGTAGTTCCCCATGTTAACCTTATGAGTATTCATATTTAAAGGGAATTAAAGAATTTAGTCAGCTGTTTCAACTTAACAAGTTCGTTCTATGATATGCAATAGCATTAAAAAGTTATAAGGTTTCCCAACAGGGTGCAGCACTATTATTTTTTTTTTTGCATATATGACAACACCTAATTTGAACTAATTTGAACTGTGATACACAATGAGAACTGTCAAAGTAGGATTGTTTACAGATAAGTTTGAGTTTTTAATTTAATGAATAATTTGTGATATTGGACGAATGTTTGATAATTTATTTTTTTCTATTGTTAAGGTGCATATTGTTTAGGTAGTACATTATGGCAATGATAGATGTGTTATACAATATCATACCGTAAATTTATGAACCAAATTTGATCAAACTGTGTCCTCCCCCCATTGCAAACGCAAAGCTTGAGTATAACTGCAATAAGCATTTAATACTTATATGGCAACCCCGTACGAAGTACGGGTGCTCTGCTAGTAGTGTTATAACTTACAAGATAAATGGTGTCGAAACCTGCAGCTTCTTCAGACATTCCTTCAGAAGTAGTGCGTAGATATTTTGATGCAGAGTGGAGATTATCGAGAACATTTCTGAGAATGAGAACTTACATTGTAATACCAAACACAAAAGTGGTTGTAATTTGTTTTCCAAAACAAATTCAACCGTAAGTTTATTTACAAATATCTCATCATGACAATAATCTGGGTTTGTGATGCTTCAATACTTAATACTTTTTAATGAAATGGTGACCATACAAAGTAGGTATTTTAAGCCAAGTATGAATGGAGATGAGTGTAGGATGGTGGCGCAATCGTGTAGTCTGTTTACCGATTAAGGCCGACTTATTCCTTAGACACAGCTGTTCATACAGCTAACGGCAACTAAGGGACCTACAGTTTATAGTGGAAACCGAATCACATTTTTGCCCTGGTATATACAAATTGGTCTAATTTTCAGGATAGTACTGCGGATAGTCATAGTACTCACTCGTACTGACGTTAATCCACACCAGGGAGTTTCGCATCCACAGTGCATGCCTATAAATATCCACAATTCGTAACCTCCAAGAAAATGGATTAAGACGCCACCCGTCCCAGTTTGATAAAATGATGCATAATTACCCATAGCTTGTTTTTAATAACTAGGAAGAAACCAGGCATGTCTGTCTGTATACTTAAAACTTTCTGACAGCAACACAGGAATCAACTTTCGGTTTAAATAGTGCGGGTTAATACCCTTTCTTACAATAGCTATTGGCAAAAGCAAAAAAATTATACCGCAACAGACCAAACTGAACTTATTTAAACTTCACAGTTTTAGAAGAAATTTTTACATTTACCATTCTATATTACAATGGTTGTAATACTATTATTTTTACCAAAACAAGAAATGAATTATAAAACTTGTGGTCAAGTTTGGTTCATTGACTATTTGTCTGCCGGCTCTTTTATTATATTTTTCATCATACGGGTACATGAATTATTATTTGTGTTTTCATTTTTACATGAAAAATATACTACTTGCATTTTGAATTTGGAAAACCCCTTGCAAAGAAGTAAAGAATTTAGACTTCTAGTGATATTGCAATGTTTAAAAACTCCAGCCGCTTGTTGTAATTTATTTATTTATTAAATGAATTAATTGATTCGTCTAAAAGATTACAGCATTTTCACTGCTGTTTCTGCTAAAATAATGATCAGAGTTGTAAAACATTCACAGCGGACTGTACACTTACGTAGTTATTTGAGTGATTTCGTCAGATGGTATCCACTGAGAGGTTTCCCTGTGAGCCGTAACTATTCCCAACAACTTAACCTGTCTTTTTATTATCTCAAATGTCGTTAAGGTCAAGTCAAAGTCCATTGTTGGCGTGTGCGGCGTGAACAAACTTTCGAGGACGTTTTTCATTGTCGAAACACTCAATTTGACATCAGCGACTGTATGCAGTCTAATCTAAATTAGTAAAGAGAACAGAATTAATATCTATAGAAGAGCCATGAACACTTATAAAAACATGATAGCCAAAGCAGTGGTTCTGACAACATACAGGACTAAGTTAGGATTATGTAGGACTTAGATTAAATTGCTATCATTTACTGAACAAACGGTTTGCAAATATAATCCCAAATCACCCTTCCAGTACATGAAGCTTTGCAAATAAATCTGTCGAACTACCCAAAGTAAATAAAAACTTTTTCCATCATTTATTTCAATACTTGGATCCTAAATATTACAATCTAATTTCAACATGATGTAAGTTATATTACGAATTATTTAACATTAATATAACAATGTACCTTACCTATGTGAAAAAGTATTAATCAGGTCCCTGTATTGTAGTTCTCCCATTTTAAGAAGGTGTGAGATAATTATTTAATCATAAAATTGACAATAAATTCATAAATTTATCCTACTTCCAACTTATATTATATATGTGAGAAAGTTTGGATGTATGTATGGATGTTTGTGACAAGTAAACGTGAAAAATACTAGTCGGATTGTGCTGAAATTTGGTGTGTTGATAGCTCACATGAGACATAAGATATGTTTATTTCCATTAAACATATATTACAAATGTTTTGGAAGAGTCAAACATTTTTCATGCAGAGCAGTTGTCAAATTGAGAAGTAAGTTACAAAGTGTACTTTGAAGTCTACTAAAAACAAAAATTGCATTTTAAGTTATTTAATTGGTCTTAAAGTAATATCACAGAGTTTATCGCTATCGAGAAGTAAAAACAACCATTTAAAAGTTAGAAAAACATTACAAAATTAGACAGGTTGTACTACAAAGCATTAGGTGAAGGCATAATAGTTAGACAATGACAACTAAAAACATAACTTTGACGAAGGAAGGTCTAAAAAGTGGGTTTGTAAAAAGGATTAACAGCTAGCCATTGGAACACTTTATGTTCAAAAGAATTATATGGGAGAGAGAACATAGATGTAGGAATCTTATTAATACATTGCATGCCCACCATTTCATAGCTTTTCTTGGATTTATCCAGTCCAACATAGGGAATGTCAAGTTTATTTCTGAATCGAGTATTGTGCTGGTGGACATCTTTACGGCAGTTAAAAGCATTTAAATACTTAAAACTAGTTAACAATAAATTAAAAATATACAAGTAAACAACAGTGAGAATTTTTTAATCTATAAACATTGGCTTATGTTGTTCAACAACATCTACTTAGGCTATTATTCTTAGAATCTTTTTCTGAATTACAAGAATCTTTTTTTACATGTGGGCTATTCTTATATTTATAGACGCATTCTTATCTCAAAAATCCTTTTGGGCTCTGCCCCAGTGGCTCTGGAGTTTCCTATGTTAACCTTATGAGTATCTATATATTAATAGGCAAGCATGTTTCTTTAAAACCTTTTTTCTCAGCTCGTGTGTATCGCAGGGAAAATCTACGCATACTGTTAGAAAGATATTTTCCTGTAGATGCGCAGAATTCCTTTAAAAATTAAAATAGGCTCCAATATAAGCACAAAAAAGAATTTGAAATTAAAAAAAAAAATTAATATGAACTTTATGGGTTGCCATGCTGGTGACGAAATATAAACAGAAAATCATAACATGTGGAAGAAATTACAATCAAACTAGAGAACCCATGCGGCTCAATGAGCCGCATAATATGACACATAACATTATTTCTGCTCCCAGTTATAACTGATAACTTCTAATGAATGCTAAACGATCTGCTTCAATTCGAGTTAACATGTTGCAACAAATTTTTTTCAGCTTTAAGAATTGAAGAAAATTGTTGCCTTACTGATAACCTGTGTTAAGTAATTTAAGTTGGGCCATTTTATTTCTTGATTTGAGATATCCCCCTAATCAAACGAATTATCTCCGTAAAGAATGCTGAAAAGTGGGGTGATATATGCAGGTCCATCAACCATTTAATGTGCTTCATTTTTTACCCACAAACTCTGGGTTACCAACTGGACAGCCATAATTTGCATTGAATAGGGCAGCAACACCATTAAATGTTGGTTAACGGATATTAACATGTTGTCTGTCAGTCACAGTATATGCCCCGCATCAGAACGTTTTCACAATGGAGTTTCTCTTAATACCTGTCCTAAAGTTTTGAAAGTATGGATTCATTTGTCGAAGATTTGGATAGCAATTTTCATTTCTCTTTTTGAACTGCATACATTATTTGCCTCTCCTGAATCATAAAAATCAACTTGACCGTAACTACTCGATAGTTGAATATGTAAACACAAATTCCTTTACTTAGTTTGGTCAGGGCCGCATTTAGCCAAACGGCGCCCCTAGGCACACAAAACAGTTGCGCCCTCCCTGCCGTAATATTGGTCGCGAAACGTAAATAATGTCACGATCATTATCATTGAGTTGTATATACAAGGATAATCCGTTGATATTTTAAATAAATCAACTCCTGTAAAATGTATAATATTGTATTAAACTTCACATTAATTGGCATATGACCTGTCCCTATACTACACCTCTAATGAGTTTAACTGAACAATGATAAATACTTTCCGTCAGAAAATCTTAATCTTGTAAAATGTAGAAGTGGAACATTTACAATACCACATTGTTTTATTGTGTTGTACACATTAACACGTAAAATACCTTTATGATGGACAACATTCATGTCCCGAAACATCATTAAAATTATTGTTATATAAATATTCACCTAATTCATCATCTCAAAGCGAAATACGGGCATGATTCAACAGTGTTTACTAACATAACAAAACAAAGCATATGAACAGAACGACTCAACAGGTAAGTTGACAGGAGAGAATTACACAGCTGAATTTTGGCAGTCGCTGCAGGGATGTCGTCGGGACTACCGCAAAACGACATATCACACGCAAAAGAGCAGGTTATTCCCACTGAGCTATTATAATAACTGGAGTCACCACTCTGTGTTTAAAAAACGTACCACTGTTTTTGCTGGGGTTTTTTCAGATTTCGTGTTGTTAAGTTGGCCGTGTGATCGGTTGGTGGGACTTGTCAAATTAGAGGCATCCTGTTGTTTTGTTGATAGTAAACAAAAATATGTCAACATTATGATTGCAATAAGTTTATTTATTTACTTTACGAACAACCCATTTTAACAAGATCATAAATACAACAGCGATGGTTCAATATAAGTTAAGTGGGTGGGCCTGTAGGGCATTGACAAAAATAATTATACTAGGCGTAGTAAAAATAATTACCAGGAAACTTGACTATTTTCACCTATAATCATAGCTTGAAAATAAGTTAGTATTTAGCAAAAGAACAATTCATAATGTTTCAAAATAACTTTAAACACACAGGTTTTAACGTTCAATAACTTAAATAAGTTGCGAGTCCATCAAATAACAGATAACCACAAATAAATAGCATGGATAGGTTAGAATGAATTGAATTTGACATCATCCCACCAACCGATCACAAGGCCAACCTAATAACACGAAACACCAAGAACAAACCAGCAAAAACAGTGGAACGTTTTTCTCTAATGATCAACGAGAGAGTAGTGACTCCAGTTATAATATATTTATCTCCATGGTAATTACCAACACGGCGGCAGTACCAAATAGTGCAATCTTTCTTCTTCTTCGATTTGCTTACTAAGTCCACGGCAAATTCAAACTACACTCAGAAGTGCCCGTGCGTCAGTGGGCTGGTAGCAGGGCTACCGGTCTGACGCGTGGGGGCGTACGTGGGATTCATTCAAGAAGTTAAAGTTTTGCGCCCCCTAAAATTTGGCGCCCTAGGCCTGGGCCTTGTGGGCCTAATGGGAAATGCAGTACTGAGTTTGGTCTAATATTGCCACTAAAACTTTTAATAGCAAATGAGTTTTAGAAACTTTTTATTTTTGACTTGAAATGTCTGCATTGTGTTAGTGAATTCAATCAAAAAACTTTGTATAAGTTTGTACGAGGAACATGTTGCCAAACCTAGAAGTAAAAAATCCATCCATTTGCGTTTTTTCTCAATTTAAGTAGAGCGATTAATACAAAAGTTTACATCAACAACATAAGGTCCGCCAAGGTTTGGTATAATCTTACTACTTGAACTTAGTTTCTACTAATTTTTTGAAATATCTCGATCTGTCAGTGTCAGAAGTCATTTCTTGCATGCATTCATTTGATTTAGATGAATTTTAGAAATAGGCAAGTTTACTTTACCACCGTGACAAGACAACACTATGTTCTTCGTATATTTTTACACTTCCAAAGTAAGTTGCATTGCAGAACTGGCAAATATTATTCATCTCACCAAGTGTTCTGGATGGACTCTCCTCATGCGCATAAGATATTTTATTATTAATTATCTCCTCCTCCCGATTTCAATATTTCTTCTTTGAACTTGAGGAATTTTCTGTTCTTTCAACAAAACTGATAACCTGTTTAACTTGATCTTAACCAACTGAATATTACAAACATTACAGTAATATTTACTCCCAAAAAGCTAATGAGTTTCTTTTTATAAACAGCTGTTTTTGATTTTAAATTTTTGCTATATTTCTTCTAGGGGAAAACCCGACTTTTAAGAGGGTCTCACGCCCTTAAGAGTAGAAATTTTAAAAGTCTAAAACCTTATTGCAAAGCTACATATTGAGACGAATCTTTTGACACCTTAAAAGTTGAAATTGGTCCACAAATAAGGGAGGAGTTGCGTTTAAAAAAAAACGGCTTCGTGTATCTATTATATTATTAAAGTGATACAATCAAATTTTATGTAAATGGTTAGGGCCATTAACCAAATAAAAATATAGGCATATGGCACATCAATATAAAGCTCAAAGTGTCTAGATTTGCCGAAAAGTATTGATGTGAACGAATTCTCTTAGGGCTCTGCCCCATAGGCTGATTTTCAAAGGGCTACGCCTTACATGAAAAGTTTAAGTTATTATTGAACAACAGCTGGTCAATGCAATTGACAACATATTGTTTATTTACATTTTTGTTTACTTATTTCATTATTTACTTTTATGTTCTAAAAAGAGGTACGGTAAATTAACATTGATGCTATTTCTATGAACAAATCATATCTTTTGGTCGCCCTAGAGGTTGTCGCCGATCTTTACAGGTAGTCGTGAAAAGGTACAACCGTGCCCACCTCGGCCACCTCAGGACGTAAGGTATGAAGGACTCGCTGCTTTTATTATTCCTTCTGATGAGAATTTCTTGAACTTGGGCCCTTTAAATGAAATAGTAGACATTGTAGTGCACGGCATTTTAAATATGAGAAATCTAGGAATCATTATACCCTGTGTTATTCGAATGGGAAAGTCTCTCTGTCACCAATTGGTAGTCGTCCTATCTTTATAGGTCTTTTATCTGGAGAATATGATAAGATTACGCCATTTTGTAGAACACATAAGGAGATATAATTCAGCATTATCATTTGTAATATTTGGTGCTGACGTAAGACATCCTAAAGGTTATGGGCCCTATTGTTTTATTGTATGTGGACAGGCCCATCACTACAAAAGAATGGAGAGCAATTCTAATGAGTTAGATCAGATTGATTAGATTTTGTAGGAATTGGGAGAAATTTTGACAGAAATAAATTCATACGCGAGATTGTATAAGAATCCAAACAAAGTTTTTACACCTGCATTTCTAATATTTATTTATTTTTAAATTGCCCAAACGAAGAGCGGGCCAAACAGCTGAGGTGTTAAATTATTAACACAGGTTTCGTATGATAAGATTATGCATACTGGTAAACCATGTATTGCCATCTATAAAAATTATTGGTTTTTCTTTTCCGAATCGGGTTAGCTCTTCTACTTGACCGATTTTCATAATGTTGGCCTTAAACTAAAGGTATGGACGCACCACAGATTTGCCATCAAGCATTGGCATTCATTTTGACGTATATTTCGAGTTATGCACAAACTGCCTCCCTGTACATTTCTTATAGGAGTTAAATTTGTTTTTTTCAAGTTCGTTTGGCTCTTCTACCCGACCGGTTTTCATAATTTTGGTCTTAAAGCTATGCAATTTGAGCTATTGATTATTAAGATCTGACTACCTAAAGCATACTGCTGAATCACGAATCAACAATAATTATAATCGTTTTAGTACTTATCTGCATAACTCTATTTTTATTTAAGTTATTTTATGTCTTGGTCTTAAAATACTTCTAGAAATTTCATTTTAGATATTGATAGTTTTAATCAGTTAAGTTCAATACAGTGTATCGCTCAATCAGAAAACATAAATTTGATATAAGAAAATCAAATTAAAACTTATTTTTATATAAGCCATCCTGAGTTGAACTGATTTGATTTGTATAGTTGTAAAATGGAGATGTCCGTTGAAATAAATAAATAAATAAATAATGTGCTTGCATGATAACACCAGTCTATACTAGCGTACTGAAAACCAATTCTATTTGGTATAGTTACACGTCTACTGCCCCAAAATGTATGCCACTGTGAACCTATAGTGTGGGCGCGTGTTAGGGTCTCCGGTCTGCGGGGATCCTTCCATGTCCAAGTCTGAGTTAAAATTTGAATCCTATTTGTTTACAATTGATATGTTTTATCCATAAGTAAATCCCAAAGTATCCATGAACTTTTGAGAAAACTACAAGTCACACCCCCCATAAACATATTTAAAATGTTCACCATGACTAAAAACCTTGCCCAAAACCATCCATTATTTCATAAATTGCCCTTTAAGGTCGTAATTCCGTTCTAAAGGGAACTTTCCATAGACTTATGTTAAAAATAACTCAGCTATTTGTTTGTTATTCTTTTAATTGATTACCTTATTGAACTCAGGAGGGATTTTTGTTTGTATTACTGTATTCTGATTTGTTTATTTCAGCTTTACTTAACCAATCAATAATTTCAATAATACTTATGAAGTCAAACGGGGCGAAGCCCGTGGGTAACAGCTAGTTATATATTATAGATAGATGTTTTACAGCATGGGGTTAAAATAGAGAAGCCTGTACAGTAAATATTTTTTGATTGAGTTTTCGACCACGGTACGGCCTCTAGTTCATATTTAAAAGGAATAAAGGAATTTTGTCAGCTGTTTCAACTACACAAGTTGGTTCTATGAGATTAAATAGTATTAAAAAGTTATAAGGTTTACCAACAGGGTGCAGCACCATTAATTTTTATTTATTTATGACAACATCTGATATGAACCGACTAGCAACAAAAAGCTGTGAGAAATGAGAAGTTTACTTTTATTATTGTTTAGGCAGTGGTAGAACATTATGGCTATGGTAGATGTGCCATAGATAGCATAACTTTTTTTAATCATGTCCTCTCCCATTGCAAACGCAAAGCACGAGTATAACTGCAATAAGCATTTTATACTTATACGCCAACCATGTACGAAGGACGGGTACTCTGCTAGTATTAATATATATTAATATAAAATATTTCTGTGTTCTTTCACTGGCCCAATCCAAAAATTGATGAAAATTAATTTACCTGGTCAAGAGGCAATAGAAGATCTATAAGCATCGAACTTTTATCCACCCAATCAGGTAGGATATCAGTAATGTAGGAAACAGCATTCATAGTAGCTAAAATGTTAAAAATTTCAATTATTAAGTGATCATTTTCAAAATAACCATTCTTAGAGTTTTACTTTTTTGGACTAGTTATATAATTAAATATGAAATTAAAAATTTCAAAATCTATCTATGTATTTAATATTCGAAAACATATTGTTTCTTGTGGCAACTAACTTGAGAGAATGGCTAGTCGAAGTCAAAACTACACTAGGAGACACGAGAGTCTGCAGTTGGTGGCAGCCAATACCAAGAATGGACTAGCGCGGCGTTGCAACATTATCCGTTCACTACTTCTCGACACTAGTACTAAACAATATTTTCAAATCGATCAGCTGGTATTATTAGATTTGGCAACACCGCACTCTCCTCATTGGCTCCTTCGAAGTCACAAGGTAAATAGGCTCCTACCTCAACTGCAGATATGCAGACTCTCGTGTACTGTAATTTTGATGTTGTATCTTATTTGTTATTGGAAAATAATATTTACCTACTTGAAAGATCCTCCAATCGGATAGTAGATGTAAGGTTTTCCATGATTTCATCCATCAGATCCTCGTCAACGGACCAAACTTCAAGCTATAAATGTAATAAAGATATTGTAGAACTTAAGTAAGTTTATAACATTTATTTTACTTAAATGAATGTTATCATTCCTGTAATTTGACAAGATTTAATACGAGGGTCGTTTTTTTAAGTGAGGGCGGGTTGTGCATATAGCTCCTTAGATTGCCTGTATGCCACAACGAGGCTCCTCGCCACTTACTGGCATCATTTGTGAACAGAACAGCGCCATTTGTAGCTCTGTAGCTGAAGAGAAGTGTACGCGCTTCACTGAGTGTTTAGAAAATTGTTTAAATTATTGAATCACTTGTCCCATGAGAGATAAGGTCAGTGATATGTTATGATATGTTTGTATACATCCAAAGCAGACATTCATCCCCAGATCAATTATACAGCATAATTATGAATTGTAGGCCTTAATGCAATATATGAGTGAGGTTAAAAAGTGGAAATGGGGCTAGAGAGTGTAAAAATGGCTGAGAAAACCTTTTTCCTTTGTGGTCTTCTGTGAGAAGTCTTGGGTACTCACGAAAAACACAATTCCTTCCTAAATAGACATTTTCATATTTACGGCCACTTTAAAATTTTCTAACCCATTTCTTCACTCAACCCTCGATCATTACTAAGAAGATATACACACAAACGGCCCTTACTTTGAAACAAACCTCCTAGTTTTCAAGATGTCTTAGTATTACAACACTTACAAATAATTCAACGATTTATCTTGAAGAATGGTCAACAATAGTAACAAATTAATTACAGAGTACAAGTCAATTAAAAGTGCTGCAACTATTCTTGCTTACAATCAGGTGAATTACTGTAGACAATAATATTGTATTTTAAAGTCAACTAGCTTATAGACTAATATTATTCAATCTTCAAAACAAATTTAACCGGGTTTCAGATTTCCCTGCTAATGTTGACTACGAGTATTTACCAATACTAAGGCCTGTACAGGTATATTCTGCAACAACTTTGGACTGCCGCCATTTTGTAACCAATAGCTTACCTTCACTTTAATAACCTTGACAGTGTAGATTCCTGAATCTTTGTGTTTTATATACACAGCAACATTCCCTCTTGTTAATTTTACACCTTCTAAACGTCCTAAGAACTCTGATGTACCCAGCATTCTACCTGAAAGCGATCCACTACAGTAGACTCCCTCTTATCCGGACTCCTCGGGACCGAGGCCAGTCCGGATAACGGTTTTTCCGGATATACCGAAGTCCCCAAAAACTTGTAAAAAAGGACCGTTTAAATGCTTATTTGACTTAAATTTAGGAGAGCATTGTATTAAGACACATGATCACTGGTCTCAAATCTTTCCCACGAAAACGGTCGTTTCAGTACCGCCCACTTCCTGCCGATCTAGTCCGGTTAAACCGATGTGCTGATAAAAATTGCCTGGTTAAAGAGATGTCATTTCTGCCGAATGTAGTCCGGTTTGGGGAGCGAGCTGGCGTAGTGGTTAGAGCGCGGGACTTCAGTCCCTGAGGTCCCGGGTTCGATCCCCGCCAAGTCACCAATGGATTTATCTAAGTGATAATGCCGCAACCCCTAGGTCTAGCCTGAAGTAATGTGAAAAACAATCCCAGGCTCGTGCCTAGCGTCCTAGGACAAAAAAAAAAAAAGTCCGGTTAAACCCATGTTCGGTTAAAAGGTGTCCGGATAAGAGGGAGTCTACTGTATCAATGTTCAATAGTTCAGTTCTGCTAATATGACATATTTGAATTGCAATTCACCTCAGAAATGTGTTCGGTAAAATAAATTGTAATTATTAACTGTACTTGTAACACTAATCTTTTGATATAACCTTCTAAACTTAAATACTGAGCAACAAGAACCTATTGTTAAAGACTTGGAATTAAGATTAGTAGTATCTTGAGCAAAGTGAGTTGGTGGCTCAGTCGGTAGCGTTGCGGACTTCTGGCCCAAGACAGCGATGTCATGGGTTCGGATCCTGGTCACTGCCACTAAAATGTATCAGTACAGTTCACCTTTGTACTGTACCGGCTCACTCCTTGCTTTGCTGTAAACGATCCACGCACGGGCGCTTAGTCTATGTGGACAAAATGCAAGGTTAAAAGAGGTCGCCAACCTCTTTATTAAAAAAAAAAATCTTTGACTAAATAATAATATCATTGACAGCTTTAGACTATTGATACTACACTATCCAATAGTCGATGATAGCTTAGTATGTTATAACTAACATTGCTGCTTGATGGTTTCACTTTCTGTAGATTCAATCCTTTTTTATAAGTTCCCGTCGTTAAATAGATCACAATTAGCACACTATAATCCTTACAGTAATTACATAAAATACAGAGTACTGCTGTGCTGACATGTCTATTAATAACTTAGCCCAATCCTTTTATAGGAGACTAGTTTAACACCAATACAAAGCTTGATTGCTATAATTTGTTGATAAAATTGAAAGTTACCTTTGAAAGCCGCTTTTGTTGCCATATCCTCTTCACTTTTGTCATAATACTCAAATACAAAGCCATCATGTCCATCACATGTGATAAAAAAATTTGTCACTCCTTTAATGCCTGACTCAGGTTCAATTTTGCAGTCCCCAGTATAGGAAATTGATATAGTCATGAAGCTATATTCTGCCAATTGCGTTGAATTACCAGATTCTGAAAAACGTTATTAAAGAAGCTTTAAAAATCAAGTTACTGACATCTTTCTGATAACAAAAAAAAAAAAAAAATACAGAGCCATATTTGACATGAACCTTGTAGCATGATGGAGTAGGAAGTTCCTAGTTCAAAAAAGCCTTGTCTGACTGCCAACATGTGGTTTGGTAAGTTCGCAAGCTTCTTAGATTGTAGCGAATAAGGAGTGGAATTATTCCCTTTTGAGCATGACCATTGAAACCTCTTTGTGGAATTGACTTGTTGGATGGATCCATGCTTCCCATACAATTTTGCCTTCAAAAATAACAACTCGTTCGGAAGAGTTCTTTCTCTGTGACAGTTTTGGATGCATCTGTAAAACAGTATCAGTAGCTTTACAATGTGTGAAGAAACAGAAACCATCCAAAAGTTATATACTTTGATAGTAGTTTATAGTAAGTTATTTATAGTTAGTTTGTGGAGACACAAAGTTTTTAATGGTTCTGTCTTTTTTCTTTAAAAAAAATTAACAATGAACTTTTCTTTTACATTTCTAACTAAAACTGATATAAGTTTATTTTTCTCCAAATTCATTTTCCAAATCATCAAGTCACAAAAGCCTTCAAGGATGCATGAAATCGTTATGGGATAAATTACAGATTTTAAATAACCGATTTTGGTTTTGATTAAATATCAAAACCAAAATCAGAGTTACTAATAGTTTCAAGAATAAAATGACATAAAAATATAGGAACCTTTCAAATTAAAAGTTTAGATACTTGATTAAAAATACTAATTTCCTAAAAAAAACTGTTGTTACCTAGGTTGATAGGATAACTAAAATAATAAACAAATGATTAAAATAAATACAGAACATATGGTTATTGTCTTTGACAGTTTAGTGGCACCACATTCTAAAGCCCCCCATACACGGGCGAGCATGTTCGCAAGCATGTTGGCGAACATGCTCGCAAACATGCTCGGCGTTGTCAACAGACGGACGAGCATGCTCGAGAACATGACCGCCGCTACCCCCCAGTAGGCCTACTCTTGCTTCTCTTGAGCTGTGACAGTCAAGTTATGGTTACCCATGTAAGTTACCCGTGTATGGGGGGCTTAACTTACAACAAATTGGTTGTATTAAGGTATTGATAAAATAAGTATTGAGCTAAAATAAAAATAATTTGATATAATTTAGCCATACTTACTCTATGAAATAATTAGTAGCTTCAGTAACAGTTTGATTTGCCACTTTGATAGTGACCTGACTGTATTGTGGAGCTATGTTTTTGTCTTTATATTGAATCGAGCTGTCAACCGCCAAAGTAAACTTGTACTGTGCATTAAACTGAATCTTTGCTGGGGGGAGATAAAAGTTTTGGTAAGCTGAAACAAAAAAGAGGATAACTTTTTAGGACAAATTAATCTTTAATCTGCGCCCTAATGGTTAAAAAAAATTAATTTTACAGCTAGTAGGAATTTAGATATTTGAAATTTAGAGGACAACCAGTTTATTTTGAAGTAAGTCATGAAATGTATAACTAAATGTTAATGCTCAACAAAGCCAATATATATAATTAATACGCTACATGAAACTTTGTCGGTTGAACTCCTCCGCCATTTCTTAATTGATTTTATTTGCGATTGGGGTTTAATATATTTGGACTTATTCAAAAGTAAAATAGTTTTCTGTGCTGCACACTATGGACACATTGTGGCACTATTTCAAATCATGGCTATTACAGAATTTTGTGATCATTCAAACCTACAAAACAGTTGGTGAAAGTAAACATCTGCTTTTAAATAATATTTATTTGTAAACATTGTAGTTCAAAAAGTCTGACATTGGCCCACATAAAACCCTTTGGGACGGATCCCTTTTGATGGATCTGCACCAAACTTCACAAAAACCATCCTTGAATAATGCTTAATAATGCCTGAAAGTTGCATTACAATCTGTTGAGCGGTTTGGAGTCCATAAGGTACATACATATATACATACATACACATTAGGGTGGGTCGAAAAAAATCAATAATATTTTTTCGAGTTGTAATACCTTGGAAAAGTTGCTAAACTGTAATACCAAAACAGTGTAAAAATATAAAAATATTGGTTGTTATCTTCCAGTTGCGCATGTGCTCTAAAGTTCAAACAAAAAATGAAAAACTCATATTTTTCAGAAATTTTTACAATTTTTAAATTTTTTATTTTTAACATGTAATAGAGTTTAAAATACCATCTACAAGACAATAAGAAATTGATATTTAAATAATAGTATTGTATGTTAATATCTTCCGGTCGCGCATCGGTTGCAAATATTGCCAAAAATCAAGAAAAACGTAATTTTGTAATATTCTTATTTAAAATATAATAATCAATATCAAAATGAAATACCAAAAATCTGTTTGTACACATTCAGATAGTAACCTAACAAAAACAACAGACAAAGTCAGTATTAATCTTTCGGTTGCGCATAGCAATACAAATTCACTTTAGCGCAGCACTTTCGGGTCAGTGACCCTGGCGATGCCATGTCATTCCGAAGTTTAAGATTCCAAAATTAAACGACAGGATGGAGATGATAATGTATCTCTGTGCTCACAAACTATAAAGTTTTCGATTCTAGTGACAGCAACCAAGGATCTTTACCTAAACTTTGAATAAAGACCTATGGTAAGCAAAATGAGGATGAACCTTAACTCTACTGTTTTGGTTAGCGACCGTTCCGATCGTGCTACAACTGCAATAGCCTCTATTGTTTTACATGAAGTTGGCATAGTCACTTTTTCTGACGATATGCAGGTAAGATAATTGTAAAATAAGGCGATGGCGAGCCATTACATTTCGAGCAAGTGAAGTATCTGTTCACAGACCGTGTAAAGGTTAAATAATCGACTCTGACCTTGGAATATTCTACCCGAGTTTTATAACCAATGTTAATGTTACCGGTTGTGCTGTATATTTATTATTTTATTAGTTATTATAGCGGGTTTACTTATTTTTAAATGCTCATGGGTTTGAATCATTTCACGCCTGGATAAAGCATTTTCTGACTCTTGTCCCCCTAGATTTGTTACTTAGACTATTTACTTTTAAGCCATAACTAACTGTTGTTTTAGGGGTTTGTACCTTTATTTAACGCCTAATAATTATGTAGGTGTTTATTTATGTCACGTGATTTACATTTTGACTTTGTCTGATACATAATTTTATCAATTTGGGCATAGTTTCTCATTTATTTTCTAGCTAAATACATTTTTTAGAAAACACCGTACTTTGTATGGCATTATTTGAACTGAAACGCTTTTATATAAAATATTGTATTGTAATTTACATACTTGACGGGAAATTATTATTTTGATAATACATTAACATAATGTTTCTTCTTAATAAATCGCAGAGAGGCACAGGTTTTTTGGTAAACATTGTCTATGTAAAGATTTGTAAAGATCTAAGTAAAAACTTTGAGTACCGTGAGAAGAATTCTTACAAATGAAGTTTACCTTTTGATGTTTTTTGTATTCGGCCTAAGGACTATGCCAACGTCTTGCAAAACATTAGAGGCTAATTGCAGTTGTAGCACGGTTTAAAAAACCATAACAATTGATAAACAATGCAGTAGACCTAGAGTTAATCCTCATTTGCCTACCATAGGTCTTTTTTTGGAATTGCTGTCTCTAAAATAGTATATTTTAGTTTTGTAATGTATCCGAACAGGGATACATTATCATCACAATCCTTTTGTTCAATTTTGGAATCTTAAACTTCGGAATCACATGGCGTCGCCAGGGTCACTGACCCGAAAATGCCGCGCTAAAGTGAATTTGTATTGCTACGCGCGACCGGAAGATCAATTCTGACTTTGTCTGTTGTTTTTGTTAGGTAAATATCTGAATGTGTACAAACAGATTTTCGATATTAAGTTTTGAGATCGATTATTGAATTTTAATTAAAACTAGTACAAAGTTATGTTTTTCTTAATTTTTGGCAATATTTGCAGACAATGCGCGACCGGAAGATATTATCATACAATACTATATTTTAATATAAATTTATTATTGTCTTGTATATGGCATTTTAAACTATTACATGTTGAAAATACAAAAATTAAAAATTGTAAAAATTTTGTAACAGGTCCAATAAATAATTAAATAAATAATAGTAAATAGTAATAATCGAACATAAACAAATGATTAATTATCGGAACGGTTCGGTAATCAAACCAATTATCAATATTCAGTTCAATAATGGACGCTCCGTTAGGTAACATGGTGGTTAAATTAGAGACAAATGGTTTCAAGAAAAGGATTAATCGTAAATGTTCCAAGATGGCTAGATGAGAGACCTGTTTGTCGTTGACGAAGAAGAAGGGCGGGATTAGACACAAATCGGTGTTCTGCGCATCCAGTTCGATTCGGTTGAGAACTACTGAAACGCTTTTGGTCTCTAAAACGGAAATTTTCCGTTTTCATGGTGTTGGCAGTTCCAGGGTTGAGCAACCGACGCGCAAGCTCGGTAACGAAGCAAGGCTTCTACACTTCTTCACTGATCTTCATACCGTTCGGACCTACGTCAGTTCCGTTACCAACTTTTATGTAATCTACCAGTCACCATGTCGATGTTAACACGTAAAATTTTATCCGAGTTACATCAAGTTAGAACTTGTATTTTGAGTGAAGATAGTCAAGTCGTGCCGGTCTATGCATTTTACTAAAATAATTTAAACGCCGCTTGAAAAGAAGTTCGGCTAGGAGGGCGACGCCATGACACCCACACCGGCATCGGACATGGGGACGCCACGGTCATCAACAACGTAGACTCGCAGGGTGACCATCTACACTACAGGCGGTGAACATCTCATCTCGCCTCTAACCCTAAGCTAAGTGTTTATACTTAAACTTAGTGGTTATGGCTACTTAAATATTCTATAGCCTAAAGTAAATTTGGTTTCTTACAAAACAATGTAAAATTAACTTCACTTTCAACAATCAAAGTATTAGAACAGATTTTCTTTTGTGTAAACTTTAGTCTAAATTAATAAAACAATCTTTTATGTTCTGACAGTTGTTCTTTATTTATTAAGTTAAAATGAAATAAGCCCCACCGAACCACGACCTGAGATAAGAGAAAGGCTCTACTAGCCTAAAGTGAAATTTAATTAAATAAGTTATGTAACTGGAGTGATTGACTGAGTGAAGGCCTAACACTAGTCAATAATTAATTCCAAGAAAAAAAGCGCACCGTTACAGTTTCTGAAAAAAATGAGTTTTTCATTTTTTGTTCAAACTTTAGAGCATATGCACAACCGGAAGATAACAACCAATATTTTAATATTTTTACACTGTTTTGGTGTAACAGTTTAGCACCTTTTCCAAGGTACTATTATTGATTAATTAATTAATTAATTAATTAATTAATTAATTATTGATTTTTTTTCGACCCACCCTAACATACATAGTTCCTCTTTTAGCGAATTACCCATATCGGGATTAAGCTATTACCGTAGGTCTCATGGTAAGACTTAGACCCGGGACCGATTTACTTTTTCATTTTGAGGTCCCCAGAGGCCAAAACACCATCCGTTCAAAATCACATATAAATATGTGTGTCCGTTAGCGCGATAACTCGAGCAAAGATTATCCGATTTTGATCAAATTTAGCACAAACCTGTAAACTGTAAACCTATGTTTATTCAAAAGAGTTCACAAACCAGCATAATTGGACCATGGGAAAGGAGGTTTATGGGGGGTTTTATGGGGTAAAAATGGGGTTTTACCATTTTTGACCCTATAAAACAAAACAATTTGCAATTTCTTTCTAAACCATTTTGTAGAGCTTAAAAAAATAAATAATGTAGTATTGAAGCGCTGTTGTATGCCGAACGGTCACAGAGAAAATTTTAAAAAAGTGTAATTTAAAATTCCCATGTTATTCTTAAGGAGAAAATGGAAACTGTTGTAGTTTACTCGTTTACGGATATATGTCAATAAAATTTGGCAGTTCTATTTATTTTATCCCATGCTATTGACGTATGGTCAATAAACACGTTTTACCTTCTCCGTAGCAGCAAGCCTAAGCACTCGTTAAATCTAATGTTATTTAAATTCAGAATAAATATGTCTTATTTATGTGAATACTAGCAGAGTACCCGTCCTTCGTACGGGGTTGGCATATAGGAATAAAATGCTTATTGCAGGTGTACTCAAGCTTTGCGTTTTCAATGGGGGAGGACACAGTTTGATAAAATTTGTAACTTCTTTAAATTTACCGTATACATAGTATTACACATCTACCATAGCCATAATGTTCTTCACCTAAACCACCTAAACAATAGAAAAAAATTAATTATTAAAAATTCGCAAAAAATCACAAATCATTCATTAAATTAAAAACATAAACAACTGTAAACAATCCTTCTTTGACAGTTCTTATTGCGTATCACAGCTTTTTGTTGCTGCTTAGTTCAAATTAGCTGTTTTCGTAAATGAAAAAAATAATGGTGCTGCGCCCTGCTCTGTTGGTAAATTTTATAACTTTTTAATGCTTTTTTGCATATAATAGAACCAACTTTTTTAGTTGAAACAGCTGACAAAATTCTTAAATTCCCTTTAAATATGAATACTCATAAGGTTAACATGGGGAACTACAGAGCGACTGGGGCGGAGCCCGAAAGGATTTTATAAGAATATGCCTATGTGTAAATTGGGAATGTGAGCTATCATCGTGCCAAATTTCAGCCCAATCCGTCCAGTAGTTAATGCGTGATTGAACTTCAAACAAACAAACAAACAAACAGACACATAAACTTTCACATTTATAATATTAGTAAGATTTTAGTAAAATATAATCAGACAAGTTGAAATTCGCTTGGTCTGCAGGTTTGCTGCGGCGGGGGTATTATAGATATAGATTGTTTTTATGTATTTGAAGATTTCCTAAAATATACAGACAAAAGTAATAACTGCAAAAGCTCTTGAATCATCATAGAGTTTTAAACTACAGTAGATATAAAACTGAGACTGGGACGGGTGGCGTCGTCCTGTAATGCAGCTACTAGGAGGTCATGAATTGTGGATATTTATAGGCATGCACTGTGGATGCGATAGTCCCTGGTATGGAGTAACGTCCGCACGAGTGAGTACTATGACTATCCGCAGTACTATCCTGATAATTCGTATATACCAAGGCTAAAGTGTGGGTCGGATTCCACTGTAAGCTGTAGGTCCCTTAGTTACCATTAGCTGCATGGGCTATTAATTAACAGCTGTGTCTTAGGAATGTTGGCCTTAGTCACTAACAAGACTACAAGATCGCGCCACTCATCCTACACTCATCTCCATTCATACTTGGCTTAAAATACCTACTTTGTATGGTCGCCATGTCATTGAAAAGTATTAAAGTATATAAGTATTAAGTATATTTTAAATGTAGTTACTTGGTTTTATTGTACTTAAATTTTATTAGCTAGTAGTTTTGTTTAGTTTACCTTGCAACCAATTATAAGGGGCTTTTTTATTAAAGTCACAGGTATCTTCACAACCTGTGATGTTTTTTGTTAGGCATTCACAGGTCCAGAGGAGCTTTGTTGACTGTTGGCGTTTGAAGGGTTCGTTTGGATCATAGGAACGTGAAGCAGTGAGGGTTAATCCTTCATCTTTTACTATTTCTCTTACCTCACCTCCATCAATAACAGCCTCTAAAGGCCAAGGCGTCACTTTGAAGTAACACTAAAATCAAGCAAAACAACAAATGTGATTTAATTATTGTTGTAATATTACTGTTTGTATAGCTTGTGATTGACATAGTGATAATAATAATCAGTCTGAATCAAACTTGTTTATGAGGTGTTATCAGTAAGGGTCAAATAACCCATATCGTACCTTATTTTGCTTGGATAGCTCGTCAAGATGTTCAGGGTTTGCTCGCAATATGGGTCCGCCGCGCCTACCGCTTGGCCTTATTCATATTCATATTTAAACATCTTTATTCATCATAACTCATGGTGGTACAGTGAAGAGTGGCAAAATGTCAAAATAAAAAAAAAAAAATACTATTTCTATTTCTGGGATGTGGAAAACCCATCAAAAGAATATATAATGCTAAATTTATTATATAATCTTTCAGAATTTTCTTGAACTTTGATAGGTCTATTTTTTTTTATATGAATTCAGGGAAAATTTAAAAAAAAACGTTACCAGCATATGAGGGTTTTTTCAAAAAGTTTTAACTTGTGAGGCTGGACAAACTAACTTTCTAAAATTACGATAAAAATGCAATGAATTTATTACTTCCTCTGATTAATTTTTTTGTGATAAGAATTGTTTCATAAATAAATAAATTGCATATAAACTTTTAACATTTGTAATAATTTCTTAAAATGTTCTTTTGTCGAATCATCTTGTTTAAGCTTGAGCATTATTCAGATTTTGCCGCTTCAGAATGCTATCCATATTTAATATTTTTTTTACCCATACAATGCTAAACCGAATGAAAGATGAGAGTGAATGTGAGCAAAATAAATATATACTTTTAGGGTTTTCAAATTACAATAAAAAGATGTTTTTTATAATGTGAAAATTTAATATTGCGAGTTAATTTTGATTAAAACTTACTGTGTGTGTTTATCACAATTCAAGTTTTCATCTATTGTCAAACCCCAAAAGTTGATTTGATTTTCCTTTTGAATGTTATTTGAGTTGTAAGTTATCGTTGGTTCTTTTGTGATTTTGTTCTGTTCTGTTTTAAAATTTATAAATTTAGTTTTCGTTGAATTTAATAATAAGTTATGATTGTAGAAATAGTTTCCAATATTCTCTAATTCTACATATGTAAAAATTTCAGTTTCTTCTGGGAGTTAGACAATACAATCAAATTAGAATCATCAGCGTAAAGACATAATTTAGAATTTTGCTTATAATAATGTATCTTCCATGCCCTTAAGGTAACAAAAAAAGCAAAAGGTCCTACAATTGAACCTTGTGGCACCTCAAATTTAATTGGCTGATAAGTGTTCGAATGATGATTTGATAATTCTATTATGATTTGTCAAATGGGTAATTTCCACGAATTGAGATCTATTTGTCAAATAGGAAGAAAACCAATTAAGGGCTCTTGTAGATATTCCAATTATTTTAAGTTTCTCTAGTAATTTACTATGTTTTACTGTTTTACACTTTTGAACTCTTTGGAAAGGTCCATAAATATGCCAATTGTATAATTTTCTTTGTCTACTGATTTAATGACTGATTTAATACAGAAACAGAAGGAGGGTGACAACCTATGAGAATCAGCACACCGACGCACCAAATATAAATTATTCTATAGCAGGAGCAAAACTCACTCTCACTCAACAAATTGAGTACTGTATCGCTCAATTGATTCAGCACACCAGCGCACGCACTGATGGATAAAGGTTGAATAAACCAAGATGATGTTTTAACTTCACACATGAATAATCTTATGACCATATTGTATATTTCTCATAGGCACCGATTCAGGCTTAGCATATGCGGCCGAGCAGCAACAAACAAATAATAAAGAAAAAGTAAAATCTAACAAAATATGTAGCTTACCTCGGCATAACAAAACAATCAACCTCGCACAATAGACTATAAATTATATTCTTGTTGATAAATAAATCCTAATAAGATCCCAGTTATACCAAATATACTTCTTTGGTTCAATGATATTAAATATACAATTTCAATTAAAATCATACAAGTTCTAAGTAAATTAATCTTGCCTAAGCTATAAGATAAATCAAAGTAATTCTACCAACTATAATAACCTAGACAGTACCTATATAGGAATACAGTTGTACCACAATATTTATTTATTTCATTATTCGTATTATCATTTTGCATGGCTACAGTATGCCTTAGCTATCAGCTCGACTGCCTTTTGCACAGTCACGGCAAAGAGATGTGTGTGAAAACCTTCTGCTCAAGTCAACTTCTTACTTTTCCCTTAATAGCCGCATTCATCTTGGCACCCCTTGAGTCTTGAACTAGAGTTGTGACGTGTCTTGTGTTACGCCAGTCATTATTGCCATCGTACCCAATGCAATCGTTCCGTTCACAAATATTAAAGACCAAAATTTACCCCCTAACAAAAATTGACCCATACAATTAAGTTACCATGAATAAGATGTCACTATGAAACACATTACCAGAAATAACAAACCTTATAAACTTTAGTGTCAAAAAGGATTTTTACCTCATCAAAGTTCTCATTTGTGGACGCCTGAATAACTCTTTTAATCTTGAGATTGATTCGATATATTCCAAATTTGAGGGTAAACGGATTAAAATTCATAAAATTCCCAATTTCTATTCCTTCATCTGACTCTTCGTCAAATCCATTTTTTATGAAATCTGCAAAGTAAAAGCTACATTAATCCTGGTTCAATCCATAATTTTTGATAGTACATAAACTCTTCATAAATATTTTATAGGGACAAAAACTTTGTTGTTGTTCATAAGTCATAACGAGTAGTTTATTGTGACCAAAAACTTTTACATTATTCTGGTTTTCCCAGATTAAACGGGTGACATTTCAATTATATACATTAAAAAAATATATAAATAAACTAATGTTTTGATAGTTCTGTTCACGTTTTAGGGCTACTTTTTTAATTAATAAGCAAAATAATAAAAACCAGAGTACCCTGAAATTCATTTTTTATTTAAACTGATTTTCATGCAGATTCAAAGAACACATCCAAGCCGTAAAATCAAACAATCAAACATCTCAACGATCAATGTATGCAGAACATATATTACAAAATAATCATAATTATGGCAAATTAGAAGAGTGTGTAAAAATTCTAAATTTTGAGAAAAAGGGAGAAAAAATGGATATAAAAGAAGAATTACAAATATACCTACATTCAAAAGAACACGGCGACCAAATTCTCATCTTACACATCTACATGTTAAAAAATACACCTAACCATTTAATCAAATTTTACTATACAAAACATATGTTACTAACTATTTATTTATTTTTATTGTTTACATACTTTCATAACACTCATACTGTGATCATGGCCTTAGTGCCGAAATACGTATCAGTTTAAATAAAAAATGAATTTCAGGGTACTCTGGTTTTTATTATTTTGCTTATTAAATAAACTAATATATATTGGCTTTAAAATGTTCTTTTAAAGCATAAAAAATCTTCCCAGTTGTCATTAAAAAAGTAATTGATAGAATAGTAAACTAGTAAAATATTCTTTACATTCCTCAATGTACTCTTTTGTTTTACTAAATATTGAATTAGGAAGTCTATTAAAAATCTTTATACTCATACTAGTGTACCTGTTGCTCGAATTCGGGCAATTGATAAGTATTACAGGCGTTATTTTAAAACAAATAACAGTCATAATTTCTGATGACTTTAAAAGATTCGACTCAAAGATTATGGAAATACTCAAGATGTACATAACAGATTGATATAATCAACATTTCTTGTATAACAAATTTCACAAAGAGTAATTACCATTTAAGCAGTTACTGTCATGACAGAAAGGTTGTATTTCTTTTGAACTAGATATCCTCATCCTTTCTAAGATACGTTGATTAACCCTCCCAGTGTTACTTGACGAAAATTCGACAAGCAGCACACTTTGTGTAGTGTTACTTGTCGATTTTTCGACACGCAGACATCGTTTACGGCGAAGGCTCTATGACTGACTGAATCGGATTGAACTGGATCGAGTTAGGTATCGTTCTTTCCGTAATATTCTAAGCTTTCTCCAGAGGTCTGTCTCTAAGCGCTATTCATTTTAGTTCCGAAAATATTGTAGCAGACAGCTGACGTGCGTGTATTTGTAAACAGCTAGGTTCCCCCGGACCGATGACTGATGTGTTTTATTACGTTTATCATTGTTTTAGTGTTAAAAATCAAAAGTAGTGATATACGTGGTGCATTATAAGAAGATTTAAGTGGTTTTGAAGTGCTGGTTGATGATCCTGAAGAAGTAGGTAGTGATATTGATGTAAATTATCAGCCAGATTCCTAGCTATGGTTAGGCTATGCATTCTTAGCTAAACGCTATGTACTGAAATCAGTTTTTTGCCCATAACTTATTTATTTGCAAATATACTTCCTTATATTATTATATATTCGTAATCCTCATAAAATTTAGAACAAAGTGGCTATTTTCAAATATTTATAGGCCTATAATTTATACAATTTCATTGAGCGCAAACTTATTTTTTTTTTTTAAACTTTCGAAATTATATTTTTTTTACCTAAAAATTTTTTTTTTTTTAAATGTTCCTTCTGTTTTATATATAATATTGAAGCCCATGATTTTCCAAACAAAATGGTATATAGAACATTATAATTAACATTGTTTTAAGCTTCTCAGATCCGTTTTAATAAAACCTTGCAAATGCGCCAAAAATAGGTGGACATTAAGGCCTAAACTATGGACACTTGGAGGGTTAACAACAATGCATGTAAACATGACCATTTACGTAACAATTTACAGTATTTGTTTTTTTGGAAATGCAGCATTGCTTTGTCATTTGCATTATTTGTTGCCAATGAAGCCGCATGACAATATGAACGAGGTCCATCATTTCAAGAATAAAAGCCAGCTTTACTATACAAGTATATTGATATTCCACTACACCTAATATTCCGAAGATATATTATATTGAACACTATACCGGTATGTAATTTATAAGTCTGAAATAACTGACATCCGCATGTCATGGAATCAGAGTTATGCTAAAAAAAATATTATTGCAAAATTTATAGGGTTATTCATTGGCACATTTTTTTTTTTATTTAGGCTAACTCTTTTTGTCGCAGTTTAGAAGAATTGTCGTAAGCCTTTAAAGCAACCGTCGATTTCGACGGGTTTCACCTAGTTATTTCTATTTCTTCTCCTTGGTGGTCTTCTTTAACCATAAAATAAAATGCTAAGAGGTGATAGTAAATTTCAAAAACGGGAAATTTGAATACAATGATAATTTATTAATTTAAATTTGATAATTTATTTTTTTATTGTTTAGGTGTAGTGGTAGAACATTATGGCTATGGTATATGTGTTATACTTTAGCTTCCGTAAATTAAAAGGACCAAATTTTTTCAAACCGTTTCCTCTTCCATTGCAAACACAAAGCATGAGTATAACTGCAATAATTATTTTTTACTTATAGGCCAACCCCGTACAAAGGACGGGTATTCTGCTAGTAATTTCATAAATGTACAAACCAGTCAGTGATAAAATTTGAAGATTTTAAAAAAGTGGTCTCAAGCTAGTTTTTTCCCTTTAAAGTATGTATGATTGACTTTTGGCTCTGAACAATTTGTTTCAATTTTTTATGCGATCACCACAGTAAAATTCCATACCTGAGGAGACTTTCAACATAGGCGTAGTAGGCCATTTTGCGAATTTCAAGAGATGTAGACTGGCCTAAACTGTATAAAGCATACAGGCAACTGTTTTTTTTTTTCTATTAAAAAATTGACTTTTTGGCTCTGAACAATTTGTTTCAATTTTTTATGCGATCCCCACAGTAAAATTCCATACCTGAGGAGACTTTCAACATAGGCGTAGTAGGCCATTTTGCGAATTTCAAGAGATGTAGACTGGCCTAAACTGTATAAAGCATACCGGCAACTGTTTTTTTTTTTCTATTAGCTAAGTATTTGATATGTTGTTGCCATTTAAGGTTTTCATCAATTATGGTTCCAAGAAAAATGAATATGAGTTCACGTGCAGGTCTTTAAATTGATCAGCAATCTGATTGTTATGTTCAGTGCACCTAAAATACATTTTTTTACTTTTTGAATTGTTTTTCAAAAACCCCTTTTTGTTATACCTAAAAAAATATATTTTTTTAAGTATTAACATTTTTCTTAACCAAATTAATTAATTGTTGTGTAATCAGCATAAAAAAATAATTTAGAAGAGGTTTTTATGTCATTCATATACATTATAAATAGGAGGGGACCTAAAATTGAACCTTGAGAAACCCCAGATGTAACAGGAACTCAATTTGATTCGAATTTTATCTTGTCATGCACCATGATTGTTCATTGTTTTCTTCCAGTTAGGTAAGAACTATGCAATTTAATAGGGGTTCCTTTAATTCCAAAAATGTACCAATTTTATCTATGCGTAGGCAATGATGAACATAGTCAAAAGCCAATTGTTTAGGTCACAGAATAAAGGAATATCTAAATACATTTTTACATCATGTTTGCCAATTTATACCTTAAGGTTTTACTTTGAAAAATCCCTTTAAAAAAAAACATAATAGTTATTTGTGTAGCTAGTGAGCGAAGTGGCACTTTGCTGCACACAAGAGAAATTTTTACGCACGAGCCGTAGGCAAGTGTGGAAAGTTTCTCGAGTGCAGCAAAGGCAGTTTGTTTGCACTCGTGTCACACAATTTATTTTTCCTACAGTTACTATAAATCATATAGATAATTAATTAGTCTTTCAAACACTGTACAACACATTTTTTGATGTCTTCCTCAACTTGCCGGATTGATATAGGCCTACACGTAATTTTCTGTAGTAAAAAGGCAAAAGATTTATTTATTCTGTAGGAAAACCAGAGACTTTGTCAAGACCAAAGAGATTTGCCCAAGTACAAATTTTCTGCTATAATTTTGAACTTTTATTTCTGCTTGATTTTGCTGGTAATACTTACGTTTAGCCCACCTCCAGATCCAAGTAGTGTCTTCTCCCGAGCAAGTTTGTCGATTCTCTTTTGCAGTTGACACAAAAGCGCCATCCTCCAAATATTTTACGTTATATTTAATTGTCAAATACTCGCTACGGTGAAATGAGAATTTATGAGCATCTTGAAACCGTTTAGCACTGAAAATTACAATAATTAAGACTGTTAGACTATCAAATTAATTTAATATTTTGCTTGTTGCTCATTTAGATTCAGCTGCCTTTAGAATTTACAATAGGATATTGATGATGCAAAAGTGACTTTAACTCTCAACAGATAACATTTATTTCCGCTTTTATACTCACGATGGGTAGAAGACACACCCACATAATTTTACACTTGGAAAACATGATGACGTGGTATAAAGTCCTTTAATTTTTGGTTTTTTACACAGTATAAATCCATAAAATAGAGCAATGAATCCTAATAAATTTGAGTTTCATTATGACAAAAAATTCCATTCTATTGCGGGTTCATCCCGGAAAGGTTAGTACTCATAGATTAGTACTATTATAAATATCATTAAAATTATTTAATGACTTACCAGTTTGTTAATTGAATCACTGGAATGCACTTCAACACATTAACACGATTGTAGTCAACAAATACATTGTAAGTATAACCAATAAACCGACCCATGTTCTCTGATTTGTATCTAGCTTGTATATGTGTCAGGTAACCCCTCAGCCTGTCCTTTGTCTTCAGAACAGTAACATTGTAAGCATTGTCCGGAAGTAAATATGGAAACTGTAATTCCACATGGTTTTCCATGCATATCAACCCTGGAAACGCACATAGAAAGCTGAACTATAAAATTCCTTTAAATATGATTGATAAACATTAGCAAGAATAATCAATCAAGAACCATTAGCAGATCTAGTTTAGTTAACAAGATGAACAAGGCACATCTAACTTATTGATCAGTATGATACAGTATCTTAGTCATCAGCAGAAGATGGGGAAGAAAGATTAGTAATATATTGTCTACACTTTCCTTGGATTCGATACTTGGATTTGGAAATAAAAATGAATTACAAGAGCGACTAAACTATTTTTGGCTTAATGCACTGGTTTTTTTCCATAGCTGAATAACTTGGTGGTTAGGTTATTATGCCCTAATAATCAAAAGACTGGGAGAATTTCACAAGATCCAAAATCAGAAGATCAAGTAGTTCTATAGCCGATCGGAATATCCAACGTTTATTGCAGATCACAAGATCCAAAGATTTGTTGAGCGTTGCAGTTGACTTAATGATTTTTTTTTTAATAATCATATGAATAATTTGGGTGTTTCACTTAATTATTATTGATTAATAATGCAAAACAGTTAGCAAATATCACAAATGTATAAGATGTATGTACGTAGGAGTGAGATTAATTTAAAGAAATATTTCACATCGCTTAAGAAAATCTATACCGTAGCTAGGAACGCGGCTGAAGACGGCGTGTATTTGAACACCATCAATCTAAGAGACGCAATCGTTCATACTTTTGGATCTTCCGATCTGACATGCATTTTGGATCTTCCGACCCACATACGATCACAAGATCCAAAGTCAAACGGACAGTCTATTTCATAAGTTTACTTATGGTTATGACTGTAATTTTTATCTTCCGATCTTTGGATCTTGTGATCTGTAATATAAACAATTTCGCATCTTGTGATCTGAAATATAAACGTTGGATCTTTCGATTTTGGATCTTGTGAAGTTGATCCAAAAGGTTCTCTATTTAGCATTTCAGTGTTCCTCATTTCAGTGTTGTGTGTGTTGGACAGTGTTTCTGATCAAAGAATCAGCTGTGCTTAGTCATAGTATTAAAGCTTTCACAAGACAATCAATCCCCCAGTGATAAAGAGTGATAGTAGAAGAACTGTTTTTTTTTTTTTTTTTAGAAACACTGAGACGAAGGCCTACACAGAATGTATGTAAATTATGTAGCATTGTGGAATCATTAGGAGGAATAATTATTGTAAAATTATAATTTGTAAAATTATTGCTGCTCTGTACCATTTGGGAGATATTTTTAAAGTTAGATCCCTTCCTTTTTGGAGGTGAACCAAAAAACCTAAGACCTATCTATTTTATCTTTCCTTTTTTTACGGCAATATCTATGGAAAAATGTCTGACAGCTTAGAAATATCCTTGTTTCGAAGCTTGATTTACTACATACGAGCTTTGACTTTAGACATTCCATCCTCATGTTAAATTTGTAGCCAGTTTTTTACCAAAATCGTCGTAGTTGATGTGAGCCACCGACAGATTGTGTTGATTATTGATTTTCGTTGAATACACAATCTTTATTAGGCTACCAATTCAAACTAATGGAATGACCTATTGTGAGCTATAGCAACTATTATGACCCATGCACTTGGCCAGCAACAAAAAATAAGGTAGAAATTAAGAATTTTAGATACTAGCGCATACTGTGACTGTCTCGCACAACTACATTCTTTTTAAAAAAAAAAATTGGCTACAGCTGGTGCATATAAATGGGACGTCTACTTTAGTATCCAATAGTCAATGATACGAGTCAATGATTAATCATTAATCAACGACTATTACTATGGATTCAGCTCACCTGGCATGTCGGTAACGATACAAGGTTTGTCAAAAGCAATAGGGTTTAACTTGGTCGCTCCTCCACACTTCCCCAGGTTTTTTGTTTCCCCTAAACCTGTTGTAAACATTAAGTACACCCCTCTCACCATCATGTCCGAGTCACTAAAATGTCTGTAGGGAAATCTTGTTACCCCTCCTGGTTTTACGAAGGCGTATTTTCGTTTCCATTGGAACATCCGTACTCCAGCCTCGCCTAAAGGACGAATTAATGAATAGTTTGCTACCACTAAAATTTAATTTGGAGTAGAGTTGTCTCTGTGATACAAGATTGGACAACACTCTGAAATATTAATTAACAAATTTAGGAGCTTTAAGTTCTGTAGTATAAGCTAATCAAAAGTTAACATTATTGAATGTAAAATTTATAAATTAATATTTTAACAACTTTTAACAACATGGTCATCCTTAAGTCATATTGACATGTGTTTTTCTTTTTTTTTGTGTTTGTGTGTGTATGTATTATGCTTTTGGGTAGTAGTAATTTCATCAAATATGTTATGTTCAGTGGCGGATCCAGAATAGGTCAAAGGGGGGCTAGGTGTTTGGGGGTATATGGAATACTTCGGTCAAGGCGGGGGCCGGGGGTCCTCCTACGGAAAATTTTCAAAATGTAAATGTTAAATGACACATTTTTAATGAAATGAAATGAAATGAAAATTTTTTTATTTTACCAGGCAAAGTTAGGGCCACATGGCCCTCTCTTACACTTAACCTGACAAACTTAAATATAAATAAATAAAAATACAATGAAATTTCTTAATCTAATATAAATATACATATTTATAACTTTGATTTTTAGGCCGTTTTTAACTATTAACCAGAGTTTATAGGCAAAAAGCTATGGTTTGACTCAAGAATATTCACTAAAAAATAAAAAGGATTTTGAAGCCATTAGAATGTTTTTGCATTAACATAGCATATCTGACCCTTTGACCATAAGAATTTGAACGTTGAAAGGTATTACCTTTGTATTTCAAGTACAGAAATACATGTAGTACTAATATTACATTTTTTTCAAATGATAAAGTTTTTAAAATAAACCTGAATGTTTTAGTTATTCTACTTTAATAACAAGTTTCTATAATGCATTACTGTTATATAATGCAATAAAATAAGGCACTTATTGTTCCTTGTTATAAAAGGTCTAAAGCAGAAGTATTGTATAAGTTTTAGCTGGATTACTCTTATCCTGAATTTAATGAGTAACTTGAAAACAATGAAATATAAGTTGACTATTTCAAAGGACAGTAATAATGTAAAAAACCTATTCAAAAGAAACTTTAATGTCACAACTTCTTTTAATAGTAAAATGCTATGAATATGTTATACAATGGCCCAATTTGACAAAGAAATTTGTCTTGGTTTTGACTGACTAAAATGGTGTAAGACTTTTTCTACATCGATTTCACTATGAGACAGTCAATGACCTTGGTCGGGCGTGCAGCTTCCTCTCATGTTCGGCAACCGAACAAAACCAATTAGGTACCCATTTTATTTAGTGTAAATTGGATACCCAAGGGGGCTATTAGCCCCTCTCTGGATCCGCCACTATGGTTACGTTTGTATTAATTAACATTGATAGTATTTGATGGACTAGAAGTTAGTTGTGTTTTGAGTTCTCGGGCTTAATTTAAGGACTTACAATACACAGTCTATTCCTACTTTTCCATGCCATCTACATAAAATGGTACACTTCTGTATCTGTTGTCAAAAACAACTGAATGAAAATATTGATCGATATATCGATTATTCTATTGTTTCATTCGATATATCGAATACTCGATATATCGATCGATATTTTCATTTGGTTGTTTTTGACAACAGATACGGAAGTCTACCCGGACATAAAATTTTTTGTTCAGTCAATGTAAATTATTATTTCATAAATCAGAGTTTACTCATTCACATTATTTCTTTCTCAGAAAAAACACTTTTGGCTTAGAAATATATTAGGGTAAGAGGATTCCGATTTGATACACTAAAAAGTCACCTCAGGGAAAGATACAGGGAGATGACAGCACATCAAATGTTCACAATAAACTTTGTGATAAAATTAATCGAAGAGAGATGTATCAAGTTTATTGGTTGTGAAATGTTTCTGTAATATCAACTGCCTGGAACTCCTCCCTTGGGTAAGTTGGATGTCTGGTCCATCTTTATAATTTACATTCACATGAGGTTTTAGCCATAGCCTTCAGAAATATAAGATGACTACAAGACTTTGTTTCGATAAAATATGGTTTTATCAAAGAACAATTTAACCAGTCATAACAACTCTAGTCTAGAGTATAACTTATAAAGCCTCTTTACCTTTTAAAAGTCCCATCTGTAACTACTTGTACTCCCTAATGAAAGCTTTCAAACCCATTACGAGTAATTTTGAATATGATAGAAGTTTTGTGGTGATAGTTTATTTGAACAAATCAAAGTACTTACAAAATCAGTTTTATTTAGCAATGTTTGTACCTATTGGTGTGCTTACCTGATATTGCTGGAATTTTACAGTTACTTCCAAAGAAACCTCTATTGCACAAGCAAGCTTGTACAAACTTGTAATTACTATTCACACATTTTCCACCATAACCGCAATCCTTTTTACATTTTTTGGAAATCAGGCATTGATCAATAAACCATTCTTTGTTGAAGAATGTATTCAAGCAACGGCTATCTCCTTTATCGTCTTCTACGCAGACGGAGCATTGAAAGCCTATGTCATTCTTGAACTGATTACATACCTGGTCATCTTTACAGAATACACTGAACAAAGGTTTGTCCTGAGCTTGAATATGTTGCAAGTTTACATTGAAGATCAATAGGGTTAGCGTAAAATGTACAGAACAAATATTAGGGTATGCACTTAATATGCACTTCGACTTCATTATGAAATTGGGAATAGTTAATCACCAACACCACAACATCATCCAACCAAACACTTAAGAAAGCATTGTGTTTTAGTAAATATAAACAGTGTTTAACTGTTTACTTACACTCATATGGTTTAACATTTAAGACAAAAGTGGGCTTTGCATTTTTATTATTGGTAAAATGACATTTTGTTTACCTATAATAATTTAAAACACATGTAATTTGTTAGTATGAACCTGGAAACAGAAAAATAAGTTTGTAGGCAAAATTTGTTTAAAAATACCCCCACCACAGCAAACCTGTCGACTAAGCGAATTTCCATTTGTCTCAATCCCTTTTCAATTAAAGCTATCTATATATAAAGCCAAAAGTACCCTATAATATAAAGTCACACCCCCATAAACCATATACTTAAAATGTTTGTCATGATGAGAAACCTTGCACAAAACTATCCATTATGTCATAAATTGCCCTTTAAGGTCGTAATTCCTTTCTAAAGGGAACTTTCATATACCTAATGTTAAAAATACCTCAGCTGTACTTATTTGTTTGTTATTCTTTCAATTTATTACTTTATTAAAATCAGGTGTGATTATTTGTTTCTTTTACTGTATTTTGTTTATTTCAGGTTAACTTAACCAATAAATAGTTTTATTAATCTTTGATATTGCTGGAATGGTACCTAGGTTTGCTGCAACAAGGAAACTGAAACTAATAGCATAGACTAACCAACACAAGTAGACTTCTCATCCCATTGTAAATTTTGAAGCACGTTTTTTGTGTCTAGTTCATGTACGTGACACAAAGGCGCTAGTGTCAATGAAACTTTGTTTCCATTATTTTAGGGTTAATTTCTTGATTTTTGCTTTACTATTTGGTTATATAACTAGGGGACAAGTTATTGTTTATGATTAGATCGTATTATTTGGTTAAACGAGGTTTTAAATGTCTGTAATAACGGGAAACAAATTGTAAACAAAACACGACCTCTACATAAACCGTACATGAACTAACAATTAAATTGTCTTCAGCTGTTCCATAAGGATGAGAAATCTACTAAGGGAGTATGTTTTATCTATGCTAACCCTTAGAGTGCCAGGCGAGAAATAAAAGTAACGCTCAAAAAATGCCGATGATTTTTCCCGAAGGTCGCGCTAAAAATGCCGAGCGCGATCTGGCGATTTTTAGGTTAAAATTTCGTAAAAATCGAATTTTCGATATTTTGACCAACGAAAATCGATGTATCGCATCTAGTAACTTTCGACTCAATGTTAATATATGGGTTAAAAGAATCCGAGTATCCATTCGGTTGTTATGACAACTGTTCGATCATTACGAAACGTCCGGTCAGCCGGACGTTGGCACTTTTGGCTCGTTCTAAAAACGTCCGGTCGGCCGGACGTTGGCACTTTTGGCTCATTTTAAAAACGTCCGGTTCCCCGGACGTTGGCACTCAAAGGGTTAATAGCATAGATTAACCAACACAAGTAGACTTCTCATCCCATTGTAAATTTTGAAGCACGTTTTTCGTGTCTAGTTCATGTACGTGACACAAAGGCGCTAGTGTCGACGAAACTTTGTTTCCATTATTTTAGGGTTAATTTCTTGATTTGTGCTTTACTGTTTGGTTATATAACTAGGGGACAAGTTATTGTTTATGATTAGATCGTATTATTTGTTTAAACGAGGTTTTAAATGGCTGTAATAACGGGAAACAAATTGTAAACAAAACACGACCTCTACATAAACCGTACATTAACTAACAAATAAAATTGTCTTCAGCTGTTCCATAAGGATGAGAAATCTACTAAGGGAGTATGTTTTATCATAGACTAACCAACACAAGTAGACTTCTCATCCCATTGTAAATTTTGAAGCTCGTTTTTCATGTCTAGTTCATGTACGCCACACTGGGCGCTAGTGTCGACGAAATTTTGTTTCTATTATTTTAGGGTTAATTTCTTGATTTGTGCTTAACTGTTTGGTTAAATAACTAGGGGACAATTTATTGTTTATGATTAGATCGTATTATTTGGTTAAACGAGGTTTTAAATGACTGTATTAACAGGAAACAAGTTGTAAACAAAACACGACCTCTAACATAAACCGTACAGAACTAACAATAAAATTGTCTTCAGCTGTTCCATTAGGATGAGAAATCTACTAAGGGAGTATGTTTTATCTATGGTTTTATCTATGCTAATAGTGTGTTTTTTTTAATATTAATACTTTAGTATACAAAAATTTCCAAGTTTGATCAAAATATTCAAAATCCATCCGTAAACAAGCAAACTACAACATATATAAACATATATACAAATTTGAACGAATAGTGTTTTTGGCCTCTGGGAAAATCAAAATGAAAAAGTAAATCGGTCCCAGGCCTAGGTCTTACCGTGCTCCCTACGGTAATAGCTACTTCCCCATAGGGAAATTAGCTAAAAGGTGAGTTATTAGACTTCTAGTGTAATGTAAAAATTTGAAGCCAAAAACCGTGGTGCAATCTGTTGATGGTCTACCAACTAATGACCTTTCAAAATTGACTATTGGATACTAAAGTAGACTTCCCATCTATATGGACAAGCTGTAGCCAATTTTTTATTACAAAAAAACGCAGTTGTATAAGCCAGTCATAGAATGCGCTAGTGTCTAAAATTCTATTGTATACCTTATTTTTTGTTGCTGACCAGGTTGATGGGTCATATCTGTTGCTATGGCTCACCATAAGTCATTCCCTAAGTTTGACTTGGTAAAAAGGATTGTGTATTTGACAGAATTTAGTAATTTAGATCAGCGCAATCTGTAGGTGGTGGCTCACATCAACTACGACGATTTTGATAAAAAATCTGGCTACAAATTTAACATTTGGATGGAATGTCTAGCACTAGAACCTTTTAGAACCCTCTAGTGAGATGGTCCTATACTTCATCTATTTTCTTCAAAGTTTTACATTAGCCTACATGGAAAGTCTGTTATGTATACGGTTAATTAGCAATACCAATAGTCATAAAATATTTCAAGAGAGGGAAATTATCCATCATCAGAAATTTGTTTAGAAAATAAATTAATAATAATCCTTTTCATAAAGTCAAAAGTAAAAATTGTCTTCATTTCAATTCACTCTGCTAGGACTACATTTAATCGTAATGTTTGTAAGGTTTTAACATTGTTTAGTGGTAATCTAAAAAAACATTATTTTGTTTGCTATGAAATATTTACAGACAAGAGTATAGGTGTTTTACTTTTAAAGAAAACTACCGTAGTATTACTATTTTACGACTAACATTTACCACCAAGTCTCTTGCATAGGAAACTTACAAAGCTATTACCTTCACTATACACAGAAAAAGTTAACTGTGAAAGTTGATTTGGTAACCACACTGACTAGATTCATTGTTTATCCAAAACTCTAATATATTAAATATTTATTTGTTTTTACAACCACTTGTAACTTAGCTAGTTGAAATTTAGTGCAAATATTTATTACTTAGACTGTACCACAGCAAAAATTAATTAGGAAATGATCTAATTATATTGTTGGGTTTTTACTCCAAAATTTTGTCACAAATATATCAACCATGTTCTCAAGCTCCCAATTTTTTTAATGATAACCTCGATGAAAATTACAAAAGCATTCAGAGGAATTTGATTGGACAGTCATAAAGAGTTTCTGCTTTAATGATCCCTTTCCCTTCCACCTTGAGAGGGATGTCTTTGTAGACAGCTTGACCACTGGAGTCCACCTTGAAGTCCGGAGAGACGAGTTCGAACGCATGCTCGTGGGGCATCATGAAGGGTTCATCAGGGTCTCTGGGGAAACCATCCACTATCACCTCATCCCCCTCTGATCCACCAGGCGGGGGTAGCAACAACTCTACCTGAAAAAGGTAATTAAAAAGTAAAAACACAGGGAAGCTGTTATTATGCAGCAGAAAGCAAGCAAACTATTATTCCAGCAGCATATGCCTATCTAAACTGAAAAGAAACAAACCAAGTTTAAATAATTTATAAATACTAATTTTTTTAAATACCACGTTTTTAAACTCACTAAAAAGTTGAAAATAATTTATAAATATGTGAAGAGAAAAAATACTTGTATGATTTAAAACGAAAGATGTGGGGCGCTTGCAATAGCTAATTTAAAATTATCTTAACCTATTGAATCATTATTATCTATTACATTCACCCCACGTTTTTCGTTTTAAATCTTTAAACTATTTATTCTCTTCACATATTTATACATTATTTTCTACTTTTAAGTGCGTTCAAAAAAGTTTTTTTTTATTTTTACATTATTTTATACTTTTTAGTCTCTAATGTGTAAATATGTTAAAAATCTATTTTATGGCTTATAAATACATAACCAAATCTATTTAACTGTAATCACATGTTGTTGCTATCATTCTCATAATCATAAAACTTTAGAATCTCTCGGGAGCAGAACCTGTACCTCTTTAACCTCTGCTCTTTGAACAAACTGTCAAATTAAAATATTTACAGCTGACTTTAATTGATATATTTACATTCATCCAAAATGTAAACCCAAAAGAAACCCAAAAATTTGAACCCAGAAGATTACAAAGTAATATCGAGTTGCCTTTACCTTATCTCCCGAAACTGCACAGAGAAACTTTCCTCTGTTCTTAAACTGATCGATTTCAGTTACGAAGCAGTTGCAGAGCATCACCACCATTTTGTCAATGAGAGCATCTTCTGGATAGTGCTTTGCCACGTCATTTATCTATTCTAACAGATCAGTGTGGAAATGAGAAAAAAACATATTTTGAGAGTGTCACTGTTATTACGGGTACGTTATAATCTTACTTGTTTAATAATGTAAATGTAAACTCACTTGTGGTTTTCTTTTGATCACAACAATGCGTAAAAGTAAGCTTAGAGATACTTACCAATACGGTTAACTCCTCCTCTTTTGTATAAATAGTGTATTAAATGTTAGTTTTCCATTAGAATCTGTTTGGTTCAGAAACCCATCTGTGTATAACTCTTACACTCCCAAACCCACTTAAAACGATTGATTATGCAGCTTGTTTGTCAATGCAGTAGCTTAAACAATTTTAGCGTTATTCTCCTGAATTGAAAAAAAAAACAATTTAACTCACAACTAGTTTAATATCCATATCAAGGTCGTCTTCAGGTCCTTTATAATAATGCATATTATGCATGTTGTTGGTACAGCCATCGATGAACTTCTCCATTGGAAATATATGATGGATGCGAGCAATTCTGATGTCAAATCTGCGGAAGTCAATGGGACCAGGAACTTTGACTGCAAGAAAACAAGATATTGTTTTGTGCAAATAATTGCAACAAGTAAATATTTGTTACCGTCAGAAAATGGCATATTATTATGAACTTTAATTATGTCTAAGTATATAATTTTATTTCAAAACTCAAGTTTATTACATTTTTTAAAATGTTTATAAAATTTTAATCCTATCTTTTAAAAATACTAGAGGTCGTCCAGTGGTTGAAAACTTGGAAAAGTTTGTAATGTCAGACTTCTCTATTTTCACCCTACGCTGTAAATAAAACATGTGATTGGAATTTCTACATTTGTTTTGATATCCTGTTAATATTGTGTTGTTATTTCGTCACCAGCATGACAACCCATAAGGTCCATGTTATTTTTTTTAATGATGTTTTGCTGCCAAGAGTGGACTTGTCTCCTTCAGACACTTCATTGCCTTTTTTTTATTTTGAAGGCGACAGTTTCAAATTTGCCTGTCTTTTGCAATAACAATAAATAAGGCTCAAGGAAAAACTTTGGACAGGGTTAGGCTTTATATACCACAACCAGTGTTTAGCCATGGCCAGCTATATGTTGCTCTGTCCAGAGCTAGGAATTTCAAAGATAACAAGGTTGTAATCCTTCCAAGAACCAACAGAACGGTCAACATATAAGGAGATTTTTTAACTTTTGATGTGGGTATTTTAAAACTTTAAAATTCAAAATTCAAAATGTTTGTTATTATTATGAGCTTTATTATTTTGATTGAACCGCAAAATTTTGCAGGGGAACGGCTGGTTATCTTCTTTAAGTATATTTTTAAGATATGATTACAAATTTTCCTTTTTTGGGGCCTGTAATTCAGTCTCTAGGTTTGTACCAACATTTGACAAACATGCCACATTCAAGTCCCAACCAAGTCCTACATTATTTGTCACAATCATTCTACAACCACAAATTTTTAATTTATTAACTTATCCAATAAAAATAACAGTTTTTACCAAACACCCTTGAAGAGAGCCGAGAAGCCATCACGCAATGTACTGTGTGTGTGCTCAAAATCGAAGATGAGTGTTTACAACATAGACAAACCATGAAAATGGCAAAAATACAGCAAAAAAATATAAATATAAACTTGTAATAATACATTTAAATATTAGTTAAAATATTGTGTTTCATTCTTCCTGTCAATGGCCGATTACCTAAAACAATCTTCAGCTATCCAAACACAACCCTCCTCCAAACCCCAATTTTTTAGATTTGTTGCTATCTGAACTCCAAAAATGTGTGTAATACTGAACTTTAAAATTACTCACATGAAGGAGCCATAGTAGATGAATAGGAATAGACTTTTTAATTTTTAACTTCTCCTCAATATAATTGTATTATGAATTTGAGTTTAGAATGAAATGAACTGGTTAAAACACCAACTTTCTCACAAAAACTCATGTGAAAAAAATCGTCTCTGGATTAAAAAAATCCTAACTCACGATCTTTATAAGTACATGTTTACAAACAAAGTATGTTATACATTAAATTCAAAAGGTCCAAATAATATATCTTGTTTCAAGCAAAGATTATTTAAACTAGAAACTGTTGTTGGATAATTTTGTATATCTGTTAAGTAAAAGATAAGAAAGAGCTATCAGAAACACTATGTAGTAACATCATTATTCATTAGTTGCCATTACACATACATTATTTATAGTAGCATTATACAGCAATAATACAGTGATAGAATACAAGCTTTTTGAAAACACAAGTCTTCCCACAGCCTTGATATTGTTTATATTGCTTTGCTGACGGAATACTTTCCAAGTTAAAGTGAAACATTGTTTGAGGATCATGGATTGAAAATGAAATGTCGGAAGATAATAAAATATCAAAAGGTGTGTACAAGCATAGCAATATTTATAATACAATTACAATGTAGTGCAGAATAATAAATTTGCTGGTGTATTTTTGGCCACAATGAAAAATAGAAATGAGAAATATTGAGTTTATTTACATTTTTAAAATAAGTATTAAAGAATGTTCTGTAAAGGGTGTTTGAAAGCTGTAGGCTGGGTAGCTTTTATATATGTTTACTGAAACAATATATCTCGGCTGAATTAATTTAATTTTAATTATAATTATTGAGTTCATAATTGGTTACAGCAAGATTTTTACTTTCTTGCCGTACACTTAATACATGGATAAAGTATTGTTTTCCTATTTTTTTTTTTAAGTTTGAGTGGAAATGTCCATTTTGAATCCAAAAAAGTGATTTTTGAAGTTATGTAATTGTGTGTATGTGAAGAGAGCTACAAACTACATCTGTGATCTGATTTTGTTGAAATTTGGAATGTGTTTTCTAATCCATCTATCTCGAGGTATTCTTTTATTTTTTAATGATTTTTGTATAAAATAATGAAAAATTGGATTTTTACAAAAACGGACCAAACCATTTTAATTAAAAATAAAATTTAGTATTTTATGTTCCTTTTGACTCTTAACAACCTATAAAATGTCAATCAATAAATTAAGATGGGGACACCACTATGTGCATATTTTAACACAAATAAGAGTTTAGAATGAGTGGCGCATTGTTAGTGACTAAACCCAACATGTTCCTTGGACACTGCTGTTAATTAATATGCATACAGCCAATGGCAATTAAAGGACCTACAATTTATAGTGGAATTAATTGGTCTAATTATCAGGATAGTACTGCGGATAGTCGTAGTACTCACTAGTGCGGACGTTAATCCACACCAGGGAGTATCGCATCCACAGTGCATGCCTATAAATATCCACAATTCGTGACCTAGAAGCTGTATTACACGACGCCATAGTTGTCATAGTAACTCCCACCGCTTACCCATAAAGAGGGTTGTTGACAAGCTAATAGAGGGTGTCAGTTTGCTAGTACTGCTTGATAATCTGTTTTACAAACCATTATTGATGGTTAAACTATTAGAGGTAGGCCTATTGATTAGGTAAGGTGTAATACATTTCAGATGAGGAGTTACCTCCAATAGACATCAGCTGGCTGGACCTGAGAGTTGGAGAGATATGTGATATCTTGTACCACCACTGGGACGAGACCTGCTTTATAGCTATGATTGATATTGGGGAGAGAATAACTAGACTGGCAGTGAGTAATAACACAGACACACCCACTAGAGTTGTAAATTATTGCTGTTACTCAGTAACACAACAGCAACATTTATTGCCTGCCAATAACAAATTGCATTCTGATACTTTGTTCTTAAGAGTCTGTTGTTGTTGGCTGTTGTGTCACAGCCATAGTTTCAATGTGTTAAACGTTAGACTTGATATCGGTGTATGGTTATTTTATGTTGTTGAGGTAATGTGGGACCAATACAACAACTAGATGTAAAAAATTGTTTTCCCAGTTATTTTCAAAGTATTTTAAATTGCAATAAATAGGCCATCCTAAAGTTTAATCTATATAAATAAAATTAGTTTTGTCTGTACATTGCTCAGAATTATATATTTTTAGGTTATTTTTACGTCTTATACATTAAATAAGCAGAAACGAGTCTTATCTCAATTTCTGTCTGTCTGTCTTTCCCTTTGTCTGTAACACTCAAGATGGCATTTTACACTATCTTCTCCTGGAAAACGACAGTACCTATCAAGATCCAAGTCATTTTAATGTATTCACTGGATTGGCGAGATTGTCTTTAGCCATTAAAATATGGCCTCACTACTTTGTAAATAATATTACGAACGTTCAAAAATGTAGTTTTGTGCGATTTATGTCAAGTTTTCGTCCAATTTTTATTGCATAATCATCTATGAAATAACGAACAGCTGTTCGGATCAAGATTATTTTTCCTAGCTGTCACTGATATGTTTACAAATGTTGTTTACAAATACCGCAACCTTTTTCAATCACGTTTTGAATGTAAATCCCAAGTGATTAAAAACGTTTTTCTTACATAACGGATTTAATTAATCGAAAGTGCAATAATATAGTGTAATAGTGTAACCGTGTAAATGAAATTAAATAACTAGGCATCATCCAGTTCAGGAACCAGAGATTCTTTGTGTATAAATTGTTCTTGAGTTTTGATAACCAGAAAGAAGACCTTGAATCAGTGTTGTATACGGCTGGGAAACTTTAAATTTAATAATGATCGTCGCCAATGGCTTAGAAATATGGTTTCCACTCATTGACACGGTGCTTCAATGGCGGTTGTGTAAAGTGGTAAGTAAAAAATCACAACTGCAGTGGTTGATTGTAACAGAGGTTTACGGATGATGCTAAACTCGCTTTTCTAATGTGTTATTTTCTGTTCCTACCATTGACTATATATATATAGTCAATAGTACCTACTCACCGTGTGATGCAATCGCTGGACCATACAGCCATGCTCTTGGGTACGTACGCCTACCCAATTATTCATAACAAACTGTTCGACGACGATCCTTGATACCAGTACTTTTCCCTAGAATACATGGCCTACCTACTTAAGAAATAAAATTACAAACGTCCAAAAACCCAACGTTGTGTGATTTTTGTCACATTTCCTTCTAAGATATTATGCTAAGTTGTATCATTATTGATCAACTAGCATAAGTGATCATTATTGTATCACATTATGCTAAGAAAACGATAACGCACTTTAGTAAAACATTTATTCAGCTAACCATAATGAATTGTTTAAACGCTTTACGTTGTTTATGTATCAATAGTTCGTGGCCTATTTTGGTAATATTTACTATAAATTACCAATCATCTATACCAGGGTGGCTGGACCACCCTGGACCAGTCGTCTTCATTTCATATAGTAAGCCGTCATTTCGGGTCATCATCGGTCCAAGCAAATATACATTGTTATGATGAAATTTGATGACATTAACAAAATATTTTAGATACTAATTTTACAAGTACTTTGTTATGCTTAAAGCGTAGCAAACCCCCTAATTAAGTTCTGTATTTTTGTGTGTATGTCTGTTAGTAAAGCATTAATGTCCTTATTTCTCAGTGTTTCACGGAAAGGACAAAAGTACCTTTATAATGAAAATGTCAACACGAATAAAGTGTTAAATTGGGAGGTTGAAGTAGTACCTTAAATACTTTTAACCATTGTGGAAGGTAACTTTCAATTATAGGCCTACATTAGGGCTATGCCTCATAGATCTATAAAGCATTTTTTAGTTTAATCATTGGATTTAACATATGGACCAACACGACCCAGGTTACATTTAATTTCGAAGCATTTGTTTTGGCTTGAAACTGTCAGATACTGTATTTGCGAAGGTTTATATACTGTATAATAGTTTTGCCAGCATATCTGAAAATATGCAAACCAAATTCTGTTCTTAATAAAAAGGTTTCAATAACTGACTACAGTAAGATCCCCGTGCGTAGAACGGGCACACAGCTAGTTTATACTAAACTTCAAGTCAGACTGAGGCAGAACCAGGGGTGAATCAGTCAACCGCACTAATAGTCTTATCCCTTGAGTCGAGTCTATTGTGCATGCTTGGAGGGGTCCGCGGAATTGGCTAACTCTGGAACTCGCTAACCCCATGTTAAACGCCCTATCTTCAAATTTGGTCGATGAGAGGAACTCGCTAACTTGTTCGGTTTCGGAATTGGCTAACTCCGGAACCCGCTAACCCGCTCTAGAGCCGGGTTAGCGGGTTCCGTCCTCGTACGGAAGTCGCTAACTCGGTCCCTCGGCGGAACTCGCTAACTCCCAATCATAAGCCTCGCGGGCCGTCCAATGGGAGCCAAGCACGAAGATTTTTGGCCAGTGTTGCCGAAAGTGTAGTACCTATATCGTATCGGTACCATAATGTCGTATCCTACGAATAATTAGTAGTAAGAGCAACGTAGCCGATAAAATAAATATATGGGCTCGCACCATTTCTGGCATTATTTATTTTTTTGACCTACACTGCATCCCGGTCAAGGTCAAGCTTCTTGGCGCGGAGAACACCCTGGATGTAAAGTGACACACAGGTCCAATTGTCCTCACCCTCCATCATCATCGGTATGACCGTGTCCACCGACAGCAGTCCTACGAACTGTTGAGCCTCTAGGCGGGGCCTTTCCCAATGCTGGCAGTGGAAAAAAGTGTGTTCCACGTCATCGGGAATGCCTGGGCAGTATATGCAATCGGGTGACACGGCTTTGCCCATCCTGAACAAGTACGACCGGAAAAAGCCGTGACCCGTCAGAAATTGGGTGAGGTAGAAGTTCACCTCTCCGCACCGCCGATCAACCCAAGGTTGGACCTGTTGTATCAGTCGCCTGGTCCAGAGCCCCCTTGTCTCCTGTTCCCAGCTCTCCTGCCACAGCTGGAAGGTCCAGGTGTGTTCCTCAATTCTTGCCTGGTCCTCCCCACGGAGCTGATAAATTGCCTTCCTCTCCGCCGCCAAAAGTTTGATGGGGATGACTCCAGCAACCACCAGGACGGCGGGTTCGGACACTGTTCGATAGGCAGATGTTACCCTTAGTGTTGCCTGGCGCTGCACTCGGGCGAGCCGCATCCTATATATCTCCTTATTGAGAGCGTCTGCCCAGACTTCCGCACCGTACAGGAGCACGGACTGGATCGCAGACATCAACAGCCTTCTGCGGCTGGACCGCGGACCTCCGACATTGGCCATTAACCGACCAAGGGAAGAAACCATTTTAGCGGCCTTGTCCGCCGTACGGGTGATCTGGTCTTGCCAGCTGTGCTTGCTGTCCACCATGACACCAAGGTACTTTGCGGCACGAGTGGTTTGGACTTCAACGTTCCCCACCATCAAAGGCACGATGGTGTCAATCCTCTTTTTAGTCAGAATCACAATCTCAGTTTTGCTCAGAGCGAGCGAGAGACCATGTTCTGCCATCCATGCGTTAATGGTGCGCATGACTCGATTTAGTTTCAGCTGGGCAAGCTCAATGCTACGTGCGGCTATTAAAGCCGCAACGTCATCTGCATACCCAACTAGGACAGTTTCCTCAGGCATCTCGGATCTCAAGAGGCTGTCGTAGGCGACGTTCCAGAGGTCCGGGCCCAGTATGGATCCTTGAGCAGCATCAGAAGTTACATCCATCGTCCTGGAGCCTTCTGTAGTGTCGTAAATGATGAGGCGGTACCGGAGGTAGTCCTCTATCATGCGCATGAGGTATGCCGGGACATGGAAAGTGTTCTCCAGTGCGTCCACCATATCGCACCCCCTCGTGGAATTAAATGCGTTTCGCACATCAAGTGTTACAAGCAGCACAACCCGACGAGAATAGTTGTTAAACTCCTCAGCTCTCATTACGGCTCGCTTTACCTCCTCAATAGCTTCAAACGTTGACCGTCCCTTCCTGAAGCCGTACTGACGAGGGGATAGATTTCCTGCAGCAACCACGGCTGAATTCAGTCGGGAACGGATCAACTTTTCCAAGACTTTCCCAGCAGTGTCCAACATACAGAGAGGTCTGTAAGAGGAAGGTAGGTCTGGGTTTCCTTTTCCCTTCCCCACGAGCACAAGCCTAGCTGTTTTCCAGCAGAAGGGAAACTTCCCCTCGGCCAGACAGGCATTGTACGTGCTTTAAGGATTTGTGGATTTATTGAAAAGGGATAGAACGGCCGCCTCCAACTCCTCGAGACTGAACAGCGGTACGTAGTCCACCCTTCCGAACTCCCGCAATGGGCGCAGTGTGCGAGTCGGGAAAAGGGACTTTACAATCCTCTCCATAGAGGCCCCGTCCATAACGGAAGGTGGAGAGCGGGTGCCAAGCTTCTTGGTTACTATCTTGTAACCCAGGCCCCACGGATCGGAATCGACATCGTCCCTTAATTTCTCCCAGCAACTGCGTTTGCTCCGGTAATGGCCCGGCAAAGAGACTTCCTAGCCACCTTGTAAGCATCAGACTTAAGACGTCTATCTTCAGGTTCTCTGGCCCTGGTAGCAAGACGTCTGGCTCTCAATGCTGCCCGTCACAGTTCTGCGATCTCGGTTGTCCACCAGTACACAGGTCGCTTATCACACCGGGAACTCCTGCAAGGCATTGACTCATCGCAGGCCGAGACTATCAGCCTCATCAATGATGTAATTGATGTCTCTGCGTGAGCCACGCCAGATGCAGCAGGTTCCACTGGCTCTCCCCGTAGTATGACTTCGGTGAATTTGGCCACGTCCAGCTTTTTGGTGTTCCACCCAACGGACACCTGCCGAGACATGGTAGCTTGTCTCTGATGACTATCCAGGACATCAAAAACGATGTACTGGTGGTCACTGGCCGTATAATCCTCTAGGACTCTCCAGGCTCGTATCCTCGGCAAGAGGGACAAAAAACAATAAAATTTTTATTTATTTATTAAAATACATCACATAACGCCTAAGGAGTGCTTCTGCACGCAGGCAGGTAAATTGTCAAAATATACATTGTGTACTAGTATAGAATAAAAGCAACATAATAATAAATATAGAAATAAACATAATAAGAATAAAATTGAACAGTATTGAAAAACAAGTATAAAATAAGTTAGGTTATTAGCAAAGTTTACAAATAAGTTATATCAATATCAATAAGTTATGTTTACTACAATCAGACTGATAAAAAATCCTCAATTCTGTAAAAACAATTGTCTAACAGGTAAGACAGTAAGTGTAACCGGAACTTTTTAAATGATTCTACCTCTCTCAGTGATAAAGGAAGCTTTATAGTGATAAGGAAGGTGGTTTACTGTATCTTCATTAACACTGACATTTTGAAATACGGCAGCGTACGATTATTTCGTCGTGCAAGGTTGGCAACGCTCCATGCAGTGGGCGCGGCTGGGTTAGCGACTTCCAGAGTTAGCGAATTCCGCCGCGAGACAAAATCTAGTTAGCGGGTTCCGGAGTTAGCCAATTCCTGACTGAGACGGTTAGCCAGTTCCAGAGTTAGCCAGTTCCGACACACGACCGAGTTAGCGAGTTCCTGAGTTAGCCAATTCCTACGTCTCGCTTGGAGCTGCTCGGGCAGCCGGTGAGTCATACTACTGGCTCCACTATCTCTGAGCAATATTTTTTTTGAAGAAAATATAAAAATCTGATGGTATAAAATGGATATATTTTAATCTTCTGATCATTTTGGTATTTTGAAGAGAATCGTGGAATTTTTTAAAATTACTCTACACTGTACTTTGAATGTAACCTTAAAATTTAATTAGACCAAAGTTTAGGTTTCATCAGCTCTGCGTTTGATCATGTAGCCAAATTTATTGGAAAAAATAACATCAAAATAACACCCGCTTGCATATTGGTTAATTGGTTAGTTTAAATACAAAATGTTCATGTTCTAATGACTTGTTTTCTTTGATTCAGAACTGGATGATAAAAATTTTGGCTTCAAGATAGCAACTAAAAATACATTTGTAATCATACAACCATAAAACTGTAGATGGTTATTTTCTCAGTATTATATGCAACAAATAAATGATAACACTGTCAAACTAAACCTAAACTTTGGTATAATTAAATGTTAATGTTACATTCAAAGTACAGTGTAGAGTAATTTTAAAAATTCCACGATTTTCTTCAAATTTGGTATCAAAATGATCAGGAGATTAAAATATATCCATTAATACCATAAGATTTTAATATTTTCTTTAAGAAAAAAATATTGTTCAGAGATAGTGGAGCCAGTAGTATGACTCACCGGCCAGGTCACCGGCTGCACGAGCAGCTCCAAGCACGCATAATAGACTCAAGGGATAAGACTATTAGTGCGGTAGACTGGTTCACCCCTGGTTCTGCCTCACTCTGACTTGAAGTTAAGTATAGCTGTTTGTTTAGTCTACTAATAAACTCAAGCCATTTAAACTTATATTTTTAAATGCCACTAAAGCAGTAAATACCTATAGGTGTAAGGAGGTTAGAATGATTCACCTACTCTGCAATTACAGCTTTTAACTTTCCACAGGTGATGAAACTGTGTAAATATTACAAAATGAGACATCTGCGGTACAAGAAGTGCATTGCCCTTTGTAACATCAACCCCATCAACAAGGCAGGGGTGACTGCTACAGCTCGGGTGCTACTAGCAGCCAAGCCAGGTGAGCGAGAGCTTCTCCGGGGGCCATCCAAGAGTGAGCCGGGTGAATTCGTCAAGATAGAGGGATTTACCCGAGACAACCTCTATGAACCATTATATGCTTTGCACAGGTTTGATCGACCAAAGCGAATACCGAAGAGGAAAATATTTTCAGCAGTCTCGCCAGACTTAAAAATTAATGCTGATAGAATCGCTACTTATAGAGACACACCGTTATACGTAGAAGGTCCAAACGATAAAGGGTATGTTATGTCAAAAACCATCACTAACGGTTGTATAAGATGATTGGTTTACTTGTGTGTTTAACTATTTTGTATGTTTTTTCACCCACAAGAAAAGATTCTATATTTTCGGTAAATATTAGTATTACCTAAGCGCAGTGCTCGATTTGCGGTGTAACGGAATTCCGGTACCTCTCTTTTGGTAAGATAAAAATATTGAATTTAATAGATACATAAATACTAAATAGGCAATAGGCCTAATCATGTTAAATAGGTTACAGTTCCGGCATCTCATCATTTTTTACAAATCGAGCGCTGCCTAGGAGTACCACATTGAAGTATTACAGACATGATACATTTGCGTGATTAGTTGATTATTCCATTTGGTAAACACTGTTGAATGATGAATAACAGAAGAATTAAATGATTTAATGATGAATTAACACTGATGAATATTTGATAAGTGACAGTTTAAATAAATACCGAGTGTCCCATTATAGTCTCCCCCCTGGTTAATTTTTGAACGGCTAAATATATTTAAACGAGCTTCGATACACGTTACTATGGTAATGTAAAGTACTTTTTGGGGGTATTTTTAAATTGTCACCGGTTTTGAGATGATAGCGGGTAGTGCCGCAATCGCCAGAAATCATCAAGTATATTGCCGTGATTACGGCAAACTTTCACTAACATTTTTGTGCAATCATGTAAGATGCTTACAACTCCTATCAAGCGGCCAACCCCTATCGTTTTAAAGGCCATTAGTTAAAAAGAATATTAGCAAAAACCAGAGGCCTCTATCTCAACCCATTACAGAATGGCGTCCATTTGAATTTTTGACCAGCCTGAGAGAGCCCAAGTAAAAATAAAATATACATCAATCAATTTATCAATTTACATCTCTACTGATCATTATTTGCAATCTCTAAATCGCCAGATTTACATTAACATTGTAAGCATCTCACATGAAATTTTTTTAAAGTTTGGCGTTATCACGGCAATATACTTGATGATTTCTGGCGATTACAGCAGCCCTCGCTATAATCTCAAAACTTGCTATTATTTTTGCGATCGGGGATAACTTCGTAATGTTTTACCATGATTGTGGAAATGGTCGTGATCGTCTCCCCTGCGATCCCGATTTTCAACTACGCAAAACAAGGAAAATCAGTGGTTTTTGGCAGGATTTTTTGCTACTATTCTGGATTTCCCTGTGGTTTACAAAATTCACAGATTTTTTCCGGTCATCAAAATTTACCAACAATTCCCAATTTCCAGGTTGGCTGGACCCCCTAGTAAAAAAACCACAGCGCAGCAAGGGGCGCAATGCAGATAATTGACGTTGAAAAACCTTTTTGCGCATGCGCAGCAGGAATGTCCGCAGTACGATTTATAGAAGTTTCAAAAAATCCGTCCTCGAACTCAAGCAAACGGACGGATTCCTGTGTGCGGTGCCACATTTGACATCATTGGAAGAAAATTTTAGAGCCTCACCAAAGAAACCTTCCCATTAAAAGCCCCAAAATTGTGTGAACGGACAATTAGACGGGCTGACAGGTAGTTGGATAAACTATGTGTTTGGGAAAAATTTCATAACATATTTTATCCATCAATGCTGCACTATTGCAAAATCACTAGCCATTATTTAACTATGGGGGATGAATCATTTATTCTTTTTCATAGAACCAGAATATGTTCGCTGTAGCTGTACAAACTTGTTTGTAATATATTTTAGTATGTGTCACATTAAATATTATATAATACAGTATGTTGGATGTTATTTATTATTCAATTGAGTGTTTATTTTTCCCTTTGAACAATCATTTAAAAGTAACATTAAAATCGAGTGTGACCCAGGAAAATAAACTTAAGACCTTTAATATACTATTTAAGGTTTATAGATCACTTCCATTAAAAGTTAAAAGGAAAGGATTGTGAATAAAGGTATATTTATGAAAAAGATTCCCATCAAAATTGACCTTCTTAAGCATGGACACTTTTCATCTCAAAATATTAAACGTTCAATGTCATTGCTATTGCCACGGAATAGTCAAGCTAAAATATTCAAATATTTTTTATTTATTTATTTATTTATTTACTACATGTCATTACATCATTTTTTGACAGGACATAAAGTCATATACAGGATATACTAAAACTAAGAAATAACAAAAATGTCTTACTAAATTATTAATCTAACTTAACGTCCATATTTAAATAACATTCTATAGAAAAAAATTTTTTTGTTTTTAACCAGGTCTTCAGGGTGGATCTGAACTGTGTTTTACTATCAATATTTTTTATGCGGAGTGGTAACTTATTGTAAACTTGTGGGCCTATATATTGGGGAGATAAATGAAATTTCTCTAATCTATGGGTTTCAGGCTTAATATAACTCTTAAATCTAGTGTGGTGGGAATGAATGGGTTGGTTCATGAATGAGGAGAGATTGCCTTCAACCCAATTTGAAATTTCTAAAATATAGTGATCATAAAATGTTAAAACCGAAAATGTTTGAAAAAGACTTTTACAAGGAGTTCTACGAGGAACTCGCCCAATAATTCTAATTGCTTTTTGTTGAAGTTTGAATATTTTGTTGGAGTGGCATGAGTTTCAGAATACCATATGTCATTATTGAAGAAAAATAAGCATGATAAACTATAAGCTGAGTCTTCAAGTCAACAGCTTGTCTGATTGCACGAAGAGAGAAAATACAGCGGTTTAATCGTTTAATCAAATTAACAACTTGTGATTTCCAGTTAAGATTTTCATTGACAGTTATACCTAAAAAATTCACATTTTGCTGCAGTGGCATTTTAGATTTTGATGTTGTAATTTTACCTGTATTGTATGCACAAACACTTATAGTATTAATAAAATTTGTAATGCAAATTACCTGAACAGTTTCGCCAAACGTATCTCAAGATATTGTACAAAACATGTTCTCACTAGATAAAGTCGTACCCCATCACATTAGACACACTGCAATCACTCAAAGTACGTGTGGTAATGTATCCTTCAGTACCTTCAACTTGTAAAGGCTTGTCTTTAAAGACCACTTGTTTGTCTTTATTTACCCATAAGTCATTTTCAATAAGTCCATTTGCGTTCACAACATAAGGCTTTTGTGGGTTTTTCGCATACCCTTTTACATGGATCGAACTTCCAAGTTGTGCTTTTCTGGGTGCCTGGAGAAGTTCTATTTCATCCCCCTTCTTTGCACAAAGTACAACAACTTTTGACTCGACTCCCCTGCTTGTAAAAGGTTTGGGATTGCATAAAACAACTATTTTTAGATTTTCCAAATCTAGTGAGCTGTATCGTTTACTGAGGCCACTTTCCTGAAACAATTAATAAGTTGTAAACCTAACGATATTAAAATGGTTAGCCTACATATTTTTAATTGCCAGTAATCAATATTATATCCTTAACACAGATTTCTCCCTTTTATTTTCCACCATTTTTGTACCCATTATTATATAATCGTAGATTATGAACAGTTTGAACGCTTGAGTTTTATCATTGACTAGTATTTTTATAGTCAATGGTTCTTTAATCTAACTCAATTTTCTAAATAAAAGTTAGCCAGAGAGTTTTACGTCAAAAATATTTAAAACCAAATCCACAATCTTTTAAGAGCTCTAAAAAAACTTTTTGGGGGGTAAGTTAAACCATAGATTTAGCATTACTCCCTTAAGTCAGGTTTACACGATGCCGGTTGGTGTGACAGTTGTCTTTGCCGATTGTCACCACATGATTGTCAGAGGCCGGTTGTCCTCAGTTCAGTCCCGGATACAACTGAGTTTCAGGACAATTGTGAGGGTAAAATTGGCCTGAAGTGTGTACAGTCATACCACATGGAAATTGCACTCAAATTTACAGTACTCGGTCGTCCGAAGGGAGTGTCAGAAAACCATGGAGAAATCGAGACTATGGAACGTCAGAAAACTATGGAGAGATCGAGACTCTGCTGTAACATTAAACTAAGGAGTCAATTTTTATAACTACACAATGATTCTCAACTTACTACAACCAATCTTCTTTCTTCCTTTATTTTTTGTACGTCTTCCAAAGATCCCATAAAATCATTAGATAGTTTGACATTTGGATTAATGCTGATAGTTTCGACGTAACGACGTCCCTTGGATGGTTTTGGGTGACGCCCGACCATGAGTACTTGGCCCACTTTGAGATCAAGGTGTCCGATGTGAAGAGGGTTTTTGTAACCTATAATGTCCCCGTGTTCATCATGAATCGGCTCGAGAAATTTACCTCTAAAAACTTTCTCAGATGAAAACTCATAAGCTGTTTTTTTGTTTTCTCTCAAGTCTTGTTCCCTTTTTTGGGATTCAGCTAAACGCTTGTCAATCAACGCTTCGATCCTGGCTTGTAAGTCATCCGGAGGTTTCAAAAATGGATCGTCTGGAATGTCATTTTCAACCAGTGATTTTTTTTCTTCGGAGATTTCTCCATTTTCAGCAGTTGCTGGATCACTCAAGATGGTACCGGAATTGTCTTCAGCTTTCTCTTCACATACCTGTGTAGAAGTGTTGTCTTTAGCTTCAGATTTGTCTTGCGAGTGACCTGCAAGTCAATAGGCCAATATTATAAACACTGTAACATAGTTTTCTTGAACTTGATCTATTTTCTTTACAAGCTTTAAGTCGTGTTAAATGTTAGTTTACACTATAGTTATCAGTTTAAAGTTGAAGCTAGTGAGGATCACAATAAGAGAAACCCGTAAGCCACACACTAACCAACCGCAAGCTAGAATAAAAGGTCTTGATGAGAGATTCCCCAAAAAATATTAGTTTTTCTATAAACCTTCTTCTAAGGGAACAAACGTCAATCAATTAAGTTTTTTTTTTTTTATATATATATTGAGAATGTGTCATCTGCTCCATTTGTTTCAGTTTAAAATTGTTTGTTTTACTTTTAACAGAGTTAAACTTTTGGCCCTCGATATATATATTTTCCATGTTTACATTATGATTAAGTTATTAGTTTTGTTTGATAGCTGATTGCAAATTCACAAGCAAAAGATCTTCTTTAAAATAAGCATTGATAACAATTTGAGTTTTACCACAATAATCAATAGAGGGTGTAGGCCTATAGCTATTTTTTTACAATACATTTGAAAACCACATTACAGTATTCTCTTCTGTATTTTCACAATCTTTCACGCATCTTTGGTCTTTAAGTCAAATAAAACTTGGTTATTCACTGATTCCTCACTATCAAATTAATTAGGGCCTATTCTTACAATTTTGAGATAACTTTTTTTAAACTAGTTTTAATATTCTTAATATAGCAATAGTTTAAAAGTAAAAATTACAGTAATATTTTCAATCAAGCTAAATTAAAAACTATTTACCTTCCACGTCTTTACTCCCATCCATCATGATTGGCTCAGAGATTTCCAACTTTTCTTTGATACTAAACGGTCATCAACAAACACATTCATCACTACTAACTTCTTAAAAAAAATCTTTGAATGAACTTAGCTTGTGTTACATCTTGAATGTGGAAACTGTGACTTTTCAGACAAGATAAGTTGATACTAGACTTACAACACATCTAATAACTCTGAAAGTTAAAAAGATAAAACGGATTTATTTGATCAGTGAACTCAGATAAAGACTTGGAGATTGTTAAGTTTATATTTCTTTGAATACATAAATATTATTTTATTCTATTTTAGTGTGGTGAACAGCCACCACACGTAACAAGCTAAGCTACTTCAGTTTGAAACTGTTATAAGTTTCCTGTAGTACCTCCCAAATATGGTACTGTATTGCTTTAAGCCGATAAGCTTTAAACACAACCAGATTTTAACATTAAATTACCGTTAATTTATCAATTAAATTATACATGGAAGAGTAGATTTCAGATTCACGTTTTTATTGTTACCACAAGAATTCATCATTACCAATGCCTAACCCCCCTAATAGTTTATATTCTGAGAAACTAAATAGAGTTAACCAGAAAAGATATCTTTTTTAGGAAATTATAAAAATGTACAGCCAAAAGAGGTATATAAAAGGTTCGATTTGCAAGTCTAGTGAAGCTTGGCCTAAAAAAGCTTAAATTGAGATTTGAGTTAGAAAATCAACCTGACCCGAGCTTTTTCCACCTATTTTTCCTTTTTGTATAATGTCAAATATTAATGTCTTTATAATGACTGTAATGCTAAAGCACATAAAGTTGGGTTATTTAAATCCAAAAAATATACTTTGATTAGTCTATTGTAGGCATATTCGTAGTCTATGACCTTACTAACATCAGAAAATGTCATCATTTGAAACAAATTAAATGAGGTGAGTTTATTTCAAACCCAGTTCCTTGTTAAGTCAAGCTCGTCTGACTTCTTTACACATTTATAGCAATAATGCCAATTTTACTAATTTATAGTCAAATGTTATGTGCCTTTACCAAATAACCCTAAAGTTTATCATAAATCTCCAGGTACCAATGAAAATGTAAAACATTGTAAATAACAATTCTATATTTACATAAAGGTTATTTAATGTGGCAACCAGACATTGCCTGTACTGTTATGTATCCTCCTTTGCCTTCCACTTCCCAAGGCACCTCCTTGTAGCAAGCCTGCTTGTTGCTGTTAACTTTCAAATCTTCTGCGACTTTTTCAAAAATCTTCTTCTTGGGGTTCATGAACGGAAGATCCGGGTTGCGGGGGTAACCAGGCACAGTGATGTTGTCACCTGCTTTAGCGTCTGCGGGAGGAATGAGTAGTTCCACTGTCTGTGGCGTGCTGGCGCAGAGAACCATTGCCTCGGACACGATGCCTCGCATCTTCTGAGGCTTCAAGTTACACAACACCACCACCATCCGCTGGTCTAGCTCGTTCAGTGGAACATGCTTCACAAGTCCGCTCACCTACCACAATAGGCAGTAATATGAGTCATAAACTAGCTGACAGAGTTAAATGATTCAGCAAGAACTTGATTTATTGAGAAATTGTAAATTAAATCTTAAACAAGCTATGGACTTCCTTTTCTTCTCGATTCAATGTATCCTTCCCCCCAATACCTACTTGTACATAGTTTTGATATGACAAAACAACAGTTAAACAGTGTACAGTTTCAATTTAATTTTGTGTAATTTTTTTTAACTTTAACCGCAGGCATTTTTACATTTTTTTTAAGTTAAAGATAGTGATGGTCGGTACCTCTTTTTCAAAGTCGGTACCAGTACCGGTTCCTAGCCAAAATCGATTCTCGGTTCTCGATTCCGGTACCATTGGTACCTTATGTTAGTTTTTAAAGATAGGCTACGGTACTTGATTTTTTATTTATAGCCTAAACAAAAAAAAAAAACCATAAGTATTTCAATTGAAAAGTATTTTGCATTAGTATTAGGTTGGTACAACACTTAAGGGATTAAGAAAATAAAACTTATTTGTACAAAAAAAAAAAAACATATAATTTATTCCCGCAGTCCCGGAAACGTCATCGTGTAGACGTCATCATCGTCCCGTGATCGCTGCAAAATAATGAACATCTCCCGCGGTTGTCTAGACAACATCATGAACTCCCGCAGTCGCGGAAACGTCTTCATCGTCGTCCACGATTGTGGTAATGTCATCGTCATCATCCGCGATCGTGGCGAAATCATCTTCCGCGGCCGTGTAAACATTGACCCTCGCAGTCATCGTGTAGACGTCATCATCGTCTCCTGCGATCAGGGCAAAATCATGAGCATCTCTTGCGGCCATGTATACGTCATCGTCGTCTCCTGGGATCGGGGTAACGTCATCGTCGTCATCCGTGATCGGGGTAACCAAAATCATCTCCTGCGGCCACGGAAACGTCATCGTTGTCTTGCGATCGCAGCAATATAGGTAATATCCCAGCATTGTTGGTACCGAAGGTACCGGTACCGACTTTTCAACATTGGTTCTCGGTTCCGGTTCTTTTGCCAAGAACCGGTGGAACCGAGATTTGACGTGAAGTACTGACCCCATCACTAGTTAAGGATCTAACTCCTGATCAGGTTACTATCAAACAAAGAAATTTGATGATATCACAAAGACAAATGAAATCTGGGTGAAGAATCAACCACATTTGGGATTTAACCTGTAAAATTTGGAATTGAAGGTGAGTACAAGAATGTTGGTATCCAGTTTTACAGATAGATTAAAATTATCTCCACAACATAGCTGACAACTGTGAAATAGTTTCTAGAGATGGAGGTCCCAGAGTTTGACTGCACTCATCAAACCGATCAATGTCAATGACTATTCACTGGTTACGTTAACAATAAACTTATTTAGGAAACAGAAGTCAATCACTATAAACGAGAAAAGTTTGTATACTTGTTACTTTGATCAGGGAATCGACACCAAGAAACACAACGAGAAGATTAAACGAGGTCATACACCAATCACTACAAGATGATTTTATCAAATGATACTTACAACAGTGCGAGATATCTCATCACCGACATCAATCTGCTCTATGTAGAGACCATCAGCATCAGGATGTACCTGGGCGTGCAGTATCTTACCAACCCTGATATCTAGACGACTGACATCCACCGGACCATCACTAACAGCAGGGGCAGCAGCTGTAACAGTGTTGGTCTTGTTAAAGTTGTTTAGTGTTGTTATTAGTACCATAAAACTAGTTTATATTGGCTGTGGACCTGTCCTACGCACAGAGATCAAGTATTCGGTTAACACTTTTTTTATTTAGAACAGTAGGTTCAGAATTTTTAAATGTTTTTATAGAGGAACGGTTCAAATGCTGGTCTTGTTTCTATCAAACATCAACCCTTTGTTTTTACAATCAACACACAACAATCACCAGTGGTATCTTACCAACAGTTGATTGTTAGCCTAATGAAAATGGCATCTGGCTATGGTAGCAAATGAGAGGTTTTTTTAACCTCATCTAAAATTCCCCGACACCAAGCCTGGAGATGTCTTTCAATATCGTTTGGTCTTTCTACCTCATTATTGTTCTTCCCAAGATGGTGTCTACCTTGTGGTACTCAATGGAATACAATCTAAAGATTTAAATATCTTATCTCTTCCAAACTTGGCCTGCCCACATTAGCCTTTATTTAAATCAGCGCCACTTAACTTGGATGTTAATATATTTTTTTTTTAGTTCTCTGTTCCTTCACATTCTCCAACTTTTGTTACAATATCTTGATTTGATCCATATATTTTTCTCAGTACTCTATTCTCAAACCAAAAAAGCTTTTTTTGGACGATGCTTTTTTTAATTGATTTGTTAGATACTTGGAAGCTAGACTTTTCATTTCATCCACACTAGTCTTGCCCTTGAGGTATTCAAACCAAGCAATTTATACTTCTCTTTAAGTTTTAACTAGTGTACCTGTTGCTCGAATTCGAGCAATTGCTAAGTATTACAGGCGTTAATTTAAAACGAATAACAGTCATAATTTCTGATATTTTAAAATTATTCTACTCAAAGATTATAAAAATACTCAAGATGTACATAACAGATCTATATAATCAACATTTATTGTAAATAGTGTTTTCTACAGCCTTACTCATAGCTCCATTAGGTTTCCAGACATTATGTGTCCAAAAGCCTAACAGCACGACTCCCTTCCCCATACCGCTCTGAGCGATAGGGATCATTGAGATTCGCTCTAACCTTTCCTCTCCCCTTCATGGGCAAGATTTCATTCCTTTTCTTTTTTAGTTTTTGTTTGTTTCTTTTTTTAAATTTGTATGCCTGTATGGATCCCTGGTTTTTTCTATTTCCCTTTGTAGCTACTTCTCTAAACGTCTCAATTGTTTCCTTGTCACTCATCATCTTTTATTTTTTCATCTCTAGACCTCTCTTATCCAAGACTTATTCCTGTTCTCTCTTATTTGTCTCCTGAAGTCAACAATTTATAAATATGTGACTCGTGGTTTTTATTTCTCCACATCTACATACTTCCTCTTCCACCACGTGAAATCTGCACAAAATCGTCTAGACATTTTCCATGTCCTGTGACAAACTGCGTTTTATAATGGACCATCTCCCAATCTTGTTCCAGTCTCTTTCTGATGTTAGGCATACATCCGAACGTTTACCTTTAAAACGTTAACATAAAACACTCTGCTCCCAACACATTTGCCACTCATCTAATATATCTTCTCTTCTGTTTCCGATTTAGTCCTGCCCGCCTCCTTGTCTTCCAAAATCAACATATTATGCAGCGATTATCCAACAGTCCTAAATTGAATGTGAAATCTTCAGGCAACTGTTGGAGAGCACACTTAAACCCAACACGGAAGTGTGCTTGCTGCATTTGGCTATCACCGACAATAGACAATTTGTAATTCGTGTGATTTCGTTCGCGTCTACCAGTTAAAGTTCGTCGGCCTCCTGCTATTTGCCGTCCTGGTCAACGTCTTATAGTCTCCATTATGTCCAACGTTTTTTGGTTATGTTTTGATTTGGTGCAAAATTTTAATATAACCATCTGTTAGCGAATTTCCCTATAGGGAAGTAGCTATTACCGTAGGTGGCACGGTAAGACCTAGACCCTGGACCGATTTACTTTTTCATTTTGATGTCCCCAGAGGCCAAAAACACCATTCGTTCAAATTTTTATATATGTATATATATATATATATACAGGGTGAGTTTCTACTGACCGTGTTAACTTCGCCAGTGGGTTCTACTCACTAAAAGGAACAAAAAAGTTCCTATAGACCCATGTCTGATTTTCGACCGTTTGGCTGTTTTGGGGGATTTTGTGTTTTTCTTATTTTATTAGACTTTGCTCCACAATTTATGTAATAAAAACTTAACCAATTACTTTAGAGAGTTATAGTTAAAATCATTGGAAAAAACATTAAATTTGCTATAAATCAAAGGTTTCATTCAACAATTATACCATTACATAGTCCACGTTATAACCAAAATAAAGTAAAAATGTCATTAAATTAATTAATTACGATAATTTTCATGGGCCTCCTTTGATACATAAACCTGCATTTATGCAATGTTGAAATGCATAAAAAACTTGGCATTTTAATAATCTTTCAAATGATATGTTATTCAATACTATTATTGATATAAACCAGTGAGAAATTAATAATAAACTACAATAAAACACGGTTTACAGATTTTGTTTTTGCACAGTTTTACTGTTAATAATAATTACTGTATTCATCATGTTGGCATAATCTTGATTGGTAAAAGGCTCCATATTTTAATAAATGTTGAAAAACTCTTAATTGACTTGGAAAGTTAAAACAGCAAAAAATTACTCAACAAGGTATGTTCAAGCAGCTGAGTTATCTAGCTATCAAACAAATCAATAAAAGCTGACTTAATCAAGCACAAGGTAAAACTAATTACACAGCATTTAAGAATCAAACACACTACATCTTTGAAAATGTGAAAAACCTTGAGTTTATACATTTTATTAATTCATATAATTTTAATAAATATTTAAAAGTTAAAATAATGTACAAATTTTATCAGATAGTTCAATAAAATACATCATGGAGTATACAGTAATTATTATTAACAGTAAAACTGTGCAAAAACAAAATCTGTAAACCGTGTTTTATTGTAGTTTATTATTAATTTCTCACTGGTTTATATCAATAATAGTATTGAATAACATATCATTTGAAAGATTATTAAAATGCCAAGTTTTTTATGCATTTCAACATTGCATAAATGCAGGTTTATGTATCAAAGGAGGCCCATGAAAATTATCGTAATTAATTAATTTAATGACATTTTTACTTTATTTTGGTTATAACGTGGACTATGTAATGGTATAATTGTTGAATGAAACCTTTGATTTATAGCAAATTTAATGTTCTTTCCAAATGATTTTAACTATAACTCTCTAAAGTAATTGGTTAGGTTTTTATTACATAAATTGTGGAGCAAAGTCTAATAAAATAAGAAAAACACAAAATCCCCCAAAACAGCCAAACGGTCGAAAATCGGACATGGGTTTATAGGAACTTTTGTGTTCCTTTTAGTGAGTAGAACCCACTGGCGAAGTTAACACGGTCAGTAGAAACTTACCCTGTATATAGACTTATATATATATATATATATATATATAGACTTATATATATATATATACTTTTGTGCCCACCCGGTTTGGCAGTCAGTGCGCTGGTAATTTACTCGGTGTGGCAGTCACCCGCCCGAAAGCCAGTCAGCTCTCCCATAAGCCAGTCAGGTATGGCTTCCCGTGCACTTTATACGTATGAAAACAGCAAACCGGTGCTGCTGCCTGTGTCGATAAGCGTAACTGCAATACCAATGCGGAGACTGTCTCATCGTGTGTTCTATCGTGGAGTAGTGTAGCCAAGTACGGCACCCTACCCTACTTTGTAGCGGTAACACCCAGCGGTCTGTAACCTTCGTTTACTCCTTGTTACTATTTGTGTTGGGATAGTGATTAACTACGTGTTAATGTTTAAACATGTTCATACTCCAAATAAATATGATGCACCTCTAATAAGGATCGTCGAATATTAATTAATTATAATTGGTTGAATCTTGATCCTACCCGTTCATCATCTCATATTTTAAGTTATTTTTGATTTTTTTTACCTTCAGTTGAAATTTTAGTCAACTTCTCCTTTATACAATATTTTTTATCCTAGTATTTACAGTGTTTCCACGGACCGGGAACTATACGGATTTTCTTTATCTCGAGAAATATACGTGAATCTTGTCCGAGATACTGGAACTGTTTTTTACGCAATTGCGTAACGCGAAGGAGTAACTATTACATATGACAACGATATTATTCTATCTGATAAGAATAACCATGAAACTACACTCGAAAGATAAAATATTTTTATAATAATTTCAATTTTACAAACAAACTATTACAGGAATTATATTTTGGGACGGATGAATGATAAGGAAGCAACGAGTGCAAATACGGGGGGGGAGGGGGGTACAATATAACGAACGCCAGAAACGATTATTTGTTTACTTTTCAGATTCCTTATCAAATCTCTCTCTCTCTCTCTCTCTCTCTCTCTCTCTCTCTCTCTCTCTCTCTCGCTCTCTAACAATGTACAGATTGTGGACTTTACGATTTAAGTTTTCCTGCAATTATTTCAGTTCAATCCCATACCTATCCTTATGGTTTCCTATCTATTATTTTTCAAAATAAATAGTAAAGCAGGTTAAACTATTTTTTATTTTATTTTCTTGAAACCAAACACTCTTTACCATCCCGTATTCTGCAGAGTCAAATGTTTAACACTGTGTTTATAAAAATTGAATGGCCACACAATTTTGTGTTTTATTTTTTTTTTACTAATAGTAACTGGGATATTTATATATGCCAATAAGTAGTGCAGTCTGTAATAAATGCTGCTGATTAATATCAAAATAAGTTATAATTTATTTTGTATAATACATCGGTCATTGAATACAAACCATAATGGGTTTTCTATTTGTAACTTTAACTTGCAAATACAGTAGAACCTCGCTTAACTGGAGTCGCATCATCATGATGCCTATATATTATATAACCTCACAAATCCCAAGAAAATGTTTTATTAACTGTGTTTTTCAGTCTAATATTTCGATATGAACGATATATTT